AAAAATTTGTTTAAAGCCACAGACAAAACACCCCCCCCCCCCCCACAAAAATCCTCGTATATAAACTTTATACTTCAAACTTCTTTCTCCTTTGGAAAACGGACAAGTCCTAGGAAGTTTTCGTAAAAATAGATAGTAAACGATAGATGTATTCCCGTTTTGTCGACTCGTTAATTTTTTTCCTGATTCGTCGATAGCATTTTGGGAGGAGATGAAAGATGTTTGTGAGTTGCCGACGTTATAAAGTGTCGACAAAATAGGAAAATCAATTAACATATCGACGAATCGGGACTGAACCTAAACGATAATATTTTCTTCTAAATTTAATTTTCTACCTCAATATTTCAGTTGTCATTATTAAACAAGATGCATCATGATTAATTTGAATATCGCCCGTTAATAATCCTACATCATCGGAACGTTTTTTAAAATCACAATATTTTTGATTTGATAAGGCTTTTATTGGCGATGTATAAAATGCTTTTGTTCCATGACTTTGTGCTAAAGCAATAGCATATTCAGCAACAACAGTTTTACCTAAAATAAATATATATAAATATATTCGATAACAATGAGAAAATCTTAGAATATATGTACCAGCTGATGTATGAGCAGCAACAAAAACACTTTCATTATTTTCCAAACGAAGAATGGCTTGTTTTTGAAATGTATCAAGTTCGAATGGATATTGAATGGCTGGATTCGGTACTCTTAATTTAAAATCACCAATTTTTTCTGATGGATTTAATTCAATTGCATAGGTTCTCTTTAAATGTTGTTCAGCTTTTGTTTCTTGTAATAGGGGAAAAAAATGAGATTTATTCAATGATTGAAATTTCAATTCTGGTAATGTTGTTGTTGTCAATGTATCAAATATGTCATTTTGATTTTTTTTAGCAAAAACGTCGATGTTAATGTTATTAATTCTTTTCTGTTCAAATTGATATGAAGATTGTATAGCTATATCGTCTAAATCTTTTTTCCAACTTTGCAATACGGTTTCAATTAAAATTGGCCGATTTAACTCATCAAAACCTGGTCGAAAGGATTTTATTGTCGATGGTAATTCCATGCCGAGTCCATCTTCTGTTGCCAAATGGGTTAATAATACTAAACATATTCTGATTTAAAAACTACAAAAACCAAATGTACTTAGAAATAATTTACCATCAGACGTATTGTCATCGGTAGGATGATTCATAACTGTTTCTAAATCTTGTTCTTGTTGAACAATTGGTTCTAAAAATAAATATCTCATGAATAATACTTTTATGAACTGGATTAGGTGAAATTAGAGATTTTGAATATAAATAAAAACGATCATTTATAAACTTTTATTAAGAAGTTGCACAAAAAAGTTCCTCAACTACTCATGAAAAATATAATTATTTCAATCTTTTAACTTAATGATTATCTGTTCAATTACCTGGTAAACATGGACAACTAATTTGAGCTGGTTTTAATATTTCATTAGGCCAAAATTTTGGATCATCATCAAGATTTTGATTTGATACAGGTTTTGATTTAATAGAAATCTTTAAAATAAAATATAAATAATTTACTTGAAAAAATTTCAACGTTACTCTCAACTCACTTCTCTGAGACCAACAATTTCACCGGTACATAAATTACGATCTGCAACTAAATCATATTCATCACTCAACGATTCAATTGTAAATAATTTATCAATATCCAAATCGTGTGTAAACACTTGTCTTAAAAAATACGTTATGATACGTTTTGATTGTGATTATTTAATAAAATTAGTATATACCTGTCATGTAAATTTGGATCAAGCCATGAGAATTTTTCTTCATCCACAAACGGTTTCAATTCTAATTCTAATTCCTTTTTTGAAAATATATTCATTATAACTATTTTTAAACGAATCTAAAAATATTTATCAATTGAAAAATTTATCACATTATTCAATATTTGTATTTATTGTTTTAGTGTAATGTTAAAAGGATGATATACTGCATTCATGATGGTATTATCAAGACATCTTATCATGTGTCACAAAACTTGAAACACTGATATCTAACTTTTCTATTAGACAATAATTATGAGCTCAGTATCATGAAACATTCAAACATTGGTATCAAAGCAATTGTTCGATGATATGGATGAGAGGTAATGCTAATTAACTTAGACTGTCCGTGTATGAACGTGGCAAAGAGACAGAAGTAGATGCGACGTCAATATATCAGAAAAAGGCAACATCAATTTATTGAAAAATCATCAAAAATAGTACAGATGTATTCATCAAAGAACGCTAAAAAGTGTTTCAAAAAAAGCAATAAAAATATTTTAATCTGACAAAGTCTTGAAAAATGACTAATTAGGACGATTCATAGACAACCATAAATAGTTGATAATAGACTTAATAGACGTTCAATTGAAACTTGTGTTCATGTTTATAGTAAATTATAATTACACTAATTATATATACACTAATTATTATAATTACTATAATCGGACTTATTGTATATTAAAAAGATGTATTTTAAAACTAATGAGACAGATTGTAATTCGATCGATGTTTCTTTTATAATATTATCTTTCATTGCATTTGCATCGAATGATCAAACACCTATCCTTCAACTTGACAAAACCACTTGTTTTTTTGTTGATATAGTATCAAATTATTTTTTAAGAAATAACGAAAAATCTAAGTTTTGCAATTTTTTTTTATTTCTTAATTTGAAATATTAAACGTTTTGTTTGTGTTTTCACGAAACTAAAGATGACGATTGTAAAACACGTATAATTTTGAGTGGTAATGAGATGCGATTTATTTTTGAATTACTAATTCAATACACATGTGATATTAATATGAAATAAATGACCATCCATTAACAACTGTAATTGTTGATGAATTTGAGATGTCAAAGGCATATTCGAATTACCATTCAAATGTCTAGAATAACGTCGATATTTTTATTTTCTCGCTATAGATGACAAAAAGATGGTAATAATAGTTCATCTGGCAACAATGTACGTTAAAATAGTTGTATAACTTTTTCCTTCTTCAGATATTTCTTGAAAGGTACATTTTTGTTTTTTGTTTTTAGCGTTCAAGTTATGTAAAATATTTTTAAAGTTTTTAAACTATTCAGCACGTACTTCTTCATCGAAATCATACGAGCCATTTAATTCAATTTTATTTTGTCTCAGTCATTTGATATTGTTCTTTTAACGTCTGAGAAAATTTTGTAACCATTTGCTACCACGAACGTCTAGTTTGCCTTCTTCTTTGTCATTCGATGTAATTTGATTCATATAATAATTGCAATATTTTTCTTGTTCTTTATTCAAATATACACCAATGTCCTACATTAATCTTTGAATAATGACTGTGTGTACAATGCCGTATAGTACTATCAGGAACGTTAAATTTTAAACCATTTTAAATTCATTCGACCTTCTTGAACTGCTTTGAAGGCTTGTTTTAATTAATTTTTTTCTACTTCTCATATTACTATGTCAACATTTTGGCTGTTGACATTCGATCATTATTATTTTCTTCTATATCAGTTGCCATTGTCACATCAGTTCCCTACATTTTCGAGACACTTATTTTGTTCTAGAGCAAAAATAGAGAGTCGAGTACAACTATCAATTACGTCCAAATTGACAAAAAAACACTTCAGTAGAATAACGTTGAGTTTGATGCTATCGATCATGTGGAATAGTCTATTGTCAGTATCAAAGGAAAAAAAGACGAATTTTCTGTTGTATAGACTCTTCTTTAGAGGGGGTTGCTCCTCCGAAATCAATGTTTTTGACTAAAAAATAAATTGAGTTTCTTACTTAGTTGTATACGCTGAAGTCTCCTCTCTCAGAATCTGTTCCAATTTCCACAAAAAAGTTAGTTTTTCATGAATTTTGGAGAGATTTTAGATTAAACCTTAGATCTACTGCTACGATCTTGTTTAACGTTTTCTCCGGAACATGATTTTGGCGTAGTAAAGTTGCTACTCCTCTCCTCCTCCTAGACGATTCATCGTACAACCTCCATTAATTTTTTGTTTTGAAGCTAAGACATTTCTCTAAAACTTATTTGTGAGAATTTTTGAATTAGGCTTCTTGGACCAAGAAAAATGGAAATTACTACCCCGGGTTACAGGATTTTTTCGAGGTTTTGACCTGAAGTGTGTGTAGAAAATGAATAGAATCGAATTTTAAAAATCACCACGCACAATTTCTAGATAAATGTTTTGGTTTCCAAAAAAAATGAAAGTTGTCCGATCAATCGTCGTGGAAGACTAGCAATTTTACTAATGTTACTGAAAATTCCTTGTGACACTCGGCAAATCTTCAACCGTTTGAGCTCAAAGTTTTAGCATAAGCTGGTTAAATGATAATCATTGATCTCTGTAAGTTTCATCAAAATCAGTTGTAAAACAAAATTCTTTTTTTCTGAGGATGGGGGCGCCTTAAAAAAAGAATTGATTTTTCACGTGAGCGTCTGTTCAAATATATTTTTTATTTTTCTTAATAACTTATTGTCATACGTTTTGACCACAGACAAAATAAACAAAGAGATAAAAACTACATAAAAACATCACATCATAAGATGTCCTCGATTAAAAAAATCTAGTTATAACAATGACTCCAGTAAATATAGTAAAAATGGTCTGATTATTTGATAGGCACATTTCTTAGAGTCTTACAAATTACTTTTTGTCCATTTTTTGCTAATAATGGCATATATTTCCATTCAGCTGTGCCATTACTTGAAACACGAAAATCCACCTAAAAGATAAAACAGAAGTTACACTTCGTAAAAGAGAATATAAAATCTATAGAAAAAACTATTTACCTGTAAAGTTTCCCATATTTTCTTTTTTGGATTTAGTTCCTGAAATATTGGTGGCTGAGATTGTTCATTATGATTATGGCCCTCAATGGTTAATTGTTCACCAATTTCACAGTCAGATGGAGGAGTTAATAGTTCAACAACACGTGGATTTTCACTAAATGATAAATAAAAATGTCATGGTGTAAAAAAATAAATACTGTTACTCACTTTGAACCGCACATAAGCATTGCTTCCGATTCAATTCCTTTTAATTTGGCCGGTTTTAAATTACAGAGAAATACAGCTGTGCGATTTTCTAATTCTTCCATTGGAATACAATCTGCTAAACCACTTACAACGGTTCGATGTTTTCCTTCGCCTTTAACGTAAATTAAAACATATTATAATTAGAAATCAAATTATAATTGATTATTTACATATCATCCAATACCTAAATCAACTGTTTCAACATATAACTTATCTGCTTCCGGATGCTAAATGAAAAAGAGAAAAATTTATACAAGATCAAAAAAAATATAGCAAGAGGCTAGCAAAGTATTTTTCTCTTTTATGATGAACTTCTATCAGATTATGTAACGTTTACCTTTTTTACAGACACTATTTTGCCGATCCTTAAATCGAGTAAAGCGGGTGATAGCTGGTGCGTTACAATATTGTTAGTTGCCGCTGCTGTTGAAGTTGTATTACCAGCAGTTTGATGGGGTGTATTTTTTACTATATAAAAATAAGAAATTTTTTTTAATGTACATAATCAAGAATCATTTATTTTATCATACGATTTATACCTGGATAGGCGCTTTCAGTTAACTTTCGCATTTCTGCGGTATCAAATTCTTCTCGAATTGGTTTTAATAATTTATTTATATAATTTGTAACTGCTGGTTTCAACTCGCTGGGATGAATTTTCTAAACGTAAATGGAAGTTGAGATTGTTTCTCATACTAATGTAAGAAAACAACATTTTACCTGATCTACAAACGCACGTTCAAGATCAGCATAATTTGAAAATGTGACTGAACTATCAGATTTTTCAGAATGTTCCACAATAAAATCTATAATAAAACAGAAAATACATGTTTAACAGGCACGTATCTTTTCCACAATTTAATCAAAATTCTTACCTTTCTGTTTTAATAGAGGAAATATAACATGTTGACAGAACGCTAACACACCATTTTTCTCAACCTTTCCCGGTTCACAAAACGCTTTTCTTAGTTTTTTCGTCACTTCTTCTGGTGAATCAAGTAAATCAATTTTACTGTCAGCAACACTTGCACTCATTTTATCTCCCATTAGACCAGGAACTTCAAAACATAAAAAATATGTTTATTTAATAGTAGAGAAAAATCTGAATCTAATTACCCATTTCATTCATCAAATGGATACGTTTTTGATAGCCCAGTGATGGTAAATTCTGTAAGCAATAAAAACATTATTTTCTAGTCAATTAAATTTTGTTCAGAATTATTTACTTCTTCTGCAAATGTAAATATTTTTCTTTGATCAATACCTCCAAACTGTGCATCTACTTTCAGGTATTCTTCATCGAGTGCCTGAGAAAAAAATAACCATAATGAAGAATTTAATGAATTATCACAGATACTTTAGAAAAAACGCATACTTGTAATCCTGGATATAATAAACCACTTAAAGCTGGATTATCGACCTGTTTAACGACTTCAGCGCCCGCTTTTTTTGCATCATGTATAGTAACTAATGATGTTAAACGATAAACGTCCAGCGTATATTCTCTAAAAACAAAGTAAACAATTTTAAAACTTGTTTTCGATTTTTAATTCTGCATATATAATGTATACCTGCTCAATTGATAGTCTGTTCCACGAATAAACCTCAATTTTTCCAACGGTACACCGATTGATTTTAACATTGTTTTAATAATCTTCTCATAATATTGAGTACGTAAAGCTAATAATTCCCATGGTGCTTTCATGTTATCCAAATATGCATGAAGATCAGCAAATAAAATTGTGACCTATATAGGTGAAAAAGAAGACAATAAGTTTGATCTCAGTTGAGATTATATCTTCATTTGTCGATAAATAGATTTAAAATAAAAACAAGACGTAAACGCACCTCACAACCAGCATTCAAGAAATCGGCAATTTTTAACATTGGAACAAAATAAGCAATATGAGGTTTTCCAGTTGTTGCAGTACCCCAATAAACTTTTAAATCACGTTCATTCAATATTGATTTTAATTTTGCATCTCCTAACCATTCTTTAAGATTTCGTGTGATCAAATCATATTTCTGCGATGATGTTATTGCCTGAGCCATGAGAACAAATCTACAGTAATGTAAAATACTAAAATTGTTATGGTGTGTATGTAATAACAAATAAACAAATTAAATCAGTACGTATGTGATCAAGATTACGCTTTTATAGCATCAATTTATGATTATTACTATCATATCGAAACGTATCCAGAGTGCAATTGCAATAAAATGAAAGAAAATGATGTGCACAACCTCTTGAAATGTTTAAACTAAGCTATGATGCAAGAGTTGATGAAATACTGATACTATGTGTTTTTCTTTTTCTCAGTTCCGTTTCTCTCAAGCCATTGATATTACAGGTAGATGTTCCATGACTCTCACTTTTTGTGAACAAACTAGTCTTAGTCTTAGTCATAGATAAGCCGTCCGTGTATCGTACAATTCGACAAACTTTTCTAAATAGTGTAAAGAGTCTTAATTTCAAATTAATTATATTGTATGAGCCAACTGACTAATTCTTTTTCCTTTTTCTCCATGGCAAGAACTCGTGGAATGGGGAATTATTTGGACAAATCACTAATAGCGTTCGTAATTGTCGCCACTCTCCTGTCTATAGTCATGTACACTTGGTACGTAGGCATACAAAAAAATTTACTTTTTTTTGTGTAAAATTTGATTTTTTATCAGTATAAATTCAACAAAAACAAAAATGGCATTTCATTTTCTGTTGTTATTTTTTTGGCATAAGCTACGATCATTCAGGAAGGGCGTCCTAATAGTGAATATCTCGGTAATCGTGGCTTGTGTAAAAAACGTTAAAACAAATCATTTTGTTTTTGTTCAAATTCAAGGCTCGCATTTAATGAGTTCGATCATTTAAACGTCTTCTTACTACATTTTTAATCGTCTAATGTAGAATAATTTATAATTCACTTATACTGGACTTAAAAAATGTTCTTTGTTTGTATTTTGCTAGTTTGGTTCTAATTCTAATAGGATTAGTGATTGATTTTGAAAAAGAACTATATAAGTCATCCATAAGTTTCTAAGTAAGTGACAATGAACGAAAATAAGCTAAAATAAAAATAAGTCACTAGCTTCTTTGTAATTTTTTCTTAAAAAATTTAAAAGAAAACTTGAATCTTCCATTCAATTGTAACGAAAACTTTCAAGTTCGATCCTCTTCAGTATGAGTGTTTCTTAATGACGGCATTTCTTTTCTGAGAAATCATTGTATTATAAAAGATAAAAGTAGTTTAGCCTCTTTATTAAATTTTATTTGCTCATTTTTGTCTTTAACAACAATATTTTCATTCTGTTTACTCTCCAATGTTCGTTAACAACAAAACATAATTTCTCTTCCAAACAGAAAAACATGATATAATAGCAAAAATGAAAATGCTTTTAACGGAAAAAGCAACAAATACAACTTTTTTTCTCATAAATACATCCAGATAATATCGTATTAAACATCAATTCAGAAAAAATCAACAAGTACTAAAACATGAAAAAATAGTTGTAGTAGAACATTTTTTTTTTCCAATACTACATTCATGCAACAGCCAATAAATTTTAGATAAACATTGGCACTCATTATTTTATTATTATTAATATCGTTCTAAATAATATTTTATCAATGTCTAGTGTCAATCTTATCTAAATTCATTAGTGTTTGCTTTTATATCGAAAACATTAAAAAAACACAAAAGAACCGAAATACAATCTTGGTTAGTGGTAACCAAAAATCAAAACAAATATTAGAGGCTTTTCTATATGTTTTCTTTTAAGCGATTCAACGCTTTACTAGACACATTTAAATTTCTCTTGTGTTGTATTTGTTACACAAGAATAAAACCAAATAAAATATCAAAAATGTTTACTCTCCTTATTATAGATGGATAGGCTATCCTGTCCCTAATCACATTTCTAGTTTTATAACATATAATTCAATCATTGAGCGTTTTTTTCCTAGTATACCTAAACGACAATAGACGATAGTCGCATTTAAAAACAAAAAAAGCAACTCAAAAACTGAACATAACAACGATTATAGCCAAAATACATTTCTCTTTTCATACTACACTTCGATATATTAACATAGATAAAAAACAATAAAAATGTCTCTTAATCTTTCACTTGATACTTCTAAATCACACATTTGTTCATGAAAAAATTAATATAGCAGCGAAGAACAAACATTTTTATATATGTATATATCATATGCAAAATATGTTTGATTAGAACATTAAAACAACTGTTTCAGTGATATTTCAGCATCCAAAAATTGTCTACGTATGATAATCACTGAAATAAGAGCAAAAAACATTTCCATTTTTCGCTGCCTAGTATACAACAAGTTAGCATAAGACAAATGTAAGAGCTTGCAACAACAGAACAATGATACTCTATGTAACAGACCCCAATAATCCTCTTAGATGAAAAAAAAACTGAATTGAAGAAAAACTGCCAAATAGAATGTTTTATGACAGCCTCGAAAGAAGTTTTACGTGGTATTACACTCCTTAAAAAAGGTGTGGGTAAATAGAAAAATGGAAAAAGAAAAAGATCGACCCAACCACCACAGAAAAATGAACGTTAAAAATAACTGTTCCATATGAAAAAATCTATATATGAGGAAAGAAGAAATTGGAGCATCAATCCTAATCAAATAAATGTCTTTTGAAATGGGGAATTTCTAATAATAAATAGGATATAATGTTTGTTTGGTTTGCAACCGTAAAGAAAGTTAGAGGAAGACAGACAATACCCATTAAGGAAAAGACGTTAAATACAAGTATAGTGAAAATTTTTAGAACTTAACTGAAACTTAACTGAGCACAATCTTTCGGAACAAAAAAGAGTAAAGTGAAAAGTAGAAAAAAAAGAAACGATAATTTTACCCATTTAAATGAATTTTTTTTCGTATTTTTTTTTACATTTTCTATGATATTTTTTTTTGTATTTTGTTTTGTTTTGTTTTTGTGGTAATGTTAGAAAACAAGCGAATAGAAAAAGAAATACAAATTAGACAAATATACGTTCACACAACAATAGTAATAAACAAGGACAACACACACATAAATTTGTTGTTGATTTTCTTTTTTTTCTCGGCTTTATGACCATTTACTCACTAGTCACATAACAATAGATAGACATTTAAAATTAAAGTACTAAATAGGATATCATTTGAACCTAAACCAAAAGCCGAGTAAGTGATGAGTGACATAAGTTTTACAAGAGGTATACAGGGAAAAGCAAACTTCTTTAGTTTTAGGTGAAAACCAATCACTTTTCACGTTTAAGCATGGTGCATCAAAAAAAAAACAACAACAAGAAAAAAACAAAGATCACCATGCCTATTCCTTTCTTAACAATGCCATAATTTTGGTGGGATAATGAGGTAAGGAAACGCGAGGCGTGAACAAAAGTACAATAGAACGAACTTATAACTAATCTATGACATAAAAAAACACAAACAGATTTAAATAAAAAAAGAGCAGCAGAAATGTAAGAGCAAATATAGATTTCGATTTGCATTTGTCTAAATGAATGGATAGAAAATGAAAAAAATACGGTTTTCAGCTACTCTTGTTGTGTATTGAAGTTGTTTGTGTACTTTAGATTTTACATTAACTCAACAATACGTATAACAATATATCCAGCTCGATAAAAAAGCAACAAAATTCAAATTTTCGTGGTAAGGTATGAAAAATAATATAACAACAACAAAATTAGTCTTTTTTTTTGTTCATAAAGGCTGTGAAACAATCACCACGAAAAACTGAAATGATGCTCTCTTAATCGAGCTACATGCGCGCAATAGAAGAAGAAGAAGAAGAAGAAAGCGAAGTTTCACGCACTCGTACACTCATACATATGCGTTGCTGAAGTACAGCTGCACGAAGAAAAAAAAACAGAAGGAAAAGAAAAAGAAAATAAAACGTCTTTTACTGTCAATTTTCAAGATTTTGCAGAATTATTTAATGTAATTTTTTTGGGTGTTTTATATGAATTTTTCAAATATTTTTTATATATATTTTCGCGTATAATTTTGGGTATAATATGTTTTTTTTCGAAGGAAGCGCCCGCGCCTTAACATCATATTATTCAATATCAAATATTTTAATTAACTTTTGTAAATTTTTTGTTTGTATGCAATCGTCTAAATCTGTTCTATTCATATGATCCAATGCTATAGCTAATGTACGCCAAATATTGTCGGACATTTGAGCAATTTGTCCTTCTAAAATAGTTAAGAAATAGGATAAATCAATATACAAAGCGATGAGATCGAAAACATTACGGTTGTTGTCACATTTTAACTATTTTTAATAAAGAAAAGTAGATCGCTTACGTGGACCAATTCCTTCACTTTGTTGTTTGAGAGCAGTGATAAAATGCTCAATTGCTTGTTTATACGCGCTAAGATTAAAACAACTAATTCCCAAGTTATAACGTGCTCGAACAAAACCAGGTGATAAATTTAGTGCATGATAATAAGCTTCAACGGCTTTTTCACTTTGACCACCATTAGCTAATGCAGCACCTAGTTTGTTCCACAATAGAGCGTCCTAAAGAGAAGAACAAAAATTGGCTTATAATATAACACTTACGCACAAAGACCTGTTCTGAACTCAGTATGATTATTGACAAATTTATCAATAGAATACGTACATCAGGTTTGGCATGAACAGCGGTATTAAAACACTCGGCAGCTTTGTCATAATCACCAGGCAAATGAAATAAAATTCCAAGACAAACCTAGAAGAAAGTTATATTGAGCAATGTCTACACAAACGGAACGACTAACTTGTAAATCAGAATCAATCTCGTGTGAAAAATAAGGTGCCGACACAGCTTGTAAGAATAGTTCTTGTAGTTCTTCAAACGCAGATCTAAAAAACAAAATCAAAGTGAGTTTGCTCTGTTGTTCTTTTTGGATGTAGCATTAGCAGAGTTGGTTAGCGAGTTCGTTTAAAAGAAAAGAGACTTCTCACCTTATTTGAAATTACTCATAAGAGATCATATGAATAATTTCTGACAGTGTAAGATTGCAGTAAAAAATCTTATCTTTCTTCAGCGAACTAGATCGAGAGTACTCAAAAAGTGAGATGTTTCAGAGTAGCAACGCTGGTATTTTCAAATTTACATAATTCAACTAGATGTGTATACTTTTATACTTACTCATCAACAATGTCCATTGACCTTTTCGCACTATCGTTTGTTGCTGACTGAGTTTCCAGTAGGTAAGAATATTTCTCATTGTTTGATAACCATTTTCTCAATGAATCTAAAGCTTCGTTTGTCATTAGTTCATTTGCATAACATGATCCCAATGTTAAATAAGCTTGTAAATTTTTTGGATCAATCTCAATACATCTAAAAACGAACAACAATATCATCACAAATTTGTTTGTTTTCTCTTCTATTACTTTTTCAAAGCACAGATTGCTGGTCCATCTTGTTCATTTTCACTTTGTGTAATACCCAAATAGAGCCACGCCTATTCACATAAAACAGCTTTTAGAATACAAGACAAAATAAAACAACAGACATACATCTACATGTTGTGGATTCTTTTGAACGGCTGCTTCGAATAACATAACGGCATTAACAATATCTTGCTCACGTAAACGTTTTAAGCCTTCTTCATAGGGATCTGGACACTCCATGAATAAATTATTTTTGGAAAATTTATATTCAGAATATGGATCGACACTTTGAATAAAGTCATCTAGCCAAGATTGTGATGCTCTTGTTTGACTGCAAAAACAATACCAGTCAATCAATTTTCTAGTGTAATAAGCCTTGACTTGGAATAGAATCCACGATACATGAATGGATTTACAACAGTACTCTGCCACTTTGTCTTTTTGTGTTTTGCTTCATCTGTTCTATCCTTATCTCTCTCAATCAACCAAAACATAGATAGCTTTCTCTTTTGTGATGTAGTCTCTCTCTGAAAACACGTGTTGTCTACTCTTGCTCTATCTTCTTACTACTACTCGTATCATTCTCTATCTATAGTATATTTCAATAACTGACCACAGAGTATACAGGCGTCGGTCGCTGATCAAAGATATAAGCTGTATGGGTTGAGCAATAGGGGTAGAATACACTCACTATAGCAGTGTATGAGATGGAAATGAGAACATCGAAGAGTTTACTTTTGAACAATTTAGTCTATAAGTAAATTCTTTGCATGTGAATTTAAGGTTCAAATGTTCGATTCCATCAACTGTGTAGCGTCCTTTTGTGCTTTGCTTCTTTCTACTCTATCCTTATCTCTCTCAATTAATTAATCAGCTACATCTGTCAAGGCATACTCTAATATCTACATATTAGTCGTTCTTTGCATTTAATTATCCTTAGTGGACGCATGTTCAGGCATATGCTGCAGTATATCTGTTACCTATCTCTTTCAAGATCTAAGCAACTAGAAAAATGCTCAATTCTCACATGAACAAAACCAAAAGTCTTACTCAGCTGATAACGTTGAATCAGCCCATTCGTTTTGCCACGATGCTTCTGTACTAGTATTATTCCAAACTTTTTCATCTTGTTTCGGTTCTTGATCATTTGCTTCTTTCGTAAACTCGTCGATCCAGTCTTGTACGATGGAGTCTTGCTGGAACATAAAAATATCTTCAATTGATATATATTCACGAAATGCGTGAACACATCAAGTAATACCTTTTCTTCTTGGGCAGGTTGCAGTTGTTGTTGCTGTTGTTGTTGTTGTTGTTCATTTTGCGATGTATTTGAAATTGATGGCTTACGAATAGTTGTTTTGTCCATTGAATTTGAAATATTTGTTTCGTTCGCAAGTTGTTCAACAAAACTTTTGAACTGAAAAATATAGTAAGAATGACAAGACCATCAAAAGCTAACTAAGATGTCATTACTTCCGTATCGGAAAACGGTGTTTCTTGGTGTAATAGAGATAGAATATTTCGCGCTGTTTTGGCAGTGTCATTATCGAACGTTTCAATTTTGTTTGTTGATAATAGTGAATTTTCTTGTTGTAATTGTTCTGGATGAATAAATGAAGTATTGTTTAAATACGACGTGGATAGTGGACTAAAAAAAATAGTTAGATTCTCGCACGGTATACAAAAAATTGCTTTAAGTATTTCTTGTCAAGCACAAAGTCAGAAGAGTGCATGCATCTTTCGACTGTACACTCGGTTTCCATTAGAAAAAGTTTGATATATAAAAGCCATATTAGAACAAGGACATGATAGACAAGCCGCACATAATTCTATAGACACCGAATCTTAGAAGAAAAAAATGAACTAAAACTAGAAAGTAAACATTTATTTTACGTAGCAGTTTCGTCTAATTTTCTACATTATTTATCAGAAGAAAAAACGGTTGAACATCATCGTAAACCTACCGGATATATCTTGTTTGTTCGTTCCAGTATGGTTGAGACATCCACTGTTCTTGTTGTTGTTGCATTAAATCAATATTATTCGGTAATAAAAAAGAAGATTGCCGTTGTTCTTGTATAGAAGAAAACGGCATAGAAGAAGAGTCTGGCAATATTGCCTGTGAATCAAAAGTTCTATTATCGTCTGGATGAAGAATATGTGATGATTGTTGTTGCGTTGAAGAGGAGAAGGAAGATGATTGTGGTAATTGCATAGATGAATAAGAGGAATGCGGTGGGTGAATAACTGCAGAATTATTATTATTGATAAACGATGAAGAGTTTGTTACGCTCGAAGACTGTGGTGGTGGTGAAATTGTTGTTGTCTTCGTTAATGGTATTGTCTGAATATCAGGTAATGTGTCTAAAAATTGTGTTGTCCAATCGTACATTGCAGAATCTACAAAAAACGTGAGAAAAAAATGTTTTCTGAATAAATTATGACTGATTTTCTTACTATGTTTTGTTGGATGCATAAATCGGTCTTCAGCTGTATTTGTGTCATCAGATAAACGTAGTCCTGATAAAAGTCCTTCAAAATGAAAAGTACCAGGAGCTGCTAATGGTAATTGATGATTGCCTGATGTTGACTGCGCTTGATTCAAATAGTATTCACTAACTAAATCATCAATTGTTGCATCACCAATATTTGAACTCTAAACAACATAAAATAAGGTCAGAAAACTTGGAGAACAAGTTGCTGTTGTTTGGCTCTATTTAGTCTCTGCCACCGCAAAAGCAAATATATTATATTCTTTTGATTCTTATGAAACTACTCCAAATAATTTTCGAACGAAGGAATGTAAGTTATATACTCAGAACTCTAGCGTTTTTGCTGTTTTTTACGCATTCTCACGATCTTAATCAAATAAATAATCATAGTGGTTATGATCGTAAGTTTGCCTAGTAGAGCCCTATTATAACCTTAGAGCCTCTACGTCTAATCTTAACATCGTTCTCAGTATGCATTCATAATTTTCAAATCATTCAAGGATTATTTACGATTTTATAGCCTCTGGGTAGGATCTTAAAAACATCTAGTGCCCCTCGTTATAGTCTTGAAACCGTACAATCTTAAAACTGCTGCGAGATCTATAATTGTTATCTTTTTGTTCAGGGATCGTACCCATGTGGTCGATTTTTACTAAAAACCGACGATGGTTAACCGCAGTTATCAAAATAATTAACAGCCGGGAGAAATTTTATATTTTAGCTCCAAACGGGGCTGCTTGTGCCTTTCTTCTTCATTGTTGATATTCTTAAACTTTCCTTCTCACAAACATCATGTTTTATGTCAAAACAGTTATAGTAATACACAAATAAAAATTTTAGTTTATTTAGATTAGATCCTTGGTAAGTAACGATCACGCCTGCTGCCAAAAAAACTTCGTTCCACTTAGAAGCTCCCGCCAGTTTTTAGGTCGTTCATCAATCCGTCCTCCAAGAAAGAGTATTTTTATGTTGGCAGACATATTGTGTTTTTGCTGGGAATTTTGTTTTTATTTTGCAAAATGTGCACCGCGTGATCTAGAGAAGTACGCTACGTAGAAAACTTCTGAATATGGGAGGATAATCTGCCGATATTGAAGATTGATCAATGCACATTTTTCTCTCAAATAAAGGTCCAGATTCGGTGCCATAAGCTGCACAAGTGGAAGTAAAATGTGTTTTGGACTTAGATAATTATTGTTATTTTATTGTCTGGCCCCATTTAGTCAAAGAAAGAAAAATAATTTTTTTAATTATGGGTTGTTTATAAATAAAAACATAGAGACATTTAATTAATGAAAAGAGAATTTTAAGTTAGAAGAAAGAAAGAGGAAAATAAAAAGACGATTTGTTATTTCATAACAGAAGGAATACTGAACAACTAGAAATTCATTGATTATTGAAACGCAGATTTAAACACGTTTGGTAAAAACCTGCGTTTGAGTCGAACGCGTTTAAATGCTTTTATATGTGAGGACCGTTCGAACACTTTTTTTCAAGCGTGTTTGTTCAGCGTCGTAAAACGTTTGACGATTAAAGGCGGTTAAACGCAGAAAATATTTAATACCCGAAACGCGTTCGAATTATTGAACACGGTTTAAGGAATTTTCAAAGCTATCGTTTAAACCAACTAAAATCACAACGAAAGTGTTGTCGTGAACCCCCTATTGACTGCGCACCGCCTATGGCAGATTCAGATTGGATACAGTCTGTCGATGTCGCAACTTGCGCGTAGCGCAATTACTCTCTAGTTTCACCTTCATGAATTTCTGCTGCATACTGTGCATCTACCCACTAAAGTTCTTTTATTACCAGCATTTCAACATTGCACAGCAGAATAGTAGTAGAAAGAAATTGCTTATAATAAAATAACTGTACTTACACCAAACGTATTGTTGTTTTGTTTAATTAAACCATCCTATAAAATAAAATGCAAATTCTAGTTTAGTGTCTGTCATTTTAACGTAATAGAACATCATTCATCACCTGCGTAACTAGCGTATTATCTCTCGCATAAAATTGACTGAGCTTAATCAATGGATTTGTTTGTCCACATTCCGAATCAATTAACCCTTTTAAAGCAGCCATCAATAGAAAAAAATAAGATTTAGGGAAAAGATGATTCGGTAGATTACTAGATGAAAGTTTTTGAATCTAAAATAAAGAGAGTTTTGAAGACATTTTGATAAACATATCCGAAGCCAGAACTATCCCAAAGCACCATTATACACTAACAAAAACAGTCTGACGAGCATATTTTCATTTGAAGTCCTCGTGTTGAAAGAGTGATGACCATTAGCAAAGAAAAACAAATAAATAGTAGATAATAATCAGTTTCTTGGCTCTATGCCAACACGACGTAAAAGTTCATATAAGCGAACCAATTACATCTGAGTATCGAATAATTCAAATTACCTATGCACTTACACATATGTAGATATTTAGAACTCTTAATTGTATTTGAAATTGTTCAGTTCTTCTTAATATCTGAAACGTCAAATTTTCAGACTAGTTTAGTAGAGAAATATTTCTTCACATACGTCTATGATTTATCTGTATATAATAAACATTCTTTGTGTAATGCATCGTTCCGCTTATGAATTCAAATTGAACGCATGGTTTCCAAGTGCTTTTTGTTGTATAAAGAACAAAATGGAGATGAAAAGGTTTTCTTTCTTTTATATTAAACGACGTGTGCCTCCTCTATTTATGCTCTGTATAATATGATATATAGTAGAGTTAATAGAAGAAATTGATTTTATTAAATGAGTGAAAAACCGACGAGATTTATACACTTTGATTTTGTCAAATTTCTCTATAACTTGATTGTTTCATTCAAATGATTTATTTTCTCGAACAGATTGCAACTAAGGTTAAGTCATGCAGTTTATTAAATCCTAACTAGTCGTGTCTGAAGCCCCTTGTTGTAAAGTAATTAATTAATTGTATCGTTTAACCAGATGTAAAACGAACAGTTTACGTGTGGTAAGAGGTTGGATTTTCTTTCTATTTTTTGGATTGATCGAGACAGCAAGTGATAGTACTGGTGGCCAAAGTACTGTTTATTGATATTGTGGTTTTTGAGCGGTGTGATGTTTAAGATGTATATTTTATTTCTATTGAAGATCATAAGTCCCGTAGTTGTAAATAATAATATAGCCCTTATGATCGTTGTCTGTCAGATCAAACAATGATCATTTTGTAATGATACAGCAATAAATTCTTTACTAGCCTTATCTATTTGGGACATTATAACAAAACAATATGAGTGCGTCCGCATTTGGCGAATCGTATGATCAATCAGGCGATATTGGAACTTTAGTAGCGGGCCATCGTCAGCAAGAAAATGTATGGGGATCATTTCCACCTGTAACAACATCTCCGCTGCCAGCATTCAATGGTAGCAATAATCCAAATCGACAACAATGGTCTAGCTCAGCACCACAATCTCCACAGATACTCTTGGGGCAACAAGATGGTGGTGTGTTCTTTGATCATGTATTTAGTGGAAACATAACACAACACCAGCAACTACCGTCGTCACAAAATCATTGGGATTCACCCGATATTGGGCGTAAGTCGCCGCAATCGTCATCACAACATTGTTGGCCAACATTAATGCCACAACAGCATTCATCGATTGCTCAATATCACGACAGCGAAACAAATTATCTTAAAGCTCAACCACATTTAGATTTTTCTTCTCAGACACAACAATATTCCTACCCTCAACAACTACCATACAATCATTCAAATAATGAAACTTTATCTCATATCAATCGCAATGTAGCTTATCCACCTGATAGTACCTTTACACCCACGACGTCTGATGATGGCAGTATAAATAATTTTCCATTATTATCTAATGGATTAACTCAACAGCAACAAGCTGATTTATATTTGCAAGCGTATTTCTCAGCACAACAAGTATTGAAAGGACGACAACCACAGCATCAACAACAACAAATGGATATCATAGGTCAATTAGAAAGACTTCATTTAACACCTCAATCACCGCTTCAACAGTCGTTAGATCCATCCGTTTATGGTCAAACACAATTTTCATTTGATCCTCGCACACAATCACCATCACAATCTACAATGTTCCGTTCTCCATTACCATCCCTTCCAACATTTGCCGCTACTCCACAACGCTATCAATTCCCATCACAACTGGTTGGTTCACGTTTCGATAATGCAAATTATCGTACGACAAAAAGCGGAAAACAACATATTGGACCAGATGGTTCAAATTTGTTTATATGTCATTTACCACAAGACTACACTGATATTCAATTAAACCAAATGTTTTCACAATTTGGTTAGTTTTTATATTTTACTTGTTTTTACACATTAGTTAATAATATTTTGTTATTTTGTTTTCCTTAGGTCATGTATTATCAGCAAAAGTATTTGTTGATAAAAAAACAAATCAGTCGAAGTGTTTTGGTTTTGTTAGCTACGATAATCCAAATTCAGCGTTTACTGCTATTACACGAATGGATGGCTACAGTATTGGTTCAAAGCGTTTAAAAGTCGAATTAAAAAAAGCAAGGAGAAATTCATAAATTACATGTTATGTGTTATTTTTCTGAATAGGGAAGAACAGTAGTCGCTCCCACATAGATTTGATCTGATAAATCTGTAATAGAAAAATGCCAAGATCTGTATGTGTTTCCTATGTGTTAATTATATTCTCTGAAAGAGTGTGTCGAGAGCTTTTTATGTTGTTATTATTTCATGAAAAATGTTTTGAATCATCCCTTTTAATCTTTGTTTTTTTTTAAAATTATTTATTTAATTTATTTATTGTTTTACTTTGTTTGCATGTATCGTGTGCTTTTTGTTGTTTTTTTTTCGTGTATAGAGATGGGATATATATGACGATATTCATTCAACATGCAACAGAGAGAGGTTCTTGCCACTTGTTTATAGGTAAAATGTGTTTTCTTTTTGTTTGTTTTTTCTTCGACATATTATATGTACTTTTTTAAGTAAGAGAGAGCGAGAGAGGAAGAGCGATACTTGTATAGGTTAGTCTCCTCTATTCTATTTTTTCTGAAAACCGATTTTTATCGACTTATCGATCGTTTGGTTTTGTTTAGCACAGTGTTTTTTCAACAACAAAAAAAAAATATTTTCTGTCTTTCGCCGTTCTATTTTAGTTTTATTTATTTATAGTGTGTGTTTTGAACTTTTTTTTTAGCGAGTTTGTTTGTTTTTCTCGCACATGTACTACTTTTTTTTCCGTGTTTCATTTTTTTCTGTTTTTTTTCACTGTTTTGCTGTAAACAAACAACAAAAAAATGTGTTATCTGTTGACAAAAAAACATCGTGTTTTTTTCTCCTTAATGTGTATTCTCTAATCTACCTGGCTGTTTTTTTGCTCTTGTTTGTTGCTGCTGTGTTTAACATAAATACATAACTATACAGATGGAAAGTGGAGGAGAAGTCGAACAAAATTTGGGGACAAAATATAAAACATATCAAATCTTCATCAAACTCAGCTTAAAAAGTAGACTTTGTTTTGTCTTAAATGGAAAAAAGTACTCGTACCTGTTCACGTTGATTATTCATTTTTAAAGATGAGAATATTAGTGTTTTTGTCAAAGGATACAAAGCTCTTTGCGTGATGTGTCAGATAATGTAACTGGAACGGCACGTTCACTAATGATCAAATGTGTCGCCGTAAAAATTTAGTGAATCAGTGAGAAAGTCTGGAATTTTTGACATAACAGCCCTTCTCTTCAGACCATACCATAATTATTTCTCTTTTTTAAGTAAGAATGCAATACGTGGATTGTTTATAACCTTTTGCAATGTTTTTTTTTCGACTAAAAAATATGTATAGATCTTAAATAAGCTCATTCAATTTCAAAATCTCTACACAGAGATGGAGATACAAAACTCAACTTTTCAGTAGACTCAGCATTTTGAAACGAAACCATGGTAAAAAAAGCGTTAAATATCATTAGAACACAGAATTTTAGAAATGTTTTTGGTATAATTTAAATTTCATATCGGTTTCGTATGTAAAGAGAATGTTTACTTTTTCGCTTTTTTTGATAGTATGAAATTCGCATGGTTTTCTATTTTGAATATCTTTTTTACGGAAAAACTTTTCTCCCCAGAAATTAAATGATTTTGTAGAGAATTATATTCATCGAATGCGTTTATTTAAGATCGTCTACACATATTTTACAATAGAAAAAAAAGCATTGCAATAGCGAACAGTAGTTTATGCGCTATTAATTATGCATCGTTAGGATTTATGCAATTTCATCTGCACACATAATAGTGAAAGCAGCGATAATGCGACTTATTCTTGGCAGAAGTATTGTTTTATTCATAGAATATATACTAAGAAAAACACGAATTTTTGCCTGATTGAAAAATGTAGACTATAGTGACATTTCACAGTTACATTCTTTGTTTCATATTGACTATAAAGTTGTTTCCTATTGGCGTGTAAAGTTAGGAACTTTACAATTATTTAACAGCGACGCACTGGACAGATTTTGATGAATTTCAGTGCTTAAGGCTTTTAAGAGGCGATCTTTCTTTTTGAAATTCCTTCCGCACAGTTAAAAGGTAACCTATTCAACGTTGAACAAAACAAGACGTTCTACACTCCGCCACGGGTCCTTTCTCCGCTAAGGTACAGAGGTTCGCTGAGGTTAGTCAAATCCTTGTACTTAGAGCATACGAAAAGTAACGCGATTTGCAGGTAAAAACCCGCAGACTAGAGGTAATTAAGTTTTCACTTCAGCAAGTATTCGAGCTAGTAGACATTGATTACCCACGCACTATAAATTCGTTTCACAACATTTACTGAAAGCTTTTTCGAATCATCTTTGATTGAAAAATTGAGTATTTTGGTAACAGCACTGCATACAACGATTAAGAACTATTTTGATCGGTTAATTTTCTTGAACATGGTCGATTAAAGAAATATAGCGAATACATAAAGCGGTAGTAGGTCACAAGTTCTAGATTTGATACACATAAACGGACTTCAGTTCTTCGAATTAGAAGGATTACAAGAGAGAAATCTCTACCGACTACAGTTGACGCAACAAGTTAGCCTCACAACAATGTTTCATGCCTTTTCTCAAACTAACTAGCGAAATACTCTTAAAAAATAGACAGATACGGAAAGAGAGCAAATGTATAATCACCAATATTATATCAAAATTCCCTAAAACTACTTATCAAGGGAGTGAAACAGCAAGGTCATCAGATAGTGTTTCAGAGTCATTATTACAACGTTCAACCGTATATTCACAAAGCTGTTTTTTAGTATCTCGCATCAAAACGTATCTAAATATTTTATATTCACCGTATTCTACGGGTCCAATACTACGTGGTTTTCCGGTGTTCTCTCTAATTCATAAGTATAATAAATCAAACGACCTTTAATCACTGCATTGAGTGTTGTAACAAAATAGATGAATTTTTCAATGAAAGATGATTCGAAAAAAACTTTCAGCAAATGTTTACCTGGTATCGACCACACCGTTGGAATTTGGAGGTAAACAAATGGTATTTTTTTCTGTGCGGTACCTCCAAATTCGAAATCTTTTTGAAACGATTTCTGCACAGTTAAAAAGTCACTATAGTCTACATTTTTCAATCAGGCAAAATTCATGTTTTTCTTAGTGTATATTCGATGGATAAAACAATACTTCTGCCAAGAATCAAGTCGAATTATCGCTGTTTTCACTATTATATGTACAGGTGGCAATATAAAAATAGGCCAAAATCCTAACGATGCATAATTAATAGCGCATAAACTACTGTTCACTTCCCGAACGAATAAAATGTATCGAGTATTGGACAATCCTATCTAGGTAATCTAATTCAATATCCAATATACCTGGATACAGGTAAAAAGAAAGTATTGGGTATTGGGCAATATAAACTAGCTAACCCAATACAGTAGTCAATATACCTAGATAACCCAATACCATACCTAATATATCTAGATAACCTAATAAAGTGACACCTATATCTAGATATTTTACAGTAGAATTGCCCAATACCCGATAAAATATCTAGATATTTTCATGTATGCTTTTTTTTTCTACTATAAAACATGTGTAGAAGATCTTAAATACATAAATTTGATTTGATGTATGCTAAATGAGCATTCGTACATTGGTATGTTGGTAAAGGTATGGAAGAAGGCGCATTTGCTCCTTTGGAACTTCTGGCCAAAGCTTGACTAGCGTTTGTTCAGCTTTTTGAGCTCTACCGAACGGTGTGGTCGGCAAGCTTCCATCTGGTTCCTAAAGCTCGCTATTCCTTTTCCAAAACAAAGCTAAAATTTCGAATTTTGAAATTCAAATTCAAATTCAAAACTTCAAGCTGGAGTCTTGAATTTTTTCAAAATGTAGATCAAACATTTCTCTGCTGGACGATCTACTCGAAATGTTTCTAAAAGCAAAGACTTTTTGTAAAAAATTATTTTGTACAGTTACGTGTGTCAGAACGCAGAGTTTTCTAGAAACTCTGCTTTTGCCTATTTTGAAATAAATTTGAATTAACCACCCGATAGAAACACTATAAAGCCAAACAAGAGAAGGAAAAATGTGGTTCAAATTTTCGCTGATGGGTAACACCGCTATAGGGACATTTGCTGATGTAATTGCACAGACTTTAAGTCTGTGCAATTACATCAGCAAATGTCCCTTTTATTTATTTAATTCGATTACATGTATGTTATATAATCGTGTATTACTTATTAGCTCGATACTTTGCTGAGGAAAAGAAATTACACATACACTAGTACAAAGAACTAGTGTGAATAATGTTGTGAAACTTGAGTATATTTTATTTATTTATTAACAAACTAACCGACAAAACATTAAATTTCATAAACATGCAAAACTTCTCGAACAAAAATGAGGAAGAGTTCGTTCAGTCTTATAGTGAAAGAAGTCTAAAATCAAATTATATAATACTTGTGATCTTATATACCATGTGACTGTTACTTAGTTATGAATAGCTTATATATAAATGTTATTCTCTGCATTTCAATTTTCTTTTAATAGTATTCCAAAACCAAATATCTCTGTAGTATATGGAAGACATTCGTCGTATAAATCATTAAGTACTTTCAATATTCCTCAGCATCGCCACCACCACCATGACTTTCGTCTGCTGAATCAAGACCGACTTCTTCATAATCCTGGATAACAGAAAAACAGTATTTCGTAGGAAATAAATATACGCAAATAATAATACACTCACTTTTTCTAATGCAGCTAAATCTTCACGTGCTTCAGCAAATTCCCCTTCTTCCATACCTTCACCAACATACCAATGTACGAATGCCCGTTTAGCATACATCAAATCAAATTTATGATCAAGACGCGCCCATGCTTCAGCAATAGCTGTCGTATTTGATATCATGCATACAGCACGCGGAACTTTTGCCAGATCACCACCTAAACAGATAACAGAATTTGACGTATGTTATATAACGTTCGTTTTAATCAACCTCTAATAATTTACGATAGGTTACACTCATTTACGTCTAATATATCGATAAATATGTTGTACCTGGTATAGCCGCTGGAGGTTGATAATTAATACCAACTTTAAAGCCTGTTGGACACCAATCAACGAATTGGATCGATCTTTTTGTTTTTATTTGTGCTATAGCTGTATTTACATCTTTCGGAACAACGTCTCCTCGAAACAATAGACAGCAGGCCATATATTTTCCATTACGAGGATCACATTTAACCATTTGATTTGTCGGTTCAAAACAAGCACTTGTTATATCTTGAACGGAGAACGCCTCATGGCCAGCTTTCTCAACTATATGACAAAGAGATTCCACTTATAAATAGCACAAAATCTAACAATAATACATACCACTACTAATAGGCGCATACGTAACAAGAGGAAAATGTATTCTTGGATACGGTACAAGATTTGTTTGAAATTCCGTTAGATCAACGTTCAATGCACCATCAAAACGAAGAGATGCTGTTATTGAACTGACGATCTGTGCTATTAAACGATTTAAATTCGTATACGAAGGACGTTCAATATTCAAGTTTCGTCGACATAAATCATAAATAGCTTCATTATCGACCATAAATGCACAATCGGTATGTTCAAGTGTACAATGAGTAGTTAAAATAGAATTGTAAGGTTCAACAACGGCGGTTGAAACCTAAAAATAAAGTTAAAAGGAAAGACAGATACTCAATAAAATGCTCAAAGATTAAAATACTTGAGGTGCAGGATAAATTGCAAATTCCAGTTTCGACTTTTTTCCATAATCAAGACTCAATCGTTCCATGAGTAGCGATGTGAATCCTGAACCAGTACCACCTTTAAAGAAAACAAATTACTGCAGGGTCTGACATTTTGAGTACTCAAACAATTAAACTTACCACCAAATGAATGAAAAACAAGAAATCCTTGAAGTCCTGTGCATTGTTCGGCTATTTTTCTCATTTTATCTAATACAGTATCAACAATTTCTTTTCCTATGGTGTAATGCCCACGAGCGTAATTGTTAGCTACAAAAAACACAGTATCGGTGACTATCTAATCACTTATATTTCCAAAATTCAAACTTACCAGCATCTTCTTTTCCAGTGATAAGTTGTTCGGGATGAAACAGTTGTTTGTATGGACCATGACGAATTTCATCTGGACAACTAATATTTATCTACATTTTTGTTCGAACGCATCAAAAATAGACTTACCGATAACTGTAGGTTCAAGATCAATAAATACAGCACGAGGCACATAACGTCCATTGCCTGTTTCGCTAAAAAATGTACTAAACGAGGTTTCGCGAGAATCTGATACGGACTCTAAATTAAAACGAACAATGTTTCTCCGCATGTTTAACATTCCATACTGAAAGACATACTTATTATATGGCTACTATCGCGATCTTTACTAAATGTACCATCGGGCTCAATTCCATGCTCCAAACAATACAATTCCCAACAAGCGTTGCCAATCTGAACACCAGCTTGTCCCACGTGGATCGATATACATTCTCGCTACGACAAATATAAAAACTCTCATTTTTTTTCAAAACAATAACTGAAAAATTTATGTACGCACGCTCTATTTTCACACTTTTTATTTTGCCGAAGGGACTGTACAAAAGATTTGATGTAAAGCCTGTTCTTATTATAAATCTATCTCAAAAATGACTCTTAACCGCGCGATTTGAAAACATACCATTATAATTGATATTTATGTTTTGCTTTATTTTGTGAAGACACTCGACGTTTGTTACAACAGTTAATACTTAAAAAAGAAGACGAAGCGCATTACTCAATACTCATTTATACATGTATCTTTCTCTCTTTATGTTTTTCTTCTTCATCGCCTATACAATAAATATCTCAATGTTGGATATGTAACTAATGTCGCATAGAGCGAACAAAAAAGAAAAGAAAATGCACATATTATTATATATATTCATAACTCATCGATTTTACACATCTAATCATGTGTACGCTTTATCTAGTATATATACATAGCCCGTCATACTATATTTAAAGATAAAAAAAATGTTAGAATGTAATAGAGAGTGAATCTCGGCAGAAGAGAGAATAAAGAAGAATTTTGGTGTTTTTTCTGTGATCTCAAGCTATTCGCTAACAATCATTTCTCTCTTTTTTTTATCATTTTGTTTGTTAGCCTGAAATAAGAAGAACTCATTTTTTTCTACTAGACTATTCTACAAATTGGGAATTATTTTTTTTCGTCAGAAATGATTGTCTTGACTTGCTCGCAAAGCAAGCAATTGAGAGGAAAACACGAGATATTATGATCATGGTAGCAAAAAATGTACAAAAGCATGTTCTGTTTTTCTGATTTAAGATTTTTCTCAGCTAGTACACTTACCGTGATTTACTCCTACGTTCAAGGCTGTTTTTTGACAATATCAGATGTAACATACTACTGAATTTCTTTCTAATGAAAGAAATTCAGTAGTCCTTTTTCCAAAAGTTCCATCTTTGATAGAATGCTATCGTTTTTTGGTATAATAGTTTATGACTCATTTACTATAACGATTAATTATCATGGATAAATTTCATTTTGTTTTCTATACGCGCTACGGTTGGGCACACTAAAGATAAGAATCTTTGTAGAGCTCGATGTGTTCTATCACTTTTTTAATGCAAAGGGTTTATGTCACACATTTTAGTTTAAAAAAGGATTAATTGAAAACAGTCAGTCTCAGAAGAATGTTTAAGTAGTTTCAATTTAAACGCTCAATGTTTAGAACTCTACGAATTATTGTTCGTTTCGAAAAAGACCAACTGCCAAAAGACCAACTTCAAAATTTGGATAATCATTGATTACTTACTATCTATTCCTTTCTTAACATAAAAAGCGACGTGATGTCAATCCTGTAGCTCGACGGATATTTTAAACCATTTTTAAATAAAAAAAAAGATAGACTCTCACTTGTGTTTCATTTTAAAGAGAACACTTTGAGCTGTCTATCATGGAAAAATTAATTGATTTTTATTCCTACTTTTTGGGCTTATAAGCTGGTTTGCATACTAACAACATAATTCTTCCTGAATAGAGTGGCTTCGGGACGGGCAGATGGGTACAGACCAGATCTTTAATTTAACACAATAAATTCTTTGGATAAAATCAAACGCAGAATAAAATTTTTTATTAATTAAGCTTTTGACAAAATATGGCATAATGATCAGGCTGTTCGCATATTACATGATCAAAGAAGGCGATTAGAAGGAGTTGATAACTCGCAAATGATTGTTTACTTGTGCTTACCAGAAGAGATGGAGAGGTATCGAAAGATTAAGTAATCATTTGATTTTTTTTATACTAACACGAATAATGTCATTTCAATAGTCTTTGAAATCATGTGTTATTGATCGTCTTACATTTATTTAAATTTTTGACCTCTTTCAGTAAGATTTATCAGGACCGAAAAAAGGAAATTTAATGCTTAAATAGAACCGGATGTTGTCATCTTAGGAGCCCTGAAAAGAATATTTTCGTATTGTTTTAATTTTAAAAAGTCAACAATTGTAAGAATATTTGTAAAATACGGTAATACGTGCTAAAATTCCCGATTTCAAATCTGATACAACCAATAGATAGAATTCATCAAGTGGGTTAGACTAACATCGAATAATACTCAGATGGATGCTTAATAATGGCTACTTACTATCAGCCGAAACATAGTCACTAATGACATGGGCTATACGCTGCTCGACTTTCAATGTGGGATTACGATTATATTTACTAAATTACACAGTTGGAGAGGTACTGACGTCTTTTTGGGTATTGATGGATGTTAGTGGCTATGTTTCGGCTGATGGTAGCCATGATTAAGCATGCATCTGAGTATTATTCGATGTTAGTCTAACCAACTCGACGAATTCTATCTATTGGTTGAATCAGATTTGAAATCGGGAATTTTGGTGCGTGTTAGCCTATTTTACAAATACCCACAATCATCAGCATGAAAAAGTTCGTTACGTTTCGAATTAAATGTGAGTAGTATTTTGAGTGTACGTTGTTCGGTGATTAAAAGTGGTCAGGTTTCCATTAGTTAAATAGAAGAAGCACGAATTATACAAGCATTTCATTTATATAATGAAATATACCTTTTATATGCTGTTGACATCAAATAATTTTCTACTTAAATTAAACTGATATTGACAACAATGAAAACAGTTATCTGTTTTTCACCTAGCGTCAGTATATTTCATTTAAAAATTGCATTGCATTTTTATGGCAAATTGAATGTCGTTGGCACGAAAGAAGATAGAAACTTGCCATCGTTTATCGAACACTTTCGCGTATCTTTCTTTGGAAAAGAAAGCTCAACTTTGGCTTTTTGAAGATAAAATATTCGAAAAATCTTTAAATAACTGATTTGGCGTATAAAGTCTCTATACAAATACACATGTCTTTTATGTAGGTGAATAATTGATGGTGTCATGCACACACAGACACACACACACACAAAGTGATTTTTCGCTCGAGTTAGTGAACGATAGTTACACCAGCATCACTAGCAGATCAGTAGTTTTTATTATCTATCGGTGCCTTTTAGAGCTTGTAGGAAAATGCTCATAACTTTCTCCTACAGTGTCGATCGAACAGAACATGTTGCATCTTATTTAACACATCTTATTATCGTGTTACATCTTATTTTAACAAGAAATGTTTGCAGAATACTGGAAAAAAAGATTGCAGTATTTATACACGCATTTATAGCGTTTCAACAATCTTGCTTCATAGACTTTCTGAAATAAGTCTTTAAAAACTTACAAAAATCTAACAGAAGGCAAAAAAGTATACAGATACTGGAAATAAACACCTCAGGTTACCCATCCAGATTGTAAAACTCGATTTTTGATATTTTAAAAGCAATAATGTATCGCTATAGTATTCGTCATTATCACAATAGAAAATATATCACACTCTACCGGGATATATCGAAGTTTTCGGCAAAAATTCTGCTCATGCTAGCAACATTCCAAATTTTCTTTTCATTAACTTACTTTGACTAAATCTCCGACATGAATATCTGAATATATAATGGATGATGCTTCAATGATACTTCTGAAATAGTACAGGAAAAAGAAGTACGTTTTTTAGTACTTGGTCTGATTTTTTTCATTGAACAGGCCTCCTAACTCTTTCAAGCTAAAAATTGCATTGTTATTCGATAATGGAATACCGGTAATTCGATACATTCAAAAAGGAAAAGAAAACGAGACCATAATGTTTATTATCACCACTTCCCGTTAATCGAACAATTATCGACGATTCAATTGATTTAACAATTGTACATGTTTTAATGCTTCCAATTGCTAATTGATCACTGTGTGTTAAAATCGTTGGCGGTGATTCTAATGATGAGATTGAGGTGAAAAATGAACTAGTTTTATTACGGAATCGATTGAAAGAAGAATGGCATCAATCTTAGTGTAGAAAAGAAAGAATCAGTTAAGACAAATTCAAGAACAAATAAAGGACAAATATCTACTATTGAACATTCGATAATAAAACTTGCACTTTTATGCATTCCAATAAAAACCATTTGAAAGTCTTTTTGTATAGATTGATGGTGTTGTTGAGCAAAGCTATCGGTCTGAGCTCCTCAACAGTCGGATATAGTCCGTTTTTCGATAAAACAGTTAATTTCACTAATTTGAAAATTTTTTAGGAAATTATGTCGCGTCGGCAAGTCGTTTAAAAATTCGAAAAAAATTGTATCATAGGAAAGCGGTAACTTTTTTAATAAAATGTTAGGGAGTCCGGTCATGTCGTGGGATTTCATTCTTTTTTGACCTCAATCGTTGGTGTCGAACTCCCTTTAAATTTATTTTGTACCAGTCTGGCTGGAATGAATCGCCAGGAAACGATTCGTTTAGCAGTGAGTCGACTTTCTGTCTGATGTCGGGCTCGATATCCCGAGTCGGTAACGTTAAATGTGTTTTAAAATGATCAAATAGTTTTTGTACAACATCTTCTGGTTCTTTTTTCCGTTGTCGGTCAAACCGCAAAAACTTTCAGGTTTCTATCGGAGGACTATCAATGTTAATTGCTAAAGTCTGTTTTTTCAGTTTCTTAACCAATATAAGTATGTTAGTGCGTCTCGAACACATTCAGGCAGCACCGATCTAAAATGAACTAAATTTTGGTACGAGTTACATTGAAAAATACTGGACAAAATGTTCGAAAAAATAAGAGGAAAAGCTTTCGTCTCCGTGTCAATTGATAAATGGTTTATGTATGGAAACAACAAAGTTAACAACGCCATGAAAACTGATTTCATTTCTGTTGTAAATCAAAATATTAGGTGGTGCGAATGGAACGATTATTATTTTTAAAAATTGCTTCTTCTTGTTTTATACCAAAGATCAATTTCATTCAGATCGTGCACACTTTAGCGATTGAAATGTTTCCATTTATTTTTATAACCTTGCGTTTAGACTTCCGATTTGCAAAAACTCCGTTCATCTCGATGTAGCTTTTGAGAAAAATAAATGGGTAAAAATTCATGAAAATTCGACGAGTAGTTTTGATGTTAATGTATCTTTCTCGTTCTAAATCTAGACATTAACATCTAATAATAATCACTTCATAGGCTCATACCAGGGATGAAATGTCAAATAGCTGTCACAAAGGGAATTCAATGTGAAAGACACATTGCTGTGAGTTGTAACTTAGAAACACGTAAGTTAACCTTTTTATTTGCTTCTTTTTTTCTAGACTGGTATTAACCGAATTTCAGTTACGTTTGGGGAAATAAAAGATTTTATTCACATTCAAGATTTCGAAACATTAACAACGAATGTAGAACGTTGACGTATATTCTCGTGACGATATAGCAGGTATTTATCTTTTATTTGTTCTTGAATTTGTCTTAACTAATTCTTTCTTTTCTACACTAAGATTGATGCCATTCTTCTTTCAATCGATCCAAACGAAACTAGTTCATTTTTCACTTCAATCTCATCTCGCATTTGTGGAAGACATACTGGACTATTTAACCATAGTATCAAAATTAAAAATTTATCACTTCATATTCTAACAATCTTTTATCTTGCAAAGAGTGATATGGAACATCAACTAGAAATCCACTTTTTCATAGTGGCTTAAAAAGAAGCGATTATTTCTATGAGCAATAACTGGAAGACAATATTTAAGCGAATTTAATGATGACGATATAATTCGACCAAAACGCCATTCCCATAGTGTTTCAATATCTTAACTAACAGAGAAAATGATTTAGGTCATAACTTTGTTTCTTACTATTTGATAGTCAAATAATTTCTTGATATCAGTAAAGGAATATATATAAAACAGATCGAGTAATTGACTAAAAGCTTTGATGATGACTTGGATTAAATGTTCCATTATTCTTTCAGTTATACTCACATATGAATGAAGCCAATTAATTATTCGTTTACCAATAGTTATAATAGATTGAATTGGAATATATTTCGCACATGCAATTAAACTACTCAAATAACAAATAGCTGATTGATGATATGTTATTGGTACTGATGGAAATGATTTCCAGTAACAATTTATAAATTAATGGCTAATAATCTAATGAGAGGAAAAAAAGAAATTAGGTAAACAAGACCTTGGTAGATCAGTTTCTGTGTTGCAGGAATGTACGGTTTTTTAGTGAAGAAATTCTCTAGATTTAGAATTCCTCTAGGTATATCGTGTGCAGTAGTTGTATTGCTCATAGAAATAATCGCTTCTTTTTAAGCCACTATGAAAAAGTGGATTTCTAGTTGATGTTCCATATCGCTCTTTGCAAGATAAGATTGTTAGAATATGAAGTGATAAATTTTTAATTTCGATACTATGGTTAAATAGCCCAGTAGTTGTAAAAATTCGGTAAAATCAATTTTCCAAAAAAAAATTGGTAAAAACAATTTTATTACCGTTTTTTACCGCTTACGGTAAAAACTTAAAAATTCTATCGCGGTAAACTTCGGTAAAAAAATCCTTTACCGTTACCGCTCATGCCTAGTTGTGGTCGTTAGATGTACAGTTGTTTCATTCGGAGTATTTGTCCGATCAGAAGAAAAGGTTTGGATAAAGTTCCTACGCCAACTTCTTTGACGGTTATCATGAAGCAATTTCTGACGACGGTATTTAGATGACATAAAAAATCTTCTGAATATTTTATGTACGGTGAAAAACTCGAGTAAATAAATATAAGTAGATATGTATTAATCAAAACATCTCCTAAATACGTCTTTATTATAACCGAATAACAGTTTATGATTAAGATTAGATGTAGAGAAAAAATATATTACATCTGCACATAGAATGCTCTACATACACGAACACACAGTATAGAGAACAGTTTTTACTTAATGATGAATCACATAGTACAGTATATCATTGTATAAAACTTGTGTTCGCCCGGCTTTGGAGTATGGTTCTATCATTTATGAGTCATCCTATTGCACTCACTTTTCTGTATTAGATAAAGTACAGAATCTAGCATGTAGAATCATACTACGAGACTATGTATCCTCTTCTACTATCCTTTCAAGTCAGTTAAATTTACCACCATTATCCTCGCGGAGAAAATTTTCACGTTTAGTTTATTTCTATAAACTTTACCATGGTTGCAGTGCTCTTTCTCATAGCAGTCTTACTAGTCGTCTATCCACCCGTCAAAATGAGAGAAACTCACATAACAAACGGGTCCAGCGCAAGAACTTCACCTTAAAATCTGCTTCCGGTTCTTTTGTACCGAAAACTATAGAGGACTGGAACAAATTACCTTGTACTGTTGTTCATCAGAATACGCTAAGAGCATTTTCAACTGTATTAAAACAACATCTTTCTACTGTCTAAATTTTTGCTATGTGTGTGTGCGTGTGTGAGATTTTATTTTATCTGGTGTTACATTCAAACAAGCTCTAGCTTTCTTGTAATTTCCTTGTGTTCTTTACAAAAATAAATTCATTCATTCATTCATAATATATCGACGATTGTTTAATTATCGTTTGTACGCTTATGACCAGGATGACAAATAGACTGGTCAATATACTGGAAAAACCACTGTCTCCGATATATCTCCCAAACCGTAGCTCGTGCAAAGTTTCGTCCGGAGAAATGGCACATCTACATAATATAACAAACATACAGCCACAACTTTACAACTACTGCTAACTGTATCATTAGTCTATTTAATTATTCACCTCAGTATCAAACCAGGATGCATAAAACTCATTGATTGTATCATTTGATCTTCTTATGTTACGATATTTCTGCTTCAAATTCCACAATTCGCGCAGTTTTAAATTAGTCTTTATCTTAACTTTCTAAAGACGTAATGACTTGGAAAATATAACATTTTGTTCCAGTGCAAAACCAATATCCTAAATCAATTTAGATATGCAACAGTTACATTTAAATTTACAGTCAAATGTATAGCTAAATTAACTTTTTATCAATCTCAAAGTTTTGTAACGATGTGAAGTCCGTTGTGTTTGCATAGGATGTTGACTTGAAAATAAGCTTTAAGCCATTTAAAACAATTTGGAGTTCAGTTGTTCCTACAGGTTGTTGATCGCAGTTAACTGGAGATAGAGTGATCAATCATCTATTTGTTTCCGTTCAATATCAAGGTTACGCTTTATAAATACCAAAAGCAGGTACACGTACTTTAAAATAACTAATGTATTAATGAAAATGCATTTGATTGCTCAAAAACTGTTTCAGATTGTGCTGAATGTTAATTTATACGAATTAAATGCCGTTCAGTCAATTTGTGTACAAATGTGTTTTTCTTATTTTCTATAAATTTAGAATATATCTGAGTAACGCCAAAAGAAGACGAAGAAAAAAAATTATTGATTTAGAAAAAACACATGAAAAACGCCTTCGTTTTCAGAAAAAAAAAACGGAAGGAAACAGATGAACAAAAAAACGAGAAACGAAGTAATAACAACAACAGAATATAACAAACAGTTTGCCTGTATCACGTACTAAAAATCAACGAAAAATATTTTCTCATAAGTCTTCTTTGTGTCACTCTTTTTCTCCCTCTCCGTGTTTCAGCCGTCTCTCTCATATTTAAAAAGAAAATAGAAGAATACAGAACAATAAAGAAAAAACGGTTTAAAATAAACGAGTCTGTCTGTAGTGACTCATGGCCTGTATCAAATCTTGCACGTCTTCACCAAAAGACAAACCTCGAAATTTTTCTTTTTATTTTCTTTTTTGTGTTTATTATTTTATCAAAGAAGAAACAAAAAAAAGAACCGATATAGTAAAGATATACAATAAAAAGAAGAGAACACACACACAACAAAAAATGGAGAGCGATAATGACCAGATCTAAATATATACGTATGCGCACGACAAACCTCTTTCTCGATATAGAAGCTAAAAACTATATGTATTTACATATACACAGTTCACGATGATTGTTTCAACCATCCTCGTTGGTCAAAATTCTCGATCTTCCAAATATTTGTATTCAAACACAAAATTATCACGTTTTCGAGTTTGCCATCGTTCATAATCGAAAAAGATATACGTACCCTAGAAAATAATAGTAATGTAGAGCAAATCAAACCTAAGCTTCTCTTTTTATCATCTTATCAAATTGTATTATTTTTCTTACTTGTTACTTGGATATAGACTTACCTGTTCATAATCGTCCGTAATTTTTGATGGTTCTTCATGTCTTTGAAACCAACACATATGTTTTGTATGAAAACGCCACGATTGTCTTTTCAAAGCTTTTGCAGCTAGATATTGTGCTCGTGTACCCTTTGAACAAAAGCAGTATGATAAATTTTTTTGTTGTCATTATTTTGATACACGTATCTTTACCTCCATATAATAGAAGATGAAAAATAATGTATCTGGAGCAAGACGATAATAAAAATCCGCTGTATCACTACCAACGGGTGGCTGCAATGGATAATAAGGTATAACTTGTGACGCACCTAAAGGATTTCGAGCATATAAACGATTTGTACTCGTTCTAAACAAATAAACAAAGTAACAATTATTTATAATATACAAGCTGAACAAACTCCTATCCGTTAAAATGACCATCGGCAAATAGTTCAAGTTTTCTCCACAAACGCACAGAGGAGATCCGATAACGTGGAGGGGAAAGACAAGAGACGCAGTACCAAATAACTGTTCAATGCAAATAACATGTTCGAGATGAGCAGACAGGCGTTCCTGTTTGAATGAAGCAAAATTTTGGCTCTGATTTTGAAAAAGCGTAAGAAGCCGATTTCAATGTACCGCCTTGCTTCTAAAGTACTTCTGCGCTTCTGTGTACGCATACCTCTATAGAAAGAGTATCCATAAACGACTATTTGACAAAGATTTTCTTAAGTAGTTAAATCTTACGGGTTTAACCATATTAACTTTTTATTTTCAATAAGAAACAAATCTAATTCACTCACCTTTGCCGTTCGGCTTCTAACAATGATGGTAATTTTTGGTATGCGACACTAAGACGATGTAACATTCTCATTTCGGCTGGCGTCAATGGCACACGGCCGTTCGTTGTCTGAGATTGTTGCTGGCCAGTGGACAATCCTAACGAAGTTAGCGCTGATTGTTGATCACGTTGCTGTAGTTGTTGGGTTTGTGATTGCTGTAATAAATTTCCTCCCAACGACTGCGACGCAGCTGATGTTAAATTTAAATATCTCAAATTATCTGGATTAATTGGTGTATTCATGACTAACTGACTAAGTACACTAGATCCCATTGTGCTACTGTTCGATGTTTGTTGAGTTTGTATGAGAGTTGATGAGGCAGTTGTTGGAACAGAAGATGACCCGAGTTGATCCGAACTGCTATAAAACGATTGTTGTTGCTGAGATGTTGGAATAAATGTACTTAATGAGTTTAATAGTGATTCTGATGGTATAGAGTTCGATGAGGAAGATGCTGTCGATGACTGGTAGAGTAGTGGGTTTGTATCTTGTAAATTTAATAACGTTGAGAGATTAACAGATTGAGATGATGTTGGTACATGCTGTTGCTGACTGGATAATGCTGAAGTTAGAGGATCTGTTGTTGATGAACTATCAGTTAATCTTTGTGCCGTTGATCTGATTATATTTGGATCACCGTCCGATATAGTACGATTCAATAGAATAGATGATGATGTTACAACTGTTGGTGTTAGACAAGCCGTCGTATCCGTTGAGTTTATTGTATTAATATTATTATTGTTATAAAATGACGAGTTACCATAAATAGATGGTGCATTAGTTAGAACTGTTGATGGAGATGAAGATAATAAGCCCGACGCCGAAGATACGTTTAACAACGACAGGTTCATAATATGTTGGTTCAACAAACTTGATGAATCTGACAAAAAGGAATCGGCATCAATACTCAATCGCCATCATCTGTAGATGATGTGCGAATGAAACAATAGATGTTTTTAACAGAAATCAAACTAATATCTCGTGCTTGTGCATGTAAGAAACCTGTACTTCTTCAAATATTTTCTAACGTTTAACTTGTGCCTATGTCACAATTAAAATCTGCAAGAATTCTTTCTCAAATTGTATATAGAAACAAATTACTTCTTTCTAATATTTTTCATAGAATTGTGTTCTCGCTCGTTTGTGTAGAAACAGAAGGATTTTTTTGGACAATAGGTGTAAGCAAAAACAATGTATTGCTTACTTCTTTCGTTAGATAGAGATGATTGAGTAGCCAAAGGCTGGGCTTGAGATATCGTAATCGCAGCTGTCGCTGTGGTAGTAATAGGTGATGTTATAGTTGATGTTGTGGCCACTGTTTGATCATTATTACCAGTCAGTTTGCTGTTGTTTTGTTGATTGTGAAGTACTGTCAGAGTGGAAGATGTTGATGGCATTTTATTACTACTTGACGGTGATAAGATTTGTTGTTGTTTAGATGCACCGCTCATATGATTCGTCATTGTCGAGTTTGTTCCTGCATTTTGTGACACAATAGCGGCGTATTGTAGTACAGGCAACGTAGATGTGTTTGAGGCTGTCGTTAATGCTGTATGATGATGGAAATGGTTCGTAGTCGTGTTGGTCGTTGTTGTTGTGGTATTGGTAGTTACAGAAGAAATAGGATGAATATGACTGAACGACGATGGTGCACTTGTTGACAATGTGGGTACCGGTTTGGACGTCGATGTGAAATTTAGACTGATAAATGGTCCGTTTGAAGTACTAGATGGTGACGATGTGGTCGAATTCGTCGTGTTAGATGATGGCTGACTGGAAGGTTTTGTAGAAAACAACGTTCCCGTAGTTGTATGACTATTACCGTTATTATTTGTTGATGTTCCTGAATTTGATCTAAAAAGGAGATCAGTTATTATCTACGTAAATAATATCGTCGACGAAGAGTCGAGCAGACGCTCACACGTACCTTAACCGTTGTGACGGCTGTTGATTATAATCTTCTGATTCAGATTTATTTCTTCTTCGATCTTCACTGAAAGATAATGACGGACTTGGACTAGGTGAATTTGACTGAGTCGAAGTTGGCGACGCCATGATTTTTGTTATTTCACTTGTTTCATTATTTGTTGAGGATGATGATGTATTATTCAGTTCACCAGGGATTAGTCCGGCTAATTGTGTGCCCGCTATTAAATGTCCTCCAACTAATTGCCCTGGGAGTGGTATTAGAGGCATCAACATACTTAAATCATCAAGATCAATTTCATCGTACATTTGTTCATTTTCTTTAAAATCAAGTTCCTGACTTGATTCAATATAATAGTCTAAATCTTGACGAATATGTTGAACAATTTTTGGATCTAATGCATCGTTATTAACTGCACGCAAAATTTTTTCTAAACTTTCAATATGATATTTATGTCTTTCAATACTACTTTTTAATTCTTCTACACGTTCTTGTTTCTAACGACAGAGAATAAAAAGAAAAAGAAATTCTACAGTAAATAAGTTTACACAACACATTAACCACAATTTACATCTTTATCTGATTTTTTCTTTTTCAGCTGTGCTGATAAACTTTCAATATCGGATTCAAATTTATCAATTTGTATTCGAATTTCTTGAATGGATTCCTGAATAGGAAAAACAAAAAATTATTATATGATTTACTAGTATAAAACAAAATATTTGTATTTTAACTACCCACCGTTATCCATTGATTACACTCTTCTTTCTCTTTCACTTGTGGATCTAGTTTTTGTCCAGCGCCCAAACCTTCTTTACTATACGCTTTTGTTTTTGTTTCACGTTCAACAACTTTAAAACGTTCCATTTGCTGTTGATTATGGTAGTAAATAGCAAAAGACAAATCACACAAATATCACGACGAAACGTCATCGATCGATTCTATGTTGGTGACCAGAGCAAATAAACTAACTGAGGACCACTAAACACATGCAGTGCTGGGTATCGCAGATTAGTTATGCACTATTTTCCTAAGCTATACGGGTACGAAAAGCAAACAAACCTTCTGCCTCCTTTATAACGCATCTTTGCTTTAAAGATCAGAAGTTGAGCAACGTTAAGACTTTCGCTAAGTAGGCATTTGCATTCCAGTAGTTAGACTGCATATCATTTGAGAGAGAATTCAAATGTGTATTAATGTACATACTTGTTCAATATTTTTTCTTGCTTCTTGTAACGCTTTTTTATCTTTGATTTCGCTTGACGATATCCACGCTTTAATTTGATCTCGAAGCCTCTGAATATTCGAACGATGAAACAATGTGAGTTATGGTTCTTCTTTAGATAAAATCATTATTACTTACTTGCAGCTTTTTTATTTCCTTTTTTAATTCTTGTTCATATTTTTCTTTTTGATTATGATTCGGTGCTGAATGAACCTATAATAAGCAAAAGCACAACAAATCACTATGAAAAAACATACTAATGTTCTTATTTACTTTCTGCCAAATATCTTCGAAGGTTTCGACACCTTCCGCCACTTTTTTTAGACAACGGTCTATTTCACCTGTATTAACAAAACAAAAGATATATATGTACACTTTAGAAATACATTTCTGCCATATTCGACAAATCTTGCAAAACTACCTTGAAGTTTTCTCCTATCACCCATATATTTATATAATTGCGAAACACAATGGTCTAACACATATAACAAAAAAATGAATACTCGTATACTGACGAGTTTAAAAAAATGAAGTGAATTTAATCAATTTTAATATTCTCTAGAAAGAAATGAAACATAAACCTAATACAAAATAAATAAACACAGACTAAATTTTCATATTTTGTTCACACCTTATAGTCAGAGAAAAGCGGGTCTGCAAAAATTGTGTTATCGAAGCTGAACCACATTGGCTGGCTAAAGGTAAAAAACTACGCAAATCTGTTACAAATTTCTTCGAAAGAACGCACTAATGACTTATTCTCCTTTTATTTGCTTATTTCTCTGTCAATTTCCAGTGTCTCTTTTATGAACGAGATGAAGAGAAACACAATATAATAAGAATAAAAAACGATAAATTATTTATGTATGAGTCATATAACCTGAATTTACAGCCAATTAAACGCTGTTTCAACAAACAGTATAATTCAATGGAAATAGTTAACGCTTATGCAGTCAGAGAAATGTCGCTCAAGCACACATGAAATCAGCCTATATATTCCAAAGAATGAATAGTTAGGCTGAATTTCAATCGTTTTGGTTGAATTTCAAGCATAGCTGATTGAACATGAACATGTTAATTCGCAAAAAATGAATTAAAACGTTTTATTTTGGAACGATATCTTTTTCACAAACCTTTGCGATTAGAGTAGCCTACTCAAAATAGTACTAACTAAAGAATGAGTAGCCTACTCAAAATAAAAGGTATGTAGATAAAAGAGTTCTTTCTATCGCGAAACCAGCCGGCTAATTCTCAAATAGCACCGGTGAACTACAAGCTACGTTTACATAAATGCTACAAAAAAACATATTTAGCATTCATTATTTTATGATTTGATAAGTCTCATAATCGAGTTAAGAATACGAAATAATCGTGAAAAGTGGAAAAATGGACAGTATCAACCTACACGTTGAAAATAATTGTAGCTTTAGTTCTTATATTATAGCGAAGAGCATCTACAAATATCAAGCTACTTATTATTATAAATGTGCGATTTACGCTGCTATTGTACCGCTTTCGTAAAAAGCCCATAAAAAATAAACTGTCCTGTGGACTTTTTTTCTATCTTAGCAAATTCTGATAGCCCAGGCGATGATAATCCACTAATTTTCTCGACTACCGCTTTCATTTTTCTCATAAAACGGGTTTTCAGTACGAAAAGCGTAATAATCCCCGAGCCCATTGCGAAAAAGACGACATAAAATGACCTTGAAAAATTTGTTCTAATATAGCAATCGATAGATCTCGATGAGACCTCTCTGATTCCATGCGTTTTATTGCCACCGAAAGCTTCTAATATCAAACTTCTCAAAGAATGTATCATTCAAGATTCTTCAGCTTCAAAAAAACAAGTAATACGTGACAAGGCTACTAGACGTACATGACTAGATTTGTATCGCGATATGAGAATCGTGATCGACTCCACTACAAAAAAATTTCAGTGCAGCACTGAAGAAAGGGCGTCACTACCACGAAAGGGAAGCGCATTTTCATGCATAAAAAATGCATGAAAATGCGCATAATTAATTAAATAATTAATTATTTATAATTCAATAGGCTAGCCCTTCTCAGGAAAAACTAGTAAGGATTTTGAGGGCAAGGTCTCAGTTTTCGATCTTTTCCTGTTTTGATCGTCGCTGAAAGTCATAATAACGGTTGAGGATCGGAAACTAGTTGATCTGAAATTAGTTTTCAACGCGGAACTCAAATTTGAAAACCGCGATTGTGTAGCACAAACCAAAAGAAAGTTATAGGGGTTTTTCTGAAAACGAGAATTTTTGCAGTTCTTTGGTCTTTTCCAGTATTTTTTATTTTTAGTCGAAAAAACGGCCTAAAAAAAGACTGAGATGTTATCGATTGTGTGCCGCAAAATGGGTTATTACTACCGAAGAAGTATGGCAACAGGGTTCTGATATGGAAGTGCCAGAAAATCAAGTAAAAATTTCTTATATTTCTACCACTTTGGAAAAATGTGGGGCAACGCCCACCCACTAACAAAATCCTGGCTACGCCACTAATTACCACTTGTGCTTTATATTTCAGTACTATTTTAAGTATATTAAATAAAGTTTATTAAATTATTTTAGTTTAAGTGGGCCCCCCATCAGGAAAAAATTTCTTTATATTACCTCCGATTTCGATGGCGCTTTCAGTGACTAATGCTTACTGTCCTACGAGCTTATGCTAAGAATTTGAAACCGAAACGTTGAAGCGCCGCCGAGTTATTGCGTGACAACGGAGAAAATAGGATTCTTAGCAAAAGCGTTATAACTTTTTTGTTGGAAGGTGCAGAAAGCTGTGAGGGGCCTCAGATGAAAGTAGGCACCTAAATCTGAAATTTGATCCGCGGCGATTTTTGAATTTCGCTTCTGTTTATTTCCTACACGTATTTTAAGTCAGACCTCCGAGAATAATCCTAATTCGGTGGAGTATTTGCCACCTATCTCTGCACAGAAAACAAAAATCAAAAATCGCCGCAGATCAAAGTTTAGATAAATGTTTTAGCTTTCAAATAAAAAAAGAATAAACGTTTTACGATGAATCGTCTAGAAGTCATTACAGCTTTATTGTGCCAGAACCATATTCTAAGCAATGATGCCATTACTTCATTAATTATAGTTCAGCGCCTTTAGCAAAACTAGTATAACTCTACAAGACAAAGTCGTACAAACCTGCTGGATATCTCATTTTGATCAGAACACTCTGCTCAACATAGCTCTATGTCTGTTAAAACGGACAAGCTTAAAAATTCTAATTAAAATGTGAAATTTAGAAAAAGATGATTTTTAGGGCTTTCAGAAATCTCTTTGAAAATCCTGCAAAAACATTGAATTTTTGGCAAACTGAGATGGATTCTGAAAGATGACACTTTGAGATACTGAACTGTATGGTTACTTCAGTTTCCTCTGATATTGTACGCGTATGTTTACACACATCTGACATGTTTTATTACATAAACTCTTTCTGAAAAATAGAACTTTACCAGACTATTCATGTTAAAAAATTCAGGTCTCTAGCTACTTTGTAGCTGGAGTTATAGAGAAATAAAATGCACCGTTGGCATAAGGATTATTTAGCTCCCGCTATTCATGATGAAATTTCAGTCGAAAGGTCCTGCCTTGATTGAGCATGTAATGCTGCAAAGAGTTGTTATCATGGTAAGTGGCTCTCAGATCGAAGAATAAATTTAAGGTGCTCAGAACTGATCACGGAACTTCAGTTCTCTATATCGGATAAATGAAGATCAAGTTCTCGCTGTATATCGAATTCTTTCTAGAGAGAACAAGTATTGTACTGTGTATAGTAAAGTTTACTAAAAACCATGTGTCTGTTGCGCTAACCTAGGTGTTTGTATTTTTCTCATAGTTTCTGAATGAAAGAATGTGTAGACTGTAGGAACATCTCAGAATCTTTAACACACTTTTCTCTTTAATCTGTGATATTCTAGATCTCTAGGCGTCTCGTTACTCAAACATTATAAGAAAAACAAAATGCAAAAAAATCGTTACGGAATTTCACTCTGGTAGCAGAGATGGCTGGCCAGAGCGAGCACTATCTTTTTTTGCCTTTTTTATACATCCTTCTTCAATTCTTTTTTTTTTGCTGATCAAGAATATCTAACCTTATTAGTGCAACTTTTCAGTGAAAAAATTGAAAAAACTCCAAGGATCTCATTTTTCGAAAAACTATTTCTCTATAAAAAAAAGGTTCAAATATTTTTTTCTAGTTGTATTTTGTAACTTCACAATTATTTTTTCCTGATTCGGCTTATAAAACTGCCTCTAGAAATGCTATTTAGAACCTTATCACATATAACGTCGCTAAAAAAAAGAAGAATTCTCAGGCCTTATGAGGAAACATGGCGCCAACAAATTTTGCAAATCTAATTAGTTTTTACTCTTAAAAGATATAACCTTCATGCCTACTACATTGGGTTCATCTTTATACGGACAAAAAAAGTATAAATCGCTTTTTTTGAAATTCCTTTCCGTTGCCGAAAAAATTCATTTTTTCTAAATCAGAGGCGAAAAAGTCAGAATTCTGCTCGTAATTCTCAGTTTTCTTCATCAGAACTTAACTTTTATGCAATAGAAATATCATATTCGGATCGGGATAAAAGACTGAGTCGACTAATGTTATTTCGAAATTTTTGCTTGATTTTCATTTTTTGGTGAAAATCTTGATAATTTTTAACGTGAAAATTCGACAAAAAGTAAAGTAGTCGGGTAGAATAGAAATGCACATTCGTTGGATTTGCGTACCAGAGTTAGAAATTTCCTTAGTGATTCTTCGAGCCATTTTTTAAGTTCTGCATACTTATCGATCTCTTCCTGTAACGGGATACTGTCGAGTATCCAGCGAGCTACTTTTGCTCTCGATCCATAACAGGCAGCTTAGGCTTAAAGATGTTTCTGAGATATGCTTCTTTGATATCTTGTCATGTTGTCCTACGACATTTCGATAATTTGCTCCCGAAATAATCTGGCTGCGTCGATGGCAATCACTGGAAATCGTCCTGGAAAAGGATCTCATTCTACATGATTGTCATCATCGCCTTCCATGTTTATGAGATTTGAAAAATATGTTCATCTATTTCAAGGGGATTAGCAGCCTCACAATAAGATGCACAAAGGTTAGCTTTCAAACCAAAATATTCTTTTAAATACTTGACTTTTTGCAAGGCGTGCAGAATTATTTGTTCCAAATCTTGAAAAGAATCCGGAATATTCGTAATACAATTTTTCATTGTAAAACTCTGTGGCAAAATTTTAGGAGTTTTTTTGTGTGCGGTCAATTACAGTCTGTGTAGTGTTTTTGTATAAATGACGCTACAGTCACATATATAATATGCCATGGATTATCTAAGCAGAAAAAAGACAATATTTAAATGTAAGTTCCATGTAAGACTGAACTAAAACACAATTGATAATGAAAGACATACATGAAGTCAACTTTCCTACTTCTGGCGCAAATGAATAACTTTATAAAGGAAAAAATTTGTTTACAAGTACTCAGGTCAAAGATTCACGACCGTATTCTATAGTCTTTCGTCGTATTTTGACGTAAACCCGGTCAACGTATTACGTCCATCGTAAATGACGTTGGTTACGTTGAAATACGACGGTCATAACGGACGTAATACATTGGCCGGGTTTACGTCAGAATACGACGAAATACTATAGTACACGTCACATTATGACAGCATAATATGACGGATACGACCGTTTACGACAGTCGTAATCATGGATCTCGATAATTTAATATTGATCAATATTATTATTTTCTTCATAGTCTTATCATTATTTTTTTCTAAGGATGACTAACCTGATCTTCAAACCTGAAGTCTTAACTACAACCTAGTATATGATTTATTACTTCATCGTGCAACAATTCGCAGAAATTTTAATATCTTTCAAATTCGTGAGAACAGAAGGGCCTTTTTGGTGATTATGTTACCGACATGCATTTCGCTTACAGAAGAATCAAAAACCCAAACGAGTTGATATTTATAGAAGTAAGAGCCCTCCTTATCATACATCTACACGCCAAATTTCAAGTTTTCACTCTTTGTCGTTTACGAGAAGCAGGCTTTGAAAGTCGAAAATACGTCATTACACGGTGTAGTTAATTGTCTATTAGATATCCATTAACAGTCCATCCGGTGTTTATTAAATGGACATTTTTAGACTTTTAAGATAGTTTTCCAACCTATTTATTCATCTTACTAACACTCAATAAATTTTATTTTTATATTGGTCTAATCGATGACACTGAGAAAATAACATTTCAGTAAGTGTATCCCTGTATAATATAACTTATCTATATTCAGCTGAGAAACGGAACTTTTTTCGCTCGGAGTGGTGCGCCTGGACTGAGAAATTTGTCGTCAGAGCAACCGTTGTGCAGTATTCTATTTCCAGCTCAATACATAAGTAATGGACTTATCCGCTTTGCTGTTTTTAAATAAAAGATATTTAAAGTAAAATAATTGGAAGTTCCGTCTGTTTTAAAAAAATTACGTTAGTTCCAAAATAGATCTGATTTTCATTCCACTTAGTCTCATTTTAAAGAAAAATTTTTATATTGGCAGAAATTTTAATGTCAGTAACTCGGACCGTTGTCATTAGAAATTTTATCCAGCTTAACCGAAATGGCGAGGTCAAAAAACGGTCTGGTGATGTCCAGAAACCGGAAAAAACGTTAAACAGCCGTTGATTGATGATTTAAAAACATTCAGTTAACCGAGCAAATTTTTCACTTTATTATCGTTAATGGCCTGATTCTTTGCCGTTAGCTGATGATCAGTTGGCAGTCCGTTAATAAACTGTTTTTTGAAGACCAGGACCAACGTGTCACTATCAACGGTATAAAGAATGTCGCGCACTAAAGTCACGAAATAAGAAAAATTTTGAAAATGTTCAACATATTTTACATCTTTACAGTACGGACTAACTACTGCTGCACTTGATATAGTTTGTAGTTCACCTTTTTATAAATAATCTATATCTCTTCTCCCTTTACATATATATGTACATCTTAATTTGATTTAAAAGAGAAAATTGATGGCTGTTTTAATACAAATCACAACCATCATTTATTGATTATGATTTTCACCTGTTAATATATAAGTATAGTACATGAGCAACTAACTACCTGGAATGCACTTATGTGTTATAATTATATAAAAGTGAACCAGTTATCAGACAATGCTTATTTAACTATGTACCATTTAGAGAGTTAAAAATCAGAAGCAGAACATTTTAGTATTATCTTATTTATTAGTGTTCTATATATCTAGAAACAGATCTGAATTCAGTTTAAAAAAACCTTTCAATCAACTTTACCAAGAATATATACATAGTGCACAGTAGAGGTAGATACCATTACGGTGATTTGTTCAATGTGGAATCTTCTCTAAAATATGATTTTTTATATACTAAGCTAGTACAATAAAAATACTTAACCCTTATTATTTTCTAACTGTTTTTTGACGATGAGACAACCAATCAACATGACTAGCATAGATCTCCCGGTGTTGAGAACTTTCTACCTATGAGATAAAAAAACTTCGCTTCTATGTAAGTTCTATTTTCATATTGAACTGAACGTATATACAATCAAAACATCTCAATTTGTTAAATTTGTCTCTCACTTTCAATTTATAGCTCTAATAATTGGCCCTTATCTCTATTTCATCTTTCTTATCGAATATGTTTGTTCAGTTCTAAAAAATATAGCTAGTCTAGCATTTAATCAAAGGTTTGTTACATGTACTTCCCTTTAGCAACGATCTATGGTTATTCTAACAAGTTTTGCTAGAATAAAAAAATGTGTGAACAGGATCAATTAGTTAAAACGGAGTTTAGAGTATGTCGGCAGATGAAAACAAGCCAATATAAGAAACATGATCTAAATGTTAAAAATATAAGGTTGAAACGTATATATGTAAACGCATGTGTATATTATACTTTCACCGCTAAATACTACCACAACGATTCCAGATAAACTTCAAGCTCTAGCTGAGAATTCTTTGAATTTGAGAGGAAAGTGCAGGCTAAAATTGAAGAAAAATTCAATAAGTTATCAATAGAAAATTTCTCTAACTATAAAATGAGCAAACTCAATTTTAATTTAAAACTATTCAAAATTTTATTGAATATAACTAAAAAAATGTGGTTTAACTAAACAAATAGCGATGCTTGGCATTACAGAATCAGAGCGATAATTTAAACTGAAAAGAACTTTTTATTGCGAGTTGAGCTTCTAAACATGTCTCAACTATCTAAGAAAAAAAATCATCCTATTTTACGACATTTTCTTGTGAATTCTTCTTTAAATTTAGAAACAATAAGAGTCAGGAATGATATATTTTTCACTCAGCATACCGTCTTTGCTGTCTGTTCATCAATACTATCTCAGATTTGAAATCAACATCATTTTGATCATCGTTATACGCACAAATAATTTAACTAAATAAAAAACATTAATTGATTGTTAAATAAGAATGATTCAGTGATAAAATAAACCTTTTTTCAAAAAATCGTTATCTGCATATTATATAGCCAAATTGATTAAATAAAAAATGTCATGTTCATCCTCTTAAAATCATAATCAGACAACAGATTATGATTTTCAGCGCTAGTTAAATCTTTCGTTTAAATTCCAATGTCATTCTATATTCGGTGTGAGAAACGACAATGACAATGTGCACTTATCACTAGAACGATGATAAAATATTGTTATTGGCATTATGTCAATATTATAATTTTTATAAATGTTTGTTCATTAAATGATTATATTCTTTTTCAAATTCGGCAACTATTTGTTCAATTTGATGTAACTTGTGACGTCCTGATTTCACTATCACTAACTGATTACTAAAAACATAGACACATTCCAGTTCGATATCTATCAAAAAGAAAATATATCGACTTACACAGATAAAATTTTCAGAAGAATTGATTTTAAAAGATATATGTGACACGGTATATTTCACAAAGTAACACTTTTAGAACTTAGCAATCATTCGTAACAATAACAGGTAACTAACATAAAAGCTTGGCATCATTAATATTTACGCATTATCCGTATTTAGATTGCGTTCTTTCTTATAAATCTTTAAACTGTAAAAATTTCAACACGTGCTTGTAAAACAGAACTTGGCCTACACTTTTTCGTCAACTGACAAACTCTTTCCTTACAAACGATCGATTTACTTCATCACAAATTGTAGAAGGTACGTGTTAATAAATTACTCAGTTTTTTCCTAACTATAGATGGTTGTTTGTTGTTGAAATGAATTCTAAGGTTTTAAAGTCACAGAAGCATCGAATTTTTCAGTCTCCGTGATATACTGCTCTCTGAGAGCTATGACTATGACGAAAAGTAGAACAGCAATATTCTCTCTTATATATCGTTCCTAAATAGTTTTCTCTAATTCTTGAGAATTTTTCGATTTATAAAGAAAAAGGACATTCGAAAAGAAGAGCTATATTTTTTTCAAAAGTTAAAATGTCAGAACTCTTTGTAATATATAGCTAATCACACTGTTTCTTATCTGATGTTACATACAAAGTGAAAAAAATTAAAAAAGTAGAAGTGGTTTTTATAAAGAATAGTATCCTAGACAGTATAGAGGAAATGAAGTCTGACGCTCTTCCGATGTTAGGTATAAAAGTCTTTACTTTCACTTGAGAATTCTACACAGCAACACGTGTTTTATCCATAGAAAGAAAAATGTGTTTGTATTAATGACACAACACAAAACATTTGTCTTTTTTATTTTAGTCTCATACTTATTCATTCATGTATATTCACGTTGCCGTATTTATATAGCCGCTTCTTCATTGTATGCAATCGTCCTAATATATGCATGCCTATTACTGTCTATGTGTTTTTATATGTGTGATATGCTCTATTTTTCGATTGAACGAATGAAATAAAGTTCTCTCTTTTTTCCCGTATATAGATCACGTTTTATGTTTACACTCATCCTATTTTTTTTTTATTTTTCTGTTCGATTCATTAATAACATCTATCATTTTATTTAAATTATTGAAAAGTGAAAACAAGAACAAGTGTATGTGTGTGTGTGTTTGAGTCTATTAATTTATTACGTGAGGAAGTTCTTATCCATCTCTACACTTAATTATGAATACGCCTTCATTCATGTTAAAACCTCGTAAATTAATATTTGATGATGATGACGATGATCCGTATGATGGAAACATGAATGATTCCAAATCACCTTCAACTTCCACTACACATTTAATTATGACCGTTCGTCATCAACAAACAACTTCAACACCTATCTCAAAACATACAAATCGATCTTTATCAAAACGACATAGACAAAATGGAGAGTCAAATCATCTTATTACTACAGCATTAGCTAGACTAAGTACACGTACTCCTCCAACGTCTCGATGTCTTGTAATTACAACGACAACCGAAACGCCAATAACAAAAAACCGAAAACAATCACTGCATCAATATCATAAAAGTGTCGATCATTTATTATTAGGACGAAATATTAAACGAGTCAAGTTAAATACTTCATCCCATTCAACACCATTAAGCTCATCAACGATCAATTCAACGCCAAGATCAAATAGAAGAGTGAGTAAACTAATTTTTTTTCTCATAATTAGATATTAATTACCCCACAATTAGCAATTACAGCAATTTTTTTATACACATCAAAAACTACTTTCTTGGAGTCGATCAATCGATTTTCTCAGCATTCAAACATCGACTAAGAAACTTTATTTATCAGGATGAAACTTTTAAAATCTAATAGTAATTTAGACAAAACTGTCTTTTTGAGTAAATAGACATTTAATATCTGCTAGCTCATTTCGTCATCTCTTAAAGTCTATATTTTTCTAAGAATATTTCTGCATACTCATTGATTACATGATGGATTGATTCTAAACGAGATTTACCCTATTGAGTTGAATTATATCGTTATAGTTCCGCTAATTGTTGATTTTCGTTCTCAATTATTAAATGATCATCATGTTTTCGTTAAACGTTAAATTGAAAATAACCTAATTTTATTAGAAAATGTATCGGCTCTCGTGATTTGTTTCATCTTCTGTATAGTCTTTAATTATTTGTATGCACATGTTAAGTAAAGCCTTTTTAGCGATACGTAATTAAAACAGATATAAGAAAGGAATGAAAAGAACGCGAGAAAAAGTAAGTATCGCATAGAACAGACCACTGAGACACACTGCTTAGACTAGAAAATATATCAACCTAATACAAAACTTTTTAAAACTTGTTTGATCGAAATTAATTGTACTTCCTACCTGATTATTGATTACCTTGCATGTAACAAATTTTGAGTGAGAGAGGATACTTCAGAAACAATATCTCCATCAATTTTATCTTTTGATTCCGTTCATGAACTTAAAAAATGATTGGGCAAAACAGGTGGGAAAATTTTTTCAGAGCCATCTAACCCAAAATTTGTCACGTATAAGATAATCAGTTTCGAATCTGCAGTTGGTTTCGAGCGAACAAACTTTTAAAATTTGTTAATTAGGTTGATTAACTAATCACTGCTGATAAATTCAAGCAATGATTAGTTATGGTGCGAAAGAGAGAGCACAGCATTCAACTGTTTGCAACCGAATTGATCAACTTTTTCTATATTCATTTGGTTTTAGGGCTGCAATGTGAATCCATTTGCATCAAACACGTTTTCTGAAGCAAAACAACCTCAAAAACGAAAACGCTCCATCAAACTACCGTACGTGTAATTGCTATGAAGATTTCAGTAATATCTATTTCTCATGTTTTTCAGAACAAATGACGAAGAAAACTCTGAGAATTTTCAATGTAAAAAGGTACAAAATAATCAACAATTTTTGACTTTATTTTCGTGAACATGTGTACTTCATTTTGTAGAAACTAGCATTAAAACAATGTAATGTTACAAGATTTAATGAAGAATTTCATGTACATTCACTATTAGGATCTGGCGAGTTTGGTGATGTTTATCTTTGTGTTCATCGTCTTGATGGATGTACATATGCAATTAAACGATCAAAAAAGCCAATTGCCGGAAGTTGTTTCGAGTAAGTGAATCTCTGTTACTTCTACGCCTATATCGTCACCTCTAGTGGAGATTAACGACTTCAGTTCAATATTATCGATTTACTTTGCACCTGAATAGTCCTAGTATTAGAAAGACACTTTTTCCAAGTATAAAATGTTAAAAATTTAGATATGAATTTATTCTACATCTATCCTAGATCGAAAGAAATTGTCTTTTTTGAATAAAATGTAAAAGGTACTCATGATGTTCAATATTTATTTAGATTATTAGCATGGAAAGAAGTATGTGCGCATGCAGTTCTTGGTAAACATCCAAATATTGTTCAATATTTCTCAGCGTGGGCCGAACTTGATCACATGCTGATTCAAAATGAATATTGTAATGGTAAGTTACTAAATGAAAAGAAAATTTATCATATTTCATTGTTCATTAATCATCGATAAGTAGGTGTGAACATGTAAGAAAAGAACATGTTTATATCGCATAATTAGTGATATAGGCTAAATATGTGATTAAATATATATCTATTCAAACTTTTCCACTCTAGGTGGAAATCTTGCTGAACGCATACGTGAAAATTATCATCGACATTGTTCTATGTCAGAAAAGAAATTAAAACAAATTATATTGCATATTGCCGACGGTTTAAAATTTATACATTCAAAAAATTTAGTTCATCTCGATATTAAACCTGGTAAGAAAAACAACAATATTTCGTCTCGACAATTTTTGCAATAACATATTTTTTTGTAGATAACATATTTATCTGTATAAATGAATTGTTCAAGGATGATTTTGCGGAATGTGATGAAAATATTACTTATAAAATTGGTATGTTGTCACTATTTCTTCATGGTTTGAGCAACTAACTTCATTACTTTCTCTCTTTTAAGGTGATTTAGGACATGTGACTGATATTTATGACCCATTAGTGGAAGAAGGTGATTCTCGGTATTTAGCACGTGAAGTTTTACAGCAACAATTTCAATGTTTATCGAAAGCTGATGTGTTTTCATTAGGTTTAACAGTATTTGTTGCAGTAAGATAATCTCAAAATCATTTAGTTTGAATTATTTCCTAATTTTTCCTTTAAACTCACTTTAGGGTGCTAATTGTGATTTACCAAAATATGGTGATGAATGGGATAAAATTCGAAATGGAATACTTCCAAAACTTTCACATTGTTCGGATGAATTTAATGATTTAATACTGGTAAGAAAAAACTAATTAACCAAAAATACTTCTCCATTTTTAATTTCTTATCTCTTAATAGAATATGATTTCGCCGAATGTAAATAAACGTTTATCATCTTCACAATTAGCTGATAATCCAATTATATCACCAATAGCTCAACGTAGTAAAGATGAATTATTTGATGAATTAAAAGAAGAACAAAGAAAAAACTCTATTCTTGCAAAGTAATACTACTTTCTCGTTGTTGTCAACATTAATGTTCCTCTTTTCAGTACTGAAAACACTTTGTATTTTATTTTTAGAAAATTGTTACAGTATATGAATCGTGCCAATGAATTAGAAAAAGTGTGTTTAAAAATACAATCGTTTGATATGAACAACAATTCACGTCATTCACAACAATCAAAATCATCCTTACATCGTTCTTATAGTGCCAGTGATCTGATTAATTGCTGATAGATTGTTTTTTGTCATCGTTTTTCTCTCTCACTTGTTACACCATCTATTTTTTTTACTCTGAACACAATACACAATATGATAATTTATTTTCGTCTTCATATTTTCTTCTCACACTTAGATATGACTTATTTTTGTGTGATTTTCTCTTTTTTTTGTTTCTCATATGATGTTATTATTGATTGAAATGAAACTGATGATAAAGAGAGAAACTATATTTTAATTTTCTGTTTGATTTTAATTTCAATTTGTTTATCTGTCGTGTTTACATGGTCGCCGTCCTCGTCTCTTTTTCATGTGCCATTTTTCTTTCTCTGTGTCTTTGTTCAAGTGTGATAGTGAGTGATGAACTTTGATTTTAGTTATTATTGATGTATAGTGTCTGTCATTCTTTATAATTAACCGTTTCTTCGCAGACACATCCTTTGATTTTCGTTTCCGAATAGCGTTTGCTTATTTGTCCACAAATCATTTTTTTGTCTCTATTTAATCCTGATAAACTAAATGATTAGTAGTTGTTTGCTTGTTCTCCATTGCTGATGTTTGTTGTTCATTTTTTTATCAATCTCTTTGACTTTTTCTTCTAATAGGTGATGTATTTGTGTGTATATAAAAAGAAATGCTTTTTTGTTACCTTTGTTAATGAATTCTTGTTAACCTAATCATTTTTGTATTTGTCGTTGTTGTACTACATTGTCTTGGTTGATGTTAAAACTAATTGTTTGAGTTTGACTTCTATTCTATCTCTATTTTTTTAATGTAATATGCCATGTTAAAAAAGAAACCTCCATAATCATTCAAAACGCTTTTGTTTTGTTTTAATGAAAAAAAAAGTTCAATAAAAACAAAGAGATCAATGAATCGAACTTTTATACCGTTAGGAACCGACATCTGAATTACAGGTATTGGTGCGAGCGTTTTGGTTTAGTAAGGAGACGTGTAGCGGAAAGACAGTACGTTTAAGAACTGAAATGGCACGTGCCGAGTAGTTAACTTCAAAAGGCTATAACAATAGACAATAGACACTTCGTATCGTGTTTGGGCTTTTAAGCCCTAGTCCATTTTCAGAGCGCACCATATACAAACGAACTTGTATTTGTATCCTAAGAAAGCGCAAAAAAATCTGTACTGTTTTTATCATTGTTGATTTGAAATGTTGTAAATCAAACAACATAGAACACAGCAATCGTCGCTTTCAGCGTATGTATAAGTTGCCACAATTGTTTTTTCTTACCCAAGTCGAAGATGTGAACTAAAAAGTGAACTAAATGTGAAGCTAAAAAGGTATTCAAATTCTGGAATGCTTTCTGAACATTTCCAATTGAGATGTACAAACGATACACCATGTGATGTTACAAGCAATCCAAAATCCGATACCCATCGATTAATCCAAAAATGAGAGTGTATTTGATTAACGAAATGGATTTTAATTAGAATAACAAAAGCACCGCCTTTAATGGATCGTTTAGTTGTCTGAGTGACTGGAGTAATAGACTCCAGGTGTTAAGGCGTCGCGTTTTCCGCTTAGATGCTTTGTTCGTAACAGAAAAATAATTGAATTTAGTAATGGCGATTTTCCTCGTATCAGAATTCTGCACAAGCAAGAAAGAAACATAACTTATATATTTTTTTTCTTCTAATTCTTGCACCTTTTTTGTTGACTTATTTCTCTCTTTCTAGTAATATTCTAGCTTAAATAAAAGAGCAAAATCTCTGCACATGATACTTGCATAAGTTTATTCACAAAAGCCATGTTTTGCAAAATTTTTCGCATGGTTTTTTTCAGCAAATAAGTACATAACTAATACATCCTCTCCTGTAACTAATTTCCAATTTTTCTGTTAGTATAATAATAGCTTGAAGTAGATGAATAAGAATCTTTCTGAGGTGCCACTATTCAGTTTGTTGGTAAGATAAACATTTCTTGGTTAAAGTTTTATTAAATCTGAATACATTTCTATGAGAGATATTCATCATAACTTTCACCGATACAGATGCTTTATTTTTGTTTTTTGTAGATATATTAAAATAAGTTCTGTTGTCTAACCTTTACTCTTTTACTCTCCCTCCAACATCCGTCCATGTTATTTTCACATATATTTCCATTCAAAGGTAATGATTCAAAATTATTCTTAATATTGTATAGACTCCATGGATTAAATTGGATTTTAGTGAGTTGTCCGGGAACAAGAACAGAGCACAAGAATTTTCTAAGAATAGAGTAATAACTTTAAGAAAGAAAACAAGCAATTTTCTAATATATATTTGTTGTTTTCATCTTTCAAATATTCTATTTTTTGTTATACTAAATTCTGTCCAATGCAAAGAAATTACGTAACGTTTTCTCAGAATAATTTCGAAAAAAAGTATTCACTTCATGTAAGAAGCATGGGCATCTACAAAATTTTTCTCTTGGTCATGGACACATTGACAGAAAAAAGCTGTCCGTGCAGATTTTTATAGCATTGCAATATTATTCAGATTTTTTTTGTTCAGAAGTTAATGCATATGTCTAATAGAACAAACGCCAATAATAATCGTGGTTCGTATAATTCACAATGGGGTTCACGACCATATCGACGAGGTACCTACGAACAAAATTACCAGCAGATGCCGTCAAATTATGAATATGGACAGTCATCCTATGACAACTATGATAATTCCAGTTATGAACAACAACAACAATCGTCGAAACGTTATTCTGTTAATCGCAATAAACAACAAACAAACCTAATTGATAATTCATGTGACAGTTACAAATCATACCGTGAACCACAGCAGCAATTCAACCGTTCAGAAACATCGTCGAAAGTTTCAAATGAACAGTATAATACACAAAAATCTTCAACATCACAAGTATCAACGAAGAAATTAGCTGCTGAACCACAACCGGTTAATAAAACACAATTGACTAACGATCAGTCGTCCAAAAAACAATCTGGTCATGATCGTTCAAAAAAAATATCTTCATCTGATGTGAAAACGGTACCAACAAGTACCTCAGATGTATTATTAGTAAACAAATCCAAAAATGGTACGTTTCTTTCACTTCGAGGAGAATAGTACACGATGTATCTAAGATATTCTCAAGATGTTTTTCGGATGATTTCAGTCGACTAATTAATATTTTAGATGATTCTTCTGAAATTAAAAAGCTTTTCTATATTTTAGATTCAAGTAACTCTCAACCGGTGAAAACAATACAATCTGTTGATACTCAACCAAAATCTGAAATATCAAATTCTAATTCGAATACAGAAGAAAATACTACTACCAATACTCCTCAAGAAGCAACGACTTTAGAAACCATTCAGCAACCAGAACCGTGTGAAAATATTGATAATATTCGTCAGCAAGTTCAAACTTATATCGGCGAACGTTTAGAACGTATGAAATATCGTATAGAATTACGTGAACAAAATATTCTTGCTGAACAAACACGTACGAATATCGAACAACAACAGGAAATGATGGCACGTTTAGATTCCAGTATAAAAAAGATTCCTCCATTTATCAAACGTTTACGAACATTATCGGAACAACAAAAAGATGCGTTACGTAAAGATATGCAACAATTAAATTTAACACGTTATATAAGTGAAGTAGCCAATTCAATAACAGAAGCTAAATTAAAAATGAATGATGTTTATACAGCTGTTTTACTATGCTCATTATTACATCAACGTTATCAAGATTTTTCTATGACACTCTATGAAAATTGGTTAAAAGTATTACAACCACAAGCCATAATTGAATCAGCATCCGCATACCAACAAGAGTCAAAACCATCGTTAAATTTATCAAAATTACGAGTTGATTTAAGATTTTTTGCTGAACTAATAACTGTTCACGTTTTACCACAGTCATTGTCATTAAATTATTTATTGTCACTACTTCAAGCCTTAGTTAATAATGATAAAGATTTTTCAAACATAACAATCATTACAAGTTTTTGTAAAATGTGTGGAGAAGATTTTGCAGATATTGTATCCATGAAAATGAAATCATATGTTAACAAATTGAATGATATGGATAAAGATCTAGAACAACAAGAACAAATTAGTATACCAACAAGTAATCATTATACGAATGAAAAAAAACAGTATATTCGACAATTATTTAAAGATTATTATAAAAATTTGTGCGATCATGTTATTCAAGAACATAAATCAATACAAAAAATGGAAAGACAAATGAAGCGGATGATGGAAGTAGGTAGTAGTCATGTTTTTCATGATAATTCTTGACATAGAAATTTAAGCTGTTGATGAACCAAAGGCGAATATGAAGATTAAAATATCATTTACGTTGAATGATTGTATTTCTTTTGAAAAAAGTATGTATCGTTCAACATCTATGTTCATTTTATTCTCTTGAGCAAAATATAAACAATTCTGAAGCTTATAATATTTGTATACTTTTGATATCTGCTTCTGGATTAAACATATTGTGCTTTTATACAGTCTTATTTTTGTTATTTTTATTTAGAATCGTGGTGAATTGAATCAAGATACACGTGATAAACACGAACAAACTGTGCAGTCTTTTCAAAAACTTTTTCAAAACACAGAAACATTAGCCGATCTTGTAGAAGAAGCAATACCTGAATTGCCTATTGAAGGTAAGTGAACGTGTACGTGTATTAAGATTCATATAGAATAATGTACGTAAGACAAACGTTTTTATTCTAGAAATTTCTAAGAAGTCGAGTGAACGAATCGGCATTGATATATACATTCCAGGCAAAAATGATGATGTAAGATTACATTCGCACACCGATCAAGAGATATTTTAGAGTTTTATCTGTCGTTTGTTCAGGATACTTCATTATGGGAAGATAGCGATACCAAACAATTTTATGAAAATTTTCCAGATTTAAGATTATTCGTACCCGGTTACTATCGTGATCCATTAATATCAACGAATGCAAGTGCAAACATAACAGCTGCATCAACTACAGATGCAATTGATGAAGCTAACACTCCAATGTCAGAAGGTAACACAAATGAACTGTTGTTTTTCATAGTACTATAATTTTTTTACCTTTGGTTTAAGATATTGAAACATTAGATCCCGTACAAATTGAACAAGAGATTGAAAATGTTGTTTTAGAAGTAACAACAGCTGATGCTGATGTGGAAGAGGAAGATGCAGTTCTTGTAGATGATGGTAAATATTATTATAAAATAACTTTATTATGATATATTTTCGAATTTAAATTGTAGATATTGTCGAAGAAGATCTTAGCGCAACAAATATGAAATTAATAATGGACGTTTTTATAAATCATTTACCAACATGTGTTAATAGAGAATTAATTGATAAGGTAAATTATTGCAGCATGCAGATTGCATGCATATTACTCATAGTCAAAAAATGTTGTTATTATAAGCTACAGAAACCATGTAAAAATGGAATGCTTAATCATCTTTAGGCCGCTCGAGATTTTGCAACAAATTTGAATACAAAACAGAATCGTAAACGTCTTATAAAAGCATTATTTCAAGTACAACGTACCCGTTTAGATTTATTACCATTTTATGGTCGTTTGATAGCCACATTAAATCCCATAATGTCTGAAATTGGAACAGAGGTAGTGCGTTTACTAAAAAATGAATTTCGTCAACATATACGAAAAAAAGATCAAATATATATTGAATCAAAAATAAAAACTGTACGGTATATTGGAGAATTAGTTAAATTTGGTATATTTCCCAAATTGGAAGTAACACTATGTTTGAAAACATTATTGGGTGATTTTCGTCATCATAATATTGAAATGTGTTGTAATCTATTAGAAACATGTGGAAGATATTTGTATCGTAGTCAAGATACACATAGACGAACAGAAATAATTCTTGTAAGTTTATTGAATATTTGAATTAGAAATTCTTTTTTTTATTTTATTTTCTTGTTTTTAAGGAGATACTAATGAGAAAAAAATCTGTTCTCACCTTGGATAATCGATATACGACAATGATTGAAAATGCTTATTATTATTGTAATCCACCAGAAAATCGTGAAATTGAAAAAAAAATACGACCACCATTACACGAATACTTAAGACGAATATTATTTAGAGATTTAAATAAAATAACAATTGAGAAAGTAAAATGATTATACAATTTAATATAATTTTTCTATAATTATTCATATCTTCGGTTTTAGGTATTAAGACAAATGAGAAAATTCGATTGGTTCGAACCAACGTTTCGTGAATACGCAATTAAATGTTTAACAGCTCCCTATTACGTTAAATATAATTCAATTCATTGTCTAGCATCGATTTTAGCTGGTCTAGCTCATTTTTATGTAAGTATCGTTTGTTATTATTGAAATAATACTATGAGAAACACGAATAGTATGAATGAGAATAGAAGAAAGCGCTTAAAGAACTTTTAATATTTAACTACAAGTTTGATGTTAGAAAGATTAGATGCATCCTTTATTAAGCAAAATACTAATAGATTTCGGTATATTATGAATGATTATTTTTTGGTTTTAGGACGATATCGCAATCGACGTTTTGGATAATGTATTAGACGACATTCGATCTTGTCTCGAAGTAAGTTCTCAGTTGATTATGTGTGATTTGTGTGAAGTACAGACGGGATGAAACTATAATCACAAAGTCGAGGACTGAAGACGAGAATGAAAACAACGAAGAATTTAAACAGAGTTCACCTCCGATATAAACTGAATACGTTCAGCATTTGTTACCTCTTAGAACGTGTTTATCTGCTAGATATAATTATGTTAGTATGTTTCTGTTTCGGCACTGTACACAAGGTTCACTGATCCTTACTGGTATAGACCTGGATTTTAATGTGTTTTCTCAGGAACACAAGACCTTCTGGTCTTTATGTTTGGGATTTATTTGTCTCTTATATAATCCAAACTCGCATTTACTATATGAGAGAATGCTCTTGGCGTGACTGGCACACTAACTTTTTTTATGTCCTCTACTCACTCTTAGTTTCAGTGACTTCTTTTATAATTGCTGATATAAATAGATCGGTATCTGCTCGAGAAAATCAGTCAGATAAAAAAAAGGAATTTTCTGTACAAAATTCTATTTTTTCGGTGCTTCCTTCACATTCATAAATGCCGTTTAGAATTCCAGTTTCTAAATTCTTTCTTTTTCTTAATAAAAACGAATATGGTACGGCGGGCGCACTTTGAGCTCGCTAACCCGTAATTACTTCTGACCTAAAAGGGATTAAGTGTTCTGCCAAGTTAGATTCATATAAGGAACGTAACCGTTTAATCATTGCTTTATGAGTTATTTTGAGTGCAACAACTGCCATACGAAGAAATATATTGGCGAGAGAAAAAAGTTTTTTTATTGCAGGACTAATGCGAAAATCTTGCCTATAGTGAGTGACTTCTGACGAATTTATTTATTTATAGTCGAACGTACCGAGATACAATCAACGTCGTTTATGTATGGTGAAATATCTTGGTGAAATGTATAATTATCGTGTTGTTGATTCGATTATTATATTTCGTACGCTGTATTTGTTGATAACATTTGGAGTTACTCTTGACAGTAAGTATTTATGTTCTCTTTCGCTTTTACACTAGCATAAGTTGAATTTATCTATTTAGATGCTATTATGAGTGAAGTCGATCCGCCTGATCATTTATTTCGTATTCGACTTGTTTGTACATTGCTCGAAACATGTGGACAATATTTTGATCGAGGAACAAGCAAGAAGAAATTGGACTGTTTTCTCCTTTATTTTCAAGTATACGTTATAATAACTAATGATCTAAACTTTGAAATATTTTGCATTTTTTGTTTTATAGCGTTATTTTTACTTCAAAAAAGAACATCCACAATGGAATACAAACACATATCCATTTCCAATCGCTGTTGAACATGTATTTGATGAGACATTAATTACATTACGACCAAAATTTATATTGGCTGGAAGTTATACAAAAGCGTGTGAGGAAGTTGAAGCGATGGAAAAAGAATATGTAACAATTCTAGGTATTCATCCGGAAATTAATCTTTAACTTTTTAATTCATCTAAGTAAGTGATCTATCTTTCATTCATTTATTTGTTTAGCTCAAAATGAAATAAAAACACCCACTACTATCGATACAAAGGATAATTTGCCGCCAATCAATGAGGAAGAAGAATCGTTTGGACCATCAATATCTCCAATAGATGGTGATGAAGAAGACGAAAATGATGAGCGAACACCTCGTCGAATAGAAGATGAATACGAAGAAGAAGAGAATGATGATGAAACGTATAATGTTCGTCGATCGCGTTTTAGTGGTGGCAGCGGAGAGCGAACTAGTTGTGGAAGTGTAAGTAATATCATAACGTCATAAAAAAAATCATCATTCTTTAGTTGAAAATATGTATTAGGCTGGCGATTTAGAAAATGATCAAATGAATGCCGACGATGAACAAGAAGATGACGAAGACAATGGTAGCTCGTTGCAATTAAAAGCAAAAAAAATTACAAGTGAAGAAGATGATGAGTTTGTCAAAGCTTTCGATACACTCATAGCTGAATCTGTTGCTGTAAGACGAAGAATGTTTTGTATGTGTGTTTTTTCATTATTTTTTTACTCTGTATTTCTAGCAGCGAGCCACAGAAATGACCAAAGCACCAGCACCAGATATTGCGATACCTGTACATCTGCGTAGAAATAAAGTTCTATCATCAACAAGTTTAAATGTATCCAGTAAGTTTATTTTTGTGAACGTCTTTTAAATACATTTGTACGGCTCATCAACATGGTAGATGCCGCTTAAACATTCTGAAAAATTTATGTTTATGTGAGGTGTTTTCTATGTTTTAACTAATCTGTTTGTCATTTTAGATAGCGATGGCGATGATGAAAATGATCCAATTGTCAAGAATCAAACAACAATGAATTTTGTTGTTATGATGAAAAAAAATAATAAATTACATGTAAGTCTACGTTTTAGATCGAATTTGTACATGTTATCTTTTCTTTTTCTGGTAGTTTCATAACTTAGCTGTGCCGAACACGTCGGAAATGGCTCTACGTTTGAAAGCACAAGAAGAGGTATGAACGTGAAAAAAAAATGACGTCAAGAAATATGGAAATACTATGGTCTTTTATAGGCTGACCGTCAAGAAAAAGCCCGATTAAAAATTTTAACGTTGAATATGTCAACACGTATGGAACAAGAGGTTGAACAGCAAGGTAAACGGTTAAAATCATCAGTATAAACATTTTATAATCGACTTTTTTATTACAGAACCGATGGTCAACGTATTAAATCGTACTCCAGTTAGTACTAACACAAATCGAACGCGACGAACGCGTTATGTTCATCAAAAAGGCGCTCCGGATGCTGATCTCATATTTGGATCGAAGTAAGTTTGATGCATTTATTCTAAGGACTATTCTAATGAAAAGGTTAATATTTTTTTCTATAGAAAACGTTGAACAAATTAAAAAGTTCATTGGATTAGTCGAATCGAACAATAACCGATGCTTCGATAAGCATGCGAAACAAATTTAGAAAGAAAAATACGCCAGAAATGTTTATGATACAACGTGTAACATATCGATTTAGAATCAAAACAAATATTAGAATGTAATGAACGATGAAAAATAAGAAATTTAAATGTGAGAAACCAACAGCATATTCATACATTAAAAGTGTATATCAAACAGGGACACAAAGCCCAAGAGCTCTATTTCATTAATGAACAATACATTTATGAATAAAGCAGTTGCTTTTATTATGTTCTCTCCCTCGCTGTATGACTGAGGTTGTTATACTTTTATACACCAACAAATTGGACAAGAAAATTGTGAATTGTTGCTTATTTAATTGTATAAGTTCAATTTTACATGAGTTTTTTTCGTGTTATGCCAATAATATGTCTGTTTACAACTCATACGATTTTTTACTACGCAAATACTGGAGTATCATGAGTTGTTCGGTGTGACGAAAAACAAAGAAAGATTTAATAGTCTTTGTATGTTAGCCTGTTGTTCTTATTCTCATACATACCAACTGTTCATTTATTTTCATGTTTTTTTTGGCTCGTATGTTACATTGTATTCTTTTTCTAATATTGATTTATTATTATCATTATTGCTGGAGGCTTCTTTTGTTTCATACTGCATTTTTCTTTGTTTTCGTTATTTTTACTTCAGTCTATGCGTGTACTTTAAATAGCACTCGTATTCGACAATATAAAAATAACGAAAATAAACGAGAAGATAATTGAATGATTCACCATTTGAGATCACCAGTTTTTGATGAAATAGGATTGTTTTATAATGTTGTAAACTTGTTTTTACTTGAAATATCGTGAGAACATTTGATCAACAACTTATATACTGCATAAGTCAACATTGGAAGGTTCTAGTATTTTCTTGTTATTAAATGATTATTGTCTTTCAAATTTAATAATAGGAAAAATGAGTTATTGATTAAAAAGAAAAATTATACGGATATCATTCTACCTCAAGCAGATTCATCACAGTGAGAAGTATATTCAACCATCAAATAATGAATGTACAGTGAATATCAAAATTATTTGATCACTCGATGTTATCCTGATTTGATCTGATGTATTGCATCGTGGATGTACAAAATAGTACATTATGCCAAACGTTTTAGTTTCTTTGTACGCAAAATTTTAGCAGAGCGTTCGAGTTACTTTTAGTACGAATTGATTGAATTATTTGCTGTAGTTGTTACAGTACTCTTCGAAAGTCCCCATAACCCAAGAACGATGATAACTAAGGACGCCTAATTTGTGCAGTCATAGCTCTCACTGGATGCTGATCGCCCCACCAGTATGAGCTTCTTTTACACGATGGTTCATGAATTATGAGCGTTTCATTTATTTTCCGTAAAACGCTGATAACCTCTGATCCAACAGAGATGAAACTTTTCTTTTTACCAAAATGTAGCTCTGACTCTCTTCTATCTACGGTATGAGTTTCGTTTGTTGGCTCCTGATGGTCATTAAAATACAGCCACAGAATCAATTCATTTATTTTGCACTCTTTTCACTCTCCATACATTTTCAAGCAAAACTAATGACATATTTGAGATCAGTAGACAATGGCATATTTGACGCTCGCTTTGCGAACAAAAAATTTCGTTGAAAATTTTCTCCTCTGATGAACATAAAGGTGAATCAACATACGGATTCTACCTTTCCGCTTCCATTACCGGTGTAGGTACCACAGTGGGCATCCAGGCGGACATTAGGCAAAAAATAGAAGTAACTCTTTTCTCAAATATAAATAGTGTAAAATGTAGCTGTTCAAATTCTCTATCGAATGGTGTATAAATGTCTATTTTGAAAATGGATCCTTCGAGCAGAAGGCAGTGTACATGAAACCCATAGTGAATATCATTACCACACTCGAAATCGCGATTCTATAGTCACTCAGCTATGTTACGCGACTTCAAAGCACATATTCAGAATCGGCATGTCTTCAGCTATCTACTGATAGCAAAATGTTTATACTTCGAAAGTAATTGCAATAAGTAACAGTTAATGATTCTTCATCATCTCATACCGGTATGACACTACTTCTGTGTAGTGATATCGCTAAATAGCGCTAAACCCCTATAGACCTTTCTAAATACATCAAAATGTTCCTCTACAACTAGTCTATTTATGGTGAAATCGCAAAATCTCGCATGTGTTCCAAAAACGTTTTATGGATTTTCTAAAACCCATAGGGGTTTTGAGGTATTTCGAATTTTTCTCCCTTATAAACACACATTTCGTCAAATATAATACCATATCCGGAATCAGCGTGAAAAACTGCATCTAATGGTGTATAACTCATCTAGTTTCGGTAGCTCGATTTTGAATTCTAGAGATTTCTTAATTTTTGAGATTCACACAAACAATTTCGTGCTGAAAATTTGAATTTCAAGATAAAATAACCTGAACGACTCGAAACATGTTTCTTATAGGTTTTCGACAATGCTCTTTCCAGTGGCAGCGTTTTTAAATATTGAGAAAGTTTTTTGAAGAGTTTTTCAGAGACCGGATCTCTGGAAAACCCCTTAGAAAACTTTTTCAAAATCCAGCTCTCATGCCATTAGAAAGAGGATCATGAAAAACCTATAAAAAAATGGTTCATGAAATTTTAGTTCACTCATAAAGCTAAAGTCCGCCTGCTCTAGCAAAAAATGCCCATTGTGGGTACTAACAAGTGTCAGTTTTAATAGCTCAATATTTTCCCTAAGGTCGACAAACTTTTGACATGATCATCCATATCGTTATTAGTCACCAACTGGAGCTTTGGGCAGAACACTAGCTGAATGCAAAGTTCTTTTACACACTTACCATCCAAGTGCTAGCTTGCAGCAAAAAGTCACAGAGCTAATCAGAGAAACTGCGTTGCAGACCGCAAGGCAGTGCATGCTATCGGACGGGTGATCCGAGACACTAAAGCATAAGTAACTTTTCCAAGATTATTACATAACTTGTTGGCGGCGAGATTCGAACGCAGTCTCTTTGAGGTACGAGTCGTTCCTCCGAGTAGTTAGTTCTGCACATACGAATTTTTAAGTTACAAAAAAATTAAGCGAAATCGTACATACTGTAAATTGCAATTCATGTATTTTATTTGATGTTGATGTTGGAATTGTGAAAACTTGTTTTTTTGTAATTTCGGATCCCAAAAAACTAATCGAGAGTACTAATCGAAAATGTATAAAATGAAAAATTCTTTTAGGCTCAAATTTTCGCACAGAACACTATGAGCCATCGAAACTCGCTGCTGTTCGACGCCGTGTGAGTCAGTACTCACAAGTCTTGGGCTTATCCCAACTCAGAATCACCTGATTCTGGCTAGCTGGAATCAGAGAATGATTAAACAAATAACAACAATAAACCTAGTAGGACAAACCAGCAGAAAATCAGATAAAATTCAACTGTAATTCTACAATAGGATCCTGTAGGATCTTGCAAGATTCTACGAGTTCTGACTACAGGATCCTATAAGAATCTTATAGTAGGATATTTTGGCTTTGAAGTTTTCCTACAAGAATTTCGCCGGATCTTACAGAATCCTAAAATAAGATCTTGTAAGAATCTTATAAAAGTGTACGGTAGGATTGTTTGACCTGGGTATTAGTGGGAGGTACAAAATCGACTACTTCATAAAATTAAATAGTACTATTCCTAAAAACATTTTTGATGGATTTCAGTGTTTGTAATGCGACTGGAGTCTCATATTCGTATCGATTGTTTTCATAATTCAACGCTAGCAAGAGCGGAGTTCAACTGTTTTTAGTGGAAAGGCTTTTCTATAACTTTATAAGACTTTTTCTAATATTTCCTGTGTGCACATGAAAATAAAACACAATTATCGAACGTTATGACGATACACATATTAAAAACAAAAAACGCTGTTTAACAGTATTTGGAGATGAGACTGTCCATACTATGAGAAATTTCAAAAGCTGTCGCTGCACGAGGCGGTAATTGGGGAGGTGGCTGTGTTCTTAGTGGTGTTGTTATTAAACCAAAGTTTTGACAGGTGTAATGTGCCCGAGACGTTGATGTCGGTTTTTCTACTTGACAGAAGTGATTCGGTTCTACATTGCCAACGTTCGTAGGTGTATTGTAGTCTTGTTGCAATGGTTTCATTGTAAATGTTTTCACCGGTGATTCATTATTATTAGCACTTGCAGAAAACAAGTTTATCGATTGACTTTTAAAAGTCTGATCAGGTTCTATAGATTGTTGCTGCATTCTGCTTGTCGTCGTTAAGCATGGACCGGCGCTTTGAGCACGTTTTTGAAACAAAGTTGGCCCTGTTGACTGTAATGGCTTAGCCTGTTGTTGTTCGGGCTGTTCTCTCGTGCGTGGCTGTAATGATACTGGTTCGATTTTTATTGTCCCATCATTCCAACAAAGACATTGTGCAACAGTTGTGCGACGACCACCTTTCGAAGCGTTATCAACAGCTTGTTGATTTTGTAACTGTAAACGTCGTGTACGAGTAGTTAGAAAGCGTTGAAATGTTTCTGCACGTGTTTGTTTCGATTGTTCAATGTCTGGTTGACCGTGCCCATAAACTGATTTATAAACACTTTTCCCTAAAGGTTCTTTTACACATTCTACGGCAGTGTCATTAGCACTAACATCTTGTGGAATTTGTGTGACTGACAATAACTTTGTTGATGTTTCATGACTATAGTCGTCTTGGTAGGCTGTCGGCTTTGTTTCTTCTGTATACTTTTCACTTCCCTTTGGTACCCAACTGATGAACAATGGATCAAACGCTCCTCTTATATTAGTTTTTGCTTTTCTTTTACCGAAACCCTAAAACTCATTAAAAGAACACTATTTAATAATCAAAAATTAAAATACTACTTACTGTTCCAAATACAAGTGGATCACTTTCAAATTTAAATCGATTATCGTGTCTAGAAAACGGATGTTCAACAGCTTCTGCCTGAGAAAAAAAAAAGTATTAAATATCGAATGGCTGAGTATTACCCACACTCTTACACTTTGTCTTTTGGAAAACTTCTTTGGCGGTAGAGGTTTTGCTAGTTGACGAAAATAATTTGATAGTTCTAAACGAGACTTTGATCTAAAGTGGCCATAATATCCTGAAGAATACTAAAAAAGAAGCGGAGTAAAATATAAAACTAAAGATAGGAGATTATGTATTCTTACCCAAGTACCAATGAGGCGTTGAATATCGGAGGTGGGTCCAATAGGTATTTGGCGTACTTGTACTTGACTCATTCAAATTGCTTGTAATGTCCTTTTTCTCCGCAGTTCTAAAGTACTTAGAGCGTTACAGTACATGCCGACTAAGTTTTTCCTTAATTTGTACTCTCACTTCTGATGAGTCTAGTTCAGATCCGGACTCTTGCTACAAAATATTTTTCAAAAAGTGATTTCCAAAAATGAAAGAAACATGGAAAGAAAAGTAAAGTCACACTTCCCATTCGTATCAACTTCTACACTTAGACGCTTTTATCCTTTTTCGCCGTTGACGATCATTTATTTATACTTACAATGCTAAACAAGTGCCATTGAGTATTGTTTATTATTTCCAAAGATTGCTTTATTTATTCTTCACCGAAATAACAACGGACCTTTCTAATAATAACGTTTTGAAACCCTTTTTTATAACCTAATAAAAAATATCTCAGTCGCTATCGGAGTTTAAGACGATAAGAATATCTAATTGCCTGGCAATCTATCAATCATTTTATTTTGCAATTAAACTCAAAGCAGTAAGTCACGTTTTTTATTTAAATATTATTTATGAACAGCATAAAAAAAGCTTTTCAATTTTTTTTTCATGATGTTGTTGTTAACACCTGCACATCACAACATAACAACGGTGACAATAAGAGACAAATACTGTGACTGATTAGTAGAAAAAAAGAAGAGAAAAAAAGCGTTCACTACGTATTTTTTGAAATTATTTGGGTTTTTATGCGTTCTGAAGTCAAAGAAAGAAATACAAACAAACGCACATAGTATAGTATAATAGCAACTAAATGTCTTTCGTTTTTTTTCTTTTAAAACTATTAACTTACTTAAAGAAAACTAAACCGCAGTGTGAACTAATTTAAATGAACGATCGAAGACATATTATCGTTATAATTTAGTAAAATGATGACCTTTTAAACATGTCATAATCGTGTATGAAACAAGTTAAACACTATATCACAATTCACATATTCTTACTAAAACAAAAGCATTTTACTTTCTATTTTTGCATTGTGAAAATATATCCATCTTTGAGTAAAAACAAAGATGAGTTGCATGCATTAACTAATTGAAAAATAAATTATTTGTGAGCGACTTAAAAACGTTCAAGGTTTTTGAGTCTTACTCGATAGTTTTTAATAAAATAAATCAGTTCATAAGTATTCACAAAACTGTCGCCCTCTGCTTATGAATCCTGATTGGGACTAGACAAAAATATCGTCTTTTATCATTAATTCTTTATTTTAGCTTTCATAACGTTTGACATTGTTCAAATATTTGCCCATAAGTCATCAGCTATTGTAGTAGCATGGTTATTGCCTGACAAATGCGCCAAGCGGTTGTCACTATTGCGTTGATGTATTTAAATATTTATTGATATCAGCTATTTGTATTTGTTGTTGATAACTTTTTGGTATCTATTACAACTTATTTTCTGGATTTTCACTAGGGATAGAGGACACTTAATGAAGTTGACATTAAGGATTTTCTATCCTACGACTTCTTTTATTTCTATTATGGTTTGAACCAATACATCGATCATAGGGCTATTTTCATACTGTTTATGTCATTTGCTGTCGTTCTATGGCTTTTCTTATCCTTTACTAATATTTGAGATTAGTACACTATCAAGAAAAAGTGTTTTGATAAACCACTCAAATGGCTTCAAAATGCATCCACCACGCGTGTAATGAAGGCACGTTAGGTGAATTTTCTCATCTATTCTACTGTTAGCCCCCTTGATGCCTTGACAAAAGACCTCTAAATCGCTACTACTTTTTTGATAAAAATAGTTTAGGTGCTCTCGATAGACATCGCTAAACGCATCAAAAAGTCGCAAGGCACTAGCTACGGTCAAGGTACTTAGTCGCCCATCAGCCACGGATAAATCACGTAGTTGTATTCAAGATATCGGAAATGCATCGAGACTCTTGTCAGACACAAAGTCATTCTGATACCTAGTCAAGACATCTCTGGCAAGAGAAATGGAGAAATAATATTTCCAGAAAAGTACAGTATCTATATTATTTACTTAACTCTGTTTGACTCAAGTCTATTTTTAAATTTAATTAATTCATGTGTTAGATTTGAACAGTACCATTTGTGTTTGTCCGCACAAATGATACCGGTGCTGGTAACAGTTCAGTGCAACTACAGCCGACCTATTAATATTTATAATATTCTCTACTGACATGCATATTGATGCCAGCAGAAGAATTAACGTGAGGCGATAGTCCAAAATAGAATTGACGGTGTTGATGTTTTCATTAGATGTGTAGTGAAACATCTATCTTATTTATGAATTGATTTTCGAAGATAAATACTTTTGCTATTTTAGTAAAGAGTTGAAAATAAGATCTGTATAGATATATACCCAATTTTCTCGGTTTTAGTAAAACACATAGCTCGCGCTGGGGTGATTCTGTAATCACCGTTAAAATATACGGTACATTCCAGTTTTCATAAAGGGTAATTATCTTCTTATATTATAATATTATGATTAGTGTAGGTAGGTAGATTTTTATATCATCGAATCCCTCATAACCTCAAAAATACGCTGAAATTAATCTCCGCCTTTTCTGATGGAAATTGGTTGAGATCCTCTCGGCTCAGCTGACACGAGTCAAAAAATGAAATCAAACAATCGTCCCATGTGGGATGATTCTATACTCACGTATACAGCTATGAGGAGACCGAACATTGAATTTCTACTAGTTCATCTGTGTTTCAGCTTAACCTTTCAAAAATGCGTAATTACATGAGAAAAAAAGTTCAGAGCTATTCTAGTCCTCTGGTTGATCCGAGAAGATAAAACGGACGTTAAGAAAGCTTCAGAGAAGTATAAAATTCCAGCTAGTACATTATATAGTCGGTTATTGGGAGCAAACAATTCTGGACCAGGTAGTTGGAAAGCAATACTAAATAACGAAGAAAAAAAAAAGAGACTGCGAATTTTTGACGGCTTCCCTAACTACAACATTGCAACGCTATTTAACACTAACTATTGTTCGTAACACTCAACGCAAAACAATGAGCGAGAGGAGTTCCGGGGAGAATCTGTAAAAGTCGCGGACGGTTCTGGAAGATCGTTATTGCGAATGTATTTTTTGAAGATTTTTCATAGGTAGATAGCTAAGAGTCTAAATTACATGAATGCACAAATCGTGCAAAGGAATCTTCAAAATTAAAAAGGTTCTTTGATAAATACTGAAGAGCACGACAAAAATTTTACATAATCGCCCCATTTCTAAATAAATTCACTAGATAAATCTGTATTTCCATTATTATATAAGAAATTAAATACGAATATCTTACGTCTAGCTTATCATTCAGGTGGATTTGCTGAAGCCGGAATCTGCCCATACGACAAAAGAGAAAATATCGCATTCGGCAACATCATCATCTAATAGTGATCAACCGTGTCTAACATGGGTACTATCAAATAAATATTTATCGCCTGTTCATGATCATATGATAAATAATATTTGTGCAAAGTTGCGTTCTGTTGGAGAAAATTGAGAATTACGAGGAGAATTCCGACTTTTTCCTAGTAAACTGAAATTTCTGTCCTATTGCTGAGGCTCTAATAATTATTTACTTAGTGAATCTTGTAAAGAAAAAAATTCTCTACAAAATAGGACTAGTTTAGTTGACTTTCAAGAGGGACATCATCTCGAAAAAAATCGAAAACGAGATTTTCGAGTTGGTTCAACTTGATTGAAGTACCATTTCGGACTAGGGAAAACTACTTCTCCGACTCGAAAAGCATACTATGTGGTGCACAATACAACTCTCTTTCGAATGAGACGTCGTTTAGAATTATTGAATTTAAAATGGCCGGCAGCGGACTCGAATACCAGACTACTCATTTTTCTCGCTCGAGTAAACTTCGACATCGTCTAACTCGACAATGGAAAGTCGAAAAACAGTGCCACTTTAGATTAGTAGGTTGCTCGACATACTCTATCGATTGAGCATTGAATAAGCGAAGTCTAAAATTTGACCATGTTAGGTGGTTCCTCAACGAGCTCGCGAATCGTCTCTTAAGTTATAAATCAATTATATTGATAAAAACGACAGTTTGCCCATTCACTGCCCCATACATTTACTTAGATTTATCTAGGAATTAAAAATGCCATAACTAACAAATAGTTAAGCTCATATTTTCTTAACCTGTCTATAATCAAGAAGTCAAGAAACCAGCATTCTCTCTACCTATTTCTTCATCCTAGACAGACTTATTCATCTCTTTACTGCATGTTTTTGGTCGCAGTCCGCTTTTATAGGGCATTCTAGCGCATTTACATCCTGGATGCTTTATGGCCATCGGGATGCCCTACTTTATGCATCAAAAATACAACTGATTTACATGGAAGAATGTATCCAAGATGCTGTGACTAAACATCCACAATGTCTCACGTAAACACTATGGGTACATCAAATTGGAATCCGGGGGTCTTCATAAGGTCTGAATCTTTGGAAGTATCTTCTTACTAATGATAGAAAATGAGGTTGCCTCTAAATCATCTAAAGTGCATTTATTTTTAACAAATGCACCTCTTTTTTCGCAGTGTAGCAACGTTAGTATTTTTTGCAAGAACGAGAGAATCTAATCTATTTTTATTACAAATTTCTCTAATGAAAAGTTTTCGAGCAAGTCTACTGAAAAAAACTGAGTAAAAAAATAATGCTTCCTACCATTAGTTTTGTGCTTCAAGATTCAATTAGTGACCGATAATTATTTGTCCTTCTGTTCAATCGATCATATTTTTGTTTATCATCTGGACTACGTATTCGAATGGAACACAAACATTATCAAAAAAATTGTCGTCCCATTTGACATCTAAACGTTAATTAGTTAATAAATTCCTGTTTAAGGTTTGTGAATGATATAGAAGCATATTTCTGCTCAATCTTTTTCATTTAACGTATTATTTATTTGGCATCATCGTCACCTGCATTGTCAGAATAGGACATACTTCAATTATATATATATATAGATTAATAAATTTAATTTATTAATCAATAACTTCTATTACTTAATAAATTTGTATTTCTATCTTTATTTTCAATTTCCTTAAACTGTTCTTGTTTTCTCTCACAACAACCACCAAAATTTGTTCCATTAAGTGTACAAGTGAGTTGAGACACAGAATACTTTGATAAAATTGGTTCATCTTGTTCATCATTCATCGTTGTTCGATCATATGTATCACTTCTACCACAGCAATGAGAATTAACCACATGCATCGATAATACTGATTTTGTGCAATTTTTAATCTCAATAGAACAATTTGGTTTACTAATCGACAATATATCTAGTGGTATCATGGAATGTGTACTTGGTATGTCTTCGTAGTTTGCTGTATTTGACGTAAAATCTGACAAATTCATGTACAATGTTGAATTTTGCAAGGGTATTAAGTGATTCATTTTAGTACGGAGCAAGTATGCAAACTTTTGCTGAATATTGTCTACAACGAATAAATCTTCATTGTCGCTGATATTATTTAATAAAATTGGAACTGCTTTTTTCGGCACATCAGGCACGAGAGAAGGTTTTAACAATTTTCGACAGTCATATATTTGTAGCTTATCGTCGAATGATCGTTTCTTATTCAGCATGAAGCGATACCAGTTTATCTACAATATATTACTTACTGGAATGAAAAAGGTGGATGAAGCTATTTGTTGTTCTTACTCAACAATTCATTCAGTCATTCATAGTAGGGTGAAACTAAATCAACAACACAAATAAACAGTATTTTAATTCTCTTTTAAACGACCTGACTAGTATCGTAGAGCGCCAAACGAATAACGTCTCTGAGTTAAACCAAATAGCGAAAATGACGCTGATACCATCAATGTTCGCAAGTAGAAGCTGTTGGCGTCGTTTTCATGTTAGCTTATTTTGACTCTTTATATCGGAGAAAAAAATACTCAAAAGTTTGGTTAACATAAGTAGCCGATAATTTTTCTTCCTGCAATCGCCACTATCAACGAGTTTTTTCTTTGAAAAATGTTGACAGTCACGATTATAGAAAAGAAAATTATCAGATACTTATCTCGACATGAGAATCTTGATCTCTAGATAGCACCAACTTTCTTTCAGTTTAAGTATGTTAAGAGCAACACGATATGAATAGTTAGTTACAATCAGCGTAAATAATACTGAAATTACGTTGATTGTGGAGTTTTGTTCCTGACATTTAGTATATCTACCCTATGTTTCCTTCTTCATAAAAGCTTGTGGATATCATATAAGGTATCATCTGTAGAAATGATTTTTACTACTTTAATAGAACCTTTTAGAACGAGATTTTAAACACAAGACTTCTAGGTGAAGGACAATCCACGGTAACGTACGATTACAATGGCTTTGTATGGTTTATCTGTCAGAAGTGTTTTAATTACTAAATTTCTATGTAATTTCTATATAATTCCACTTAAGATACTGTTTTTATTTGTATATTCAAAAAACTAAAGCAATTGATAAATAAGAGAGTCAGATTGACAATTTATTGTTTCTAAGATGCCTCAAATAAAATAGAATCAACTTGTGCTAATCATTCGCAAAAGTAAAAGAATTTTTGACCTTCTTCATGAAGAAATATTTTCTAGTACTTTATTTATCTTTACACAATTATATTGCAATGTATGCTTTTATTAGTTTTATATTTTGTGTAGAATAATTAGTACTACCAGATAATGGAAGTCTACACAAGTTCATCTGGTTTTAAACATGCCATGGGTCAATGCTCTCATTCGGCTGTACCATTAATTGCTTATCAGCCACAACCTACGTCCTATATGATACCGGTCGCTCTTATGCCAGTTCATTGTTCAAATGTATATACTTATGCACCACCTTCAAATCAACAAGGTGAGTAAATCACTTTAATGGTTCGACATACTACTGTTAGCCGCATGTTTCATAAACTTTATTTTAGTTGCTTATACTACTCCCTCTCTGCCAGATCCTATACGTCCAGCAAGTATGTTAAGTGTGAATAATTTATAAAGTATTTTAAAATGAATTTCGTTGAAGGTCGATCTTCGCACAAAATGTCCTCTTATAATTCACTAATGGATCCACATATGCAAGATTATTATGCTAAAAAATTCGGAAGAAAAACAAAAAGATTACGAACTAGTCGTGAAGAAGCTTTATATCGAATAACAATAAAAACCGCAGATAAAAAAGACGCAGGAACAAATGCAAAAGTGAGATTGTTTTATAAAAGAGCGATCAAACTGAAATCTTCTCCATTTTTCAGGTCTTTTTGAGTATATATGGAAGTAAAGACAAAATATGTCGAAAACCATTAACGAGGGAAACGATCCTAAGAGGAGCTATGTTATCGGCTTCACTCAACAGACCCATGATAGATTTATCAACAATAGAATTCAAACGAGGAGCAACAGATGTTGTATACATTCGTTGTCGTGATCTTGGAATCATTCGTTATATCATTCTTGAGGTATAAGAAAATTCTTGACATGTACACCTCGACATATATTTTCAGTAATTTTTCTTCGTCGTTTAGCATAGTGGCGTTTTATTTGAGCAAAGTTGGTTGTGTGAATGTATCTTAATAACGAACGTTCGAACAGCTCGATCATGGTATTTTTTTTGTGGTAAATGGTTATCTTTATTTCCGCCTGGTGATGGTTCGCTTACAGTTGAATTATTTCCTGGTGACAGAATTGAAGATCGAATTAATGATCGATTCAAAAGTTTACCAGAAACAACTGGTTTGTAAACATATCTGTCTTTAACGGTATTTGTGCATATTTAAAACTATTTTAGAATTTGAAATTATATGCGTTACGGGTGACAAACGTAATGCAGGTACCGACGCCAATGTTTACATCACTTTATTTGGAAAAGAATCAAAAACAAAAAAAATTCATTTACAATCACGAAGCAAAAATCCTTTTGAAAGAGGTCAAAGTGATACATTCAATGTGAAAGCTGAATATGTTGGAGAATTAGACAAAATACGTATTGAACATGACAATACAGGAAGTGCTCCTGGATGGTTTCTCGAACGAGTATGTACATTTGATTTAATTTTTGAAATATCAATCGATTTTCGTCTGTTTTAGGTTGTTATAACTGATCGATATGATCCGGATACTAAATATTTTGCTTCCTGTAATAAATGGTTAGCCAGAGACGAAGGGGATGGTCAAATTTCAAGAGATTTAGTTTGTAGCAAAGATGTGATGGGTAGTAGAAAACGTATGTTGTATAAAAATATTGCATATTTAAGAGATACTTTGAAATTTTAATATAGCAGACAATTTTGTATTGTCGTTTTACTGCTCATCAACTAAAATTCGAACGTAAATTTTCTTTTTGATAGTAGGTATTTCTTTGATTGTAGCAAACAAATATAAAGTAACGGTAATTACGGGAAACAAGATGGGAGCTGGCACAGACGCTGACGTCTATCTGACCCTATTTGGACAGCTTGGCGAATCCGGTGCAATTTTGTTGGATGATAAAAAGAATAATTTTGAAAAAGGAGCGTAAGTAAAAGTCTCATTCAATTTAATTTTCAGTTGATATAAATATCTATTTTTTATTTAATTAGAACGGATCATTTTGATATAGAGTGTCCATCAGTTGGCGAAATTGATAAAATTCTTATAGCACACAACAATAAAGGCGCGGCTCCCGGTATGTAACTGTTTATCTTCTATAATTAACTTCGTGTGTCGCTTAACGAATATTTTTCGTGTTTAGGCTGGTTTTTGGATAAGATATTGATTGATGATATTGATCAACGTCGTACTTACGAATTTCGATGTCAGAAATGGTTGGCAACTGATGAGGGAGATGGACAAATATCAAGGTTTTTATTACCAGTTAAAGGGAATAGTAGTGGCAAACAGGCAACAGAGGGTAAATAACATTTTTCTTTAACAGAAAACTCATGTTGATATTCGTCATAAAATTTGAGTATTATCTCTACAGTTCAAAAGAAAGACTAATGTTCTATAGTGTCACTACAATAACTCATAGATTCCTTCTTCCATATTTGTAGATGGTGATGGTAGGTGCTTTTTCAAGTTCAATGTAAGCTTTGTTTCATTTTTGTTTTCACGCAATCGAATATATAGTAGCTATCCGCAAGGATGTTTCACCATACATATACATGCGTATATAGATTAAGAAAGCTTTGCTGTATAATTTAGTGTTATTCGAATTCTTTCCGCATGCCCCACCTTTTCTTTGTAACTGTAATTGTAATTAACGACGTTTCCTACAGCTTAAAGATATTTTTTTGTTTGTGGTTCGTCCGTTAGTCTTGTGTGAATCAACGGTAATTATTTAATCATAAACTGTCAGATTATTTTATATTTATGTATCGTTTTTAAGTATTTTCTGTAGACAACCTTAAAATTTGTTTTAGGTATACCATATACGGTTAGCGTAACAACAGGTGATAAGATTAATGCTGGCACAAATGCACGCGTCTATTTGATAATGTATGGCGAACAAGATGATAATACATCTGGTAAAATTTTTCTGAGTGACGGGACATTTGAACGAGAGAGGACAGATATATTTCATATTGATGGACCATATGGACTTAGTCCACTAGCTTATATTGATATTGGCCATGATGATTCTGGTATGAATCCGGTAAGTATTAGTTAAGTGATAGAGTCGTTCAAATGTACATTCTTTGAATTTTACTCTTTTTAGGGATGGTATCTTGGCAATGTAAGTCTATTCTGTTGTTATTATTTATTAACATTTAATTTGAAATGAATACTCAATTTTCAGGTCGTAATTGATTGTCCGAGTACGGGTATTAAGCAAACGTTCCACTGTGATAAATGGTTGGCAACAGACGAAGGTGATAGAAGAATTGAACGTCGATTGTTTGAGACAAAACGAGAAGTACGACCACCAAGTATGTATCGCAAGAATAACTCGTAAAAATATTTTGTCATTTTTATCTTTTCTTAGGTGTTCCTTGGTACGTTTGGGTTTATACAAGTGATATAAGAGGAGCTGGAACCGACAGTGATGTCTCGATGGTGTTATATGGAAGTAAAGGAAAAACAGACGACATAAAACTTGTTAGCAAATCGAATAGTTTCGAAGCCGGTGAATGTGATGAATTTAAAGTTGATGCAGCAGACGTTGGAAAACCGTACAAATTACGAGTTGGACACAATAACAAACGTGCATTTGCACCATGGCATCTTGACAGAGTAAACTTTTGCTTGATTAATATGCAAATAGGCTTATAACAGTTTGTTTTAGATTGAGATGGAAAATTTGAGTACGAAAAAACGTTATATATTCCATTGTGGAAAATGGCTTTCAAAAAAGGACGGTGATAAACAGACTATACGAGAACTGCCAGCCGAAGGACCTGGCATTGATCACCCACTTCCAGGTAGGCTTAAATTATCGAAATTATAAACTTTTCAATCATTTATTATTATTGTTTTCTTTTAGTTGTACACTATTTGGTCGACGTTCACACAGGAAAAAAACGGAATGCTGGAACTGATGCTAACGTTTTTCTGAATATTTTTGGTGATTATGGTGATACTGGAGAGCGTCCGTTAGAATATTCATCAAATAAGAATAAATTTGAAAATGGACAAGTAAGTCGACAATGACAAATGATTTTATTATGATTTAATTATTTTATATTCTAAGGTTGATACATTCAATATCGAAGCTGTTACATTAAATAGAATAAAAAAGCTTCGTGTCGGACATGATGGTCAAGGAGCTGGAGCCGGTTGGTTCTTGGAAAAAATTGTCGTACGTGAACAAGAAAATAAAGATACTAATATTACATTTATGTGCAATAGGTGAGTATCTCCTAGTAGAAGAATACATGCATTCTTCTGTATGCTCTGTCTTTAAATTTTAGATGGCTTGCATCTGATGAAGATGATGGTCAATTAGTTCGTGAACTGACACTTGACGGAACACAACATCTCAATAGTAAGATCATTTTAATATTTGAGTTTGATATTAAACTAGTTTTTATACTACAGAAACGTCTTATCATATTAATATCAAAACTGGCGATGTACTTCAGGCAGGAACCGATGCCGACGTGCATATTAAGATATTCGGCGAGAAAGGCGATAGCGATGTTGTTCAATTACGGAATGCCGAAAATACCACAAATAAATTCGAACGCAACAGAATCGATAAATTTACATTGGAATTTAGTGATTTAGGAAAAGTTAGTAAATATTTCCTTTCAAAATGTATTAAAACTATACGAGCTCCTTTCTATAAATAGATTCGTGCTATTAGAATCGGACACAATGGAAAAGGCCTTGGTTCAGGCTGGTTTCTCGATTATGTTGAAATTGATGTGCCGATGCGTGGAGAATTATATCGGTAAGCATAGGGATGATATTCTATTCACTTTTTACTCTAATAATAAAGTTCTATTTATTAAGATTTTCATGTCATCGTTGGTTAGATTCAAACGAGGGTGACGGATTAACAGAACTTGAATTACAACCATCAGATATTCAAAAGAAAACACGCTGTAAGTAATTTTAAATTTATATGACGTTTTCTTGGTGAACAATGTAAAATACTTCTAGCGTCAAATGATCATAGTAAGTGACGCACTTTCCAATGCCATATTCGTTATTTTTGCTTTGTAATTGTATGATCATTTATCATTTTAAAAAACTGAAACACTTCAATAGTTTCTCTTATACTTGCAAGTTTTTTTTTTGACACAACAATACTGCAAAAACTAGGGCTAGCAAGTATCGATGAGACAGATTATTTAACGATAAGTATTAGTTTTTTGCTTTAGCTATTGTAACCCCACTAATTATGAATGTCATACATCACTATAAAATATATGAACAGAAATATCTCTTTCGAAACATAATTCTTTATATATTTGCTATATGTTTATTGATATCGCTTTTCAAAAGCAAGTTGTACTCCTCCTAAAAATAGTAGAGCATTACCTTCTAAAGTGTCCTGATGAGTTGCTACTTTAGGCGGCCTTTTAATACTGATGGGGCTCTGTTTTGTGCATCAGCCTTCTATTGTATCCCTTGAGATATTTATATGTGGGTAGTCTTTTAACATGTGGTAGCCTTCTATTATGGGAGAAAGCTTATGCAATATCCTAGTACTTTAATGCTTTAGTACTTTAATTTTAATAGTACTTTAATGTACTTGCCTGAAGTACTTGGCTGACCCAGCGCAAGTAAATTTACATTTAGGAATATTTTAGTCAAGTACTTGTTCCATTATCTTTATTTTGTACTTATTTGCAACCACAGTTCACTTTTGTAGAGCAGACGTATGCATGGCTGCCTAGTTTGTTCAACTCAGTAGAAATATCTAAATTGATTATCTAAGTTTATACTGATTGGTATTATAAGTGTTTATATACAACTGGTTAATGCAGAACAAAAGAGCGATTAACTCGTTCAAGTACTTGACTGAAGCGAATCAAGTTCCGATACTTGGAAAGTACTGAGATAAGACTTTAGGAAGTAAAAGTACTTGCTTAGTCCTTGTTCAAGTGCTCAGCGAGTGAGGAAACTTGTCAAGTAATCAAGTACTTGCATCAAATACATTCACTAGGAATTTATGTTAACTATAAATGGATTTGTTCCGATCAAAGAAATTTGGCTGTATGGAGAATTAATTTTGTTTATAAACCGTTAGGTGCTTTTTTGTTGCAAAGTATAAATATTCATTAAGAGGTTAATCGAAACTGTTTTACGATATATATGTGACTAATTGCGATCATTGATCTATTTTAGCAATTCCATATGAAATCACAGTTTTCACGGGAGATAAACCGAATGCGGGTACAGATGCATCTGTATTTATCCAAATCTATGGTGTAAATGGTAAAACCGAAGAATTGAAACTTGGAAATAAATCAGATACATTTGAACGGAAAAAAGTAAAACAATCCACATTGCTAGTTATGTGAGCTGATTTCTATCTTTGTTTTTAGGTTGATAAATTTAAGCTGGAAGCAACCGATGTCGGTCAAATAGTAAAAATAAGAATTGGACACGATTCGAAGGGACTAGGATCAGGATGGTTTTTAGAAAAGGTATTATTAGTCAGTCTCAATTTTTTAACTAAATAACATTATATTTTATCAAAAGGTGTGCATACAACGTACTATTAGTGAAAAACATGATAGAAAGAAAAAAGGTATGATTGAATCATCTTGTTATAATGAAAATAATGTAGGATTTTGTTTAATTTTTTAAAGATAGTGTTCGTACAAGCAAAATAAGTTTATCTGATCCAACTGTGGAAGAATATTGGTTTGTAACTAATCAATGGTTCGACAATAGTAAGGGTGATCGTCAAACAGTAAGAGAATTATTGCCAACAGATGAAGCTGGAAATATACTTGGCAATAAGACTGAAGCTGAATATAAAGTACACGTTTTTACTGGTGATAAGGCGGGCGCAGGTAGAGAAAAGAATTAGCTCTTAAATATTTTATATTCCTTAGCCTTTTGCAATGTTAGGTACTGACGCGAATGTATTTTTAACAATGTATGGAGCCAAAGAAGACTCTGGTGAAAGACAATTAGAAAGATCAAATCGCATGAACAAATTCGAAAGAAAACAGGTAGATGATGTTATTGTATAATAGAATATCTATCAATACAATATTAGAAAGCATTATTAAGATTAATTTGTACTTTAATGATCAATTTTAGGAAGACATATTTTTAATCAAAGCTGTTCATCTTGGTGAATTAAGAAAAATTAAAATTCGCCATGACAACAAAGGTGGTGGAGCAGCATGGTATTTGGATAGAGTTGAGATCGATGATCCTGAAGAAGGAAAAACGTAACTATTTCTGAATAAAATAAATGAAATTTTACATCTCATTGTTCATATTGAATATTTAGATATCATTTTATTTGCAAAAATTGGTTAGCCACAAATGAAGGCGATGGACAAATATCACGCGAAATAGCTTCACAAGAACGATTGGGACCATTGCACGGGAGAGATTTAGATTCACCACTACAAGGTCTCGAAAGAAAAAGTAAGCAGCATTATGAGCATTGTTAATTTGTTCATTTCTATTCGGTATCTTTTCGGGAATACTAACGATGAGACTTTCACAAAAACAAACTACTTTTTCTCGTTTCTTTTTCATATTCTCTCTAGAAATTCTAGCTCATGTCAATGGTTTGTATTAATGCGTACCTATAGCATGCATCGCACCCAATACCAGTAAATAGTTCGTTGTCACCACCAGAGGTGGGATCAGTTCGGTTTGAACTTTTTCAAAATATGAATTGGTTCAATTTGAACCACTTTTTTTGAAAAGGCTTTTGTAAAAATGGAAAAATTTTGGAAAAAAATATCATTTTTTGATTAGTGAAGTCATCGACCCATAGTTTCTCTTGTATTTTAATCAGTTTTTTAAACACTGTATTCAATATTCGTTTCAAAAATACAAACAAATCCTTTTTGATGGATATAAAACAAATGGACATCTTGTTTTGTCTCCACTGTTTGTATTCTCACAAATAGAGATTTATGTTGTTTTTACATCATAAATTAGGTTGTTGCTGATCAACAATAAACATCTATTTCAGTATGAAATAACATTATCTGATAGAAAGCAGATCCCTGTGCATATGTCACATTTCTTCTTCTTTCTAATTTGAAAAAAGATTTTCGGTTTCGGTTCAGTTTTGAAAAAACAGAAACCGATCCCATATCTGGTCACCACCATCAGCCGTCATACACTTCATATTTGTAATTTAAATGGACAGAAAAGAAAAGAATAATATGATTATTTATTTAAATTAAAGTGCTATAAGTTTTTTGTCATTTGTGCATGATGTTGTTGTAGTTCATACATTGTTATACGAATCATCTCATTATTTCAGACTCTTATAAGTGACATGATCAAGATTTTTTAAATAAAGGAAAGTGTAACCGATAGAAAAAATGTTTGATTGCCAAATTTTTCTTTTCCTGTGTAAAGGGTAGGATAAGTTTTTACTGCAGAGGGGCGTATCTTGTCCCTCTCTCTCACATATACACCTTGGGTATGTCACTGGCGTTCATCTCTGTCGCTTTTTTTCTGCATGTATAAAAATTCGACTATCAATAGAAAAAAACATTTCTTTTGTAGTAAATTTGAGAAATAAAAGCATTAGACCATATTAAAATACTGAAATATTTAAGAAAAATTAGAAACATCGATCCAATTATTTCTCCATATCGTCGTATTCTTGTCTACTTACTTGACTCTTTCACGTAAGTCAACCTCTTTTACTTTTTATACAGTTTTTTTATACGTTTCGTACTCCTCCTTTCTCTATAAGAAACTGATTTAAGGCGACTAGAGAATTCAAACAAGATCTGATGAAGAATAAGTTTTTACACCTAAAATTAAGCATGAGTCCTACACGCGAACAGAATCAGCCGTTGTTTTGAACTATAGATGGATCTCATTCAATATCGAGACATCAAAGGAGAGTTCAATATTTTCGAGTTTCAGTGACCAATACGACAGAGGAACGATTGATAAGCAATCGTTACTTCTATCTGATCGGCACCTTCCATCGAAAACTATTCTTCTGTGGCAACTCTTTGATTAGTAATAAAAGGCTCTCATTTAAATACTGAGTAAAAAATTATATTTTTCTAAGTATTTTATTGAAATTTTAAATAAAAATATTTTATTTTCTAAGTAATATTTTTTATTCCTAATTAAATTATTTACCTTAAAAACACATTTTTCAATTTATTAACTTAAAGATTAAATATTTAAGTTATATATTACTTATCAAACTTAGCAAAAATTTTAATTGTTGAGAAAAATTATATTAATTGAACATTCAATAATTTTATTAAACATTCAAATTATTTACTGAGCAGATACACATTTTACTTAGCAAAAATTAACTTAACATTTAGGTAGTTTTAGTTAGAAAAAAAAATATTAATCGTAATAAAACCACTGTCTTAACTTGAGTACTCTCATCATAAATATTTCTAATTTTCGTAAAACGTCTAGTTTTTGCTTGTTGTGCTATATATGGAAGTAACGTTTCTGTAGTACTATGAGTGTCTGTCATTTTCTGTTGTTATAAGCATGATGTATTTAATTTGAATAAACTAATATAAATTTACTTTCAATTTTTTGCTTTGTATGTAGACAAAAATATAATTGCAATTATTTAGAATTAATATGTAGAGTATACTTTTGTGGGATATTGGTCATCCTTTTATTCTCTTCTAGAAATCAATGTATATATTGTTGATTTAAATTCAATCCGTTCGTATACGATGTTCTGACCTGATATTGCTTTTCTATTCTCTGTCAATCAATGATTTTTTCAAATATCGACGTTTACCTGAGTTTTAGAGTCACTCCTATTTAAATTTTTTTAAACTCATTCTATCATATCTCATTTTATTAATTCTATTTTGAGGATAAATATGCCAGCGCTGAATTGATTGCTTTAATGTTGTTGTTTTTTGCACTAATCGATAAACTATTCGATTTTTATTGAGAAAGTTTTCTTCACTCATTAGAACATATTCATTTGGAGTTTTTTTTCCAGAATTGGCAACCACATACAAAGTGAATGTTATCACTTCGAACAAAACTGGAAGTGGAACAAATGCGAACGTTTATATTATCATATTTGGTGAACACAATGATACAGGTATATATAATCGCCTTGACGTTTTATAGTTATATCATAAAATCTTGAAAAAAATGTAATTTTAAATTTAATAAGGTAAAGTGCCATTAGCAACATCAAAAACTCACAATGATCCATTTGAAAGTGGACACACGGATTTATTTGAGATTGAAGCAATGGACATTGGAGAACCAAAAAAGATCAAGTAAGTTAAATGAACAGAGAAATAGCATTGCTCTTAGTCTTATGCTATGCAATAAATGTTCTTCTTAGAATTGGACACGACGATAGTGGTTTTCGATCAGATTGGTTGCTCGAGGAAGTTGACATCGATGTTCCCAAACTTGGTCGTACGTTTAAGTTTCCGTGTGGACAATGGTTGAGTAAATCAAAAGGCGATGCGCAATTAGAAGTGGAACTTTATCCGAAAGAACTTGGAACAGAAATTTATAAACCATGTATGTGTGTACATATGTCTTATTTTCTTTGAAATTTACATGGTTCTAGCTGGAATACTCCCTAGTAAAATCCTTATGAGTTTCCTGACAGGATCCGAGACATATCCTGCGAATATCCTACTAGCATTTCTCTTTACCTTCTTAGGATCCTAACAAAATCCTACAGAATCCTAATGAAATCAGGTATACCCGAAAGTCATAGGGTTTTCTAAGATTCTGTTAGGATCCTAAACAAACTTAAGCGAAATCCTGTAAGATCCTAGTAAAAAATAGACAGAAAGTGCATAGGACTTTGTCTGGAACTAGAGCGAAAAGTGCTTCTCTTTTTTCCAGTTGTTCCATATGAAATCAAAGTTTTTACAAGCAACAAGCGAGGAGCTGGAACAGATGCCAATGTATTCATAGAGATCTATGGAGAGGACGTTAGTACTGGTCAGACCATGTTATGTGAAAAAACCGAGCGTAAAGGTAAATTTGATAATGGATCCGTTGATACGTTCACCTTGGAGCTAGAAGATGTCGGAGAAAGAATAGAAAAAATTCGTATTGGTCACGATAATCATGGATTGGGTGCTGCATGGCATTTGGATCATGTTGAAATCAGACGTTTAATCAAAAACACAAAAACACAAACATTTTTGTTTCCCTGTAATCGATGGTTGGCACGAAACGAAGACGATGGATCAATTGTTCGTGAGCTTGTGCCGGATAAAGTTATCGAAGAAAAAGTTGGCCGAGGTGGACATGTCGAAGTTAAAGAACGAGAAATGAAAGATAAATTACAGAGTAAGATATTAAACTGTTATGTATAGTTTCATAATCTTTATATAGGCGTTACATTCATGTACGTTTTTCGTGTATGTAACAGACTAGATACATTCGTGTTAAAATAAACTGATTGATTGATAACTTTTAACATAAGTCATTCTTTTTCTAGTAAAAAATTATGAAGTGGACGTCTATACAGGAGACAAGTTCGCCTGTGGAACGAATGCAAACGTTTATTTGACAATATATGGTGATAAAGGTGATACTGGAGAACGGAAACTGCGTGATTCAGAAACACACCGAGATAAATTTGAAAGAAATCAGGTATTATATTGTATGATACACAATCTTTTTTTTGTGTTAGTGAATACATTTTGCTACTATAGATGGATCGTTTTAAAATTGAAAGTGCTGATTTGGGAACAATATACAGAGTGGTGATTCGACATGATAATAGTGGTATTTCGCCTGATTGGCTGTTAAATAGAATAGAAATTAAAGATGACATAAGAACATATTTGTTCCATTGTGAACAGTGGCTTGCTAAAGGAAAAGGAGATGGAAAATTGCAACGAACATTATATGAGAAGGATTACCAAGGGTCGATGGCATCTATGCCTACTATTACACGATCGGTGGGTGGTTCTCTTTTGAGTATGACATCAACTGACGCTAATAAAAGAGAGCCATTCCATCATACACCGCGAAAAACGATCATGTCAAGTATCGCTGAAGAATCGCGTGATTCAACCGAAGAAGGTGAGTGGTTACGGTGTTTATTGTTATTTTAGTTTCTTACACATAAATCATTGATATTTTTGTAGGAATACCTTATACAATTATGGTGACAACAGGTAATTAGGTGCAAGATATTATCTACGCGTATTCTAATCCAATTATTCTTACGACTTATAGGATCTGAGCCTGACGCAGGAACGACTGCCAATGTTTTCATCCGATTGATAGGACGGAAAGGGAAACAAACACCGTTACTTCCGTTGGAATTAGCCCATAAACGAAAATTTGAACCAGGGAAAGTCGAAACATTTAGTTTTCATCAACCGGATATTGGTGATCTCGAGCTTGTAGAGATTCAACATGATGGTGAAACTCCGGCAACAAGTTGGCTGTTGGATGAAGTGAAAGTAGAAATTCCAACAAAAGGAAAAGCCTATTTTTTCCCCTGCCATGAATGGTTATCGAAACACAAAGGTGATGGACATACAAAACGAATGTTACGAATACAAGACGCAAATCAAGCAGCATTTCGTCCATGTAAGCATGAGAATTAACATATTTTATATTATATGTAGCAGAACAAGAGATAAAAAGCCCATTTTCACTGTAGTGATTCCCTACGAAATGACAATTTATACGGGTGATGTTGAAAATGCTGGTACTGATTGTGATGTGTCTGTAAAATTATTCGGCACTAATGGAGCGTCATCTGATCATGTTATTAAAAAACAAGAACATATATTTGAGCGAGCATCAATTAATCCATTTGAAGTGCGTAGTAGAGACATTTTTTGCCTCTTATCATTGAAAACTACGTCATCTGTTTGTATTATAATTAGGTTGAATTGGATGATGTTGGAAAACCACGTAAACTTCGAGTCTCAATAATACCAAAATCAAAAAGAGGTCGAAAGAGTTGGTATTTAGAAAAAATTGAATTAGTCAAGGTAAGTTGATTTATCCTCACAAGCGCTTTAAATAATTTTCAAAAAGCCAGTATGTGAATGAGTGCGATTACTAAAAGAGGAAAAGAAAGGTCGACAACTTTTTAACATCATTCTTCTTCACGACTCTTTTGATAAAGTAGACGCTTTTCGTTGCTAGGTAGGAGCACAGCGAAACCCCGTTTTATTTGGTTTAAATGATTGGCTATCAGAACAAAGTGGTATGTCTCGTGATATACCGCTGATAAAAGATGGACGATCAGTAATTGAAGAAACGACATATCGTATTACCACCAAAACATCTGATGTCGACCATGCTGGAAGTGATGCAAACGTGTTTGTCGTTATTTATGGTAAAATTGGTTATTCAAGTACGAAGAAAGGATAAATCTATTTTCATTTTTGTTTCAGGACAAAATGGTGATTCTGGTGAATTGAGATTGGATAAGTCTGAAACACACACAAATAAAGTACGTTCTTTGTTTACTATATGATTATCTATGAAATTTTAAAGTTGTAAGATGTCACTTCTATCAAAAATGACGCACTTTATAATTTACAAAATGCATAAAATTTTAGTTTGAGCGTAATCACGAAGATGTATTTAAATTTGACAATATTCTGAGTTTGGGCGAACTGACAAAACTTCGTATATGGCATGATAATTCCTCAACTTTCAAAAGTTCCTGGCATTTAGAATCAGTTAAAGTAGAAGATGTACATACAGGCAAAACGTTCATATTTCCATGCGATAAATGGTTATCATCGACAAAAGATGATAAACAAACTGTTCGAGAACTAAAATGTACCACAGAAAGTGGTAGTCGAGACACAACACCAATGATGGGTGGACGATTAATATATGAAATAGAAGTGATAACATCTGATAAGAAGGATGCAGGAACGACCCAACACGGTTGGCTAATTTTAGAAGGAGCACGAAAGAAATCAGATCGATTTCAAATGAAAAATACACAACACAACAAAATACTGAGAAAGTTCGTATAATAACAAAGAATAATATATATTTAAGAGAAAATTTCTATAATTAATTTAGAGGTCAAACGGACACATTTACATTTGAAACTCGTGCACTTGGTGATATTCGTCGAATTATTTTGGGTCATGAGGAACGTCCAGAATATCCATTGCAGACAACAGAAGGAAGAGAAGCAATGTGGCATTGTTCATCGATTACTGTAACCGATACTTCAACAGGAACAAAGTAATCATTTCTCTGTATCACAGTCAAGTGAAACTTCTTCGCGTTTTTGGCAAGATCTTGACTCAAGATGATGATATATAAAAAAACAAAGTGTGAAGAAGAAATTTTTCATTCTAGTTCTTGAAATTTTGTTTATAGAAACTTGAACAAAATCTTGAGTGAGAGATTCAAGAGTCCAAGGTCTTGTAATATTTCTTAATTAGGAAGGACACAAGAAGTTTCACCAGGACAGTACTATTTAAAAATTATGCAGTAATACTCATAAACTGGGGATAAGACATAGTAGAGTAATGATGGTGCATAATATTTAAAAAGTAATTTTTAAAATAAAATATATGATAGAAAAGACTCTAATAAGAATTAGTCATTATTAATCGAGTTAAACCCGATGCTAGCGTCCTATTTTTCAATATAATTTTAGATATAAATCGATAAAACAAATTTTATGTTGTTGTTGTTATTTCCGTAGTCTCGCTCTAATTAATTCATTCATTCTCTTTAAGATACATTTTTCCTGTTCAAAAATGGATTTCAATAAATAATGATGGAGATCGTTTTGATTGTGCAGATAAAAAAGAAGATTCTGTTTCACAACAGCGTAACCTAAGTTTGATCAATTATAAAATAGTTGTTTACACGGGAAATATTAAAGGTGCGGGAACAGACGCAAATGTTTCAATAATCTTATATGGTACACTTGGTGATAGTGGAAAACGTGATTTGAAGAAAAAAGGACGAAATTTATTTGAAAAAGGACAAGTTGATGAATTTGTTATTGAATGTTTGGATCTGGGTTCGTATTCTATCATACAATTCTCACAATATGATTATAATGTATTTAATTAAATAATTTTTAGGAGAATTAACCAAATTGCACATAGAACATGATAATGCTTTAATTAATCCCGACTGGTTTTTGGATAAAGTTGAAGTCATTAATTTAGATACAAATGAAACAGTAGAATTTCCTTGTCATAGATGGCTGGGAAAGAATCATGATGATAACGAAATTGCAAGAGATTTATTACCTATTCATATTTGATCAATTTTTTGTTTCTGCTTTTGTTATTGCTGTTGTTCATATTGTTTTCTGTATTACATGAATGTTGTTTTTCTCTTTTGGGTGGCACATTATTCTTCACATATTTAAATTCTATAGAGCAGATATTACATGACTTCTTTGATAAATATGATAACCAATTTCTTTTTATTTATAAATTTTCCTTTTTTTTTTTTATACCATTGTAATCTAAAATCTGTCTCTTTCATTCTAGTAATTTTAAAAGCATAGACATAAATGCTGAACTGTGGACGCTCAAAAAAGATCTGAAAGTAGATCTTTGAATTCTCTCTAAAAGTAATATTGTTTTCGATAATTATTCTATCTATTCTTTACGTCACACTTATTGACTCAGTAAAAAAGGGATAATGCTTTGTAAAAAAAAGTTTTTTTTTCTATCCAGGGTGAATAATTAATTGTAGTATTTTGTCTTTCGTAATCAGTGTGAACTATCATATACGTGTAATTAATAAAATAAAATAAAAAAGGGATATGAATTCATAATTTTTTCCCAATCAATCTGATAAAAATGTTTGAAGATGAATTAGCTATAATCGGTACTAAAATGAAAAAAATATCAAAAAATTTTTGTTTAGTATATCAATATATATATTCTTTCTTTTAATTCTAACAATGCTCTTTTGCCGTTTTTCAAATTATAATACGAATTTATATTAAATTCTTGAAAATTTTTATATGACGATAATATGACGATCAAATTGAAACAAATAAATGAAGAGTTTAGTTTTAACAAAGACATTCTTCTAAGTAATCAGAAATTCATCTACAAAAAAAAATGATTGTATTCATTCTCTCTCTACTTATAAGAAATTGTTTCCATACGTGTCGTGTCGTTTCGATTGTCTTATTATCAATAATCAAGTTTGTTGAAATAGAAAATGAGATTTATTAGCATTGTAAGTGACGAAGAAAAAAAATGAATGTTTTTTTAAGATTCGTCTGATCTTTTGGAGATGTACGCGAATATACATACACTATGGATACACTTGAAAATATACACATATATATACATATATATATATATATAAAATCACTTTTTTCATCATATTGTACAATGAGTGATGCTTAGTAACAGAATTATGGGGTGAAAAGAAGAAAAAAACAGCTTTCGCATATTTCTATGTTTGGATAATTGAGGTTAAAGAAATTTAATAAGATCATTTTTTGATAATAGTGCACTTAACAATACTTGAATAACAATTGCCTATCGTCACTCTAATTGGCTCCCTTATGATTATTATTTTTGATTTCTTTTTTTTCGATCACATAATTATTTACAACTACTCAAATGATTTTCTCGTTTTTTTCTTGTTTTTCATATTCTCTAAAGTGTAGCAAAGAAGAAACCAAATCATCGGCATGTAGTACCAATGAGAATCATAAACATTTCTCTTTTAACGTCATTCGTGGAATTTTTCTCATATTTTTTTCTGATCAAATATGTTTGAAGATAATATTAGGAATTTGTATGAAAAGTGAATTGGGATTTTCGAAATATGAGGACCGCGATTGGTGGCTGGTTTTTTTAAAAATATTCTAAATAAGAGCGCCTCATCTGAAGGAACACACTGTACGTTTCTAATTTTTTTGACTCCGATTTCGAGAGTAAGCAGACCGTACTTAACCCTTACTGTTGAAAAAAATAAACAAAAAAACACTTTCAAATTTCCGATATCTATTGTGTGCTTCGAAAATCACGACATTTTCCTGATTTTCAATTCTGTTAGACATTGTGGAGTTTGTTTGAAAACAGAAATTTTGAACAATTTATTCCATCTCTTTTCTCATAGTGTTTTTGAATGAAAAAACATTTGAGAGCACATTAGAGTGGTTAAAATGAACCAATGAAATTCATTTGATTCAGTTTTTTTACATATATATTGATTAAAAACATCATTATAGAGTTTACATAATACATACATTCTACAATGTTAAAGAGGATCATCTTATTGATCATACAAGTGTATTACCATCACTCAACTGTGATTTATCAATAGATGTATTTTGAATATTTAGTATTTTAATCATATTTAACGAAACAAATAGGAAAAACCGCAGGTAGTAGTTGATTATCGAACAGTTATTATACTTAGTTCATGAACTCTATGAATTTATGAGTAAAAACGTGTGAATAAAAATGAAAGTTGAACTAAGATCTCAAAATTAACAACGTGGTAAACTGACAAAAAAAAAAAATGATAAGACATAAAAAACATATAAACATTTCCTGTAGAGTGCATATCAACAATCTTTGTACTAATTGTTTTAAGAAGTTGTCTGCTTTTTAATGTCTTAAATAAATCGGAAATTCACCTAAACTATTTGAGCATAATAAAATATGATTTTTCGTCTCTATCATGCATGAAAAAGAGACATGTTTGTCATGCTATAAATATATTTCTTTTTAATTCGTCTTTTTATCCATATCATTCTTAACTAACCTTTTTTCCGGTAAGAATAAAAACAAGATACATATATATTTTTTTATTTTAGAAACGGATGTACGTTGAGCCTCCGGTTACTTACACTTTAGTCTAAATTTCCTTAAAAAATTTGGCACACCATATTCTATATTAACTAAAATTATTTGATTCAAAACACTTATCTTCAAAAGAGGTGTTTGAAAATGATTTGAACAATAAAGTTTCCTGTGTATATAATGGTAATTAGTATATCAAAAATAACTAATCATCAACATATTGTTATTCGTTTGTATATAGACAGACAAAGTAGGTGGATATTTCATGGGAAGGCAATAGGAGGAGCATTAACTCACACTTTTTTCTATTGTTTAAAATTTTGTATGTGTTTACAAAGTATTTGATGCAGTTTTATTCTAACCAATAATTATCGCCATACTACCAAGCATATTAAAACATTTGTTCGTCTACGATAGAATAAATGAAGAAGAAGAAAAAAAAAGAACTAGTTTTTGTTCGTTTATCATTGAGTATAGTTTAAAGTGTTAAAAAACATAAAATAACTTGGTTAATACGCACGAGATCGAAATAATTTGCTGTTGTTGCGTGATGACTTTTCTGCTTTTAGCTGTTTTAATTGTTAAATTGACTCCATTAGGTCACATTCAAGCGTTTACTAAAATTATTAAAAGTCAGGATGTTTAAACATTATAAATAACAAATTCTGACAGTTTAATACGTCAATGGGACAAGAGAATAAAATCTATTTCATTCAGGTAACAAATATTTTTGAAAAAAAATCTCTACTTTAGAGAAAAGTCAAATATTGATGAGATTCAAACGAGTTTCCATAATTTCAATTTGAATTCGAGACGATAAATTCATATAAAAGTTATTTATTATCTTTAAACAACAATTGACATGAAAACAAAACCCGAAAAAATAAAGCTGTATGTCAAACTGTTTCTTAATTTAGAGAGAAAGAGAGAAAGAAAATGGAGTCATAGTAAATATAAAAAATAGATGTTAGATCAGTTTGTGGAAGAAGTTAGTTTAATGTTCGATGGAACCGATACATTTACACATCTTACAACACATCATGAGTATTACTCGACGAATATCTTTCTAATTTATAGAAAAATCTAGCACTTCAACAATTGTATCTTTTATAACGGTAATTCCTCGACATTTTGTATATAAATGCAGATAATACTATGTACCAAAACATATTTAGTTTATCTGTAACAGAATTTTAGTAAAAGTTTTTGAAAATGTTAAAAACTATTTAAATCTGACATAACATACGTCCACCATATATCGTTTGTTCAACGAGTGATGATGATGATCGACTTTCATCATGAGAACTTCCACTTGTCGATGATGATAATTTTGATGTTTTTGTCGGTGTTGTCGATGACAAATGATGAAAATGATGATGATGATGAAACGAATGATTTAACGCTGTTAGTCCGCCAACACCTACTCCTCCGTTAACATGAACATTTCTCATATGTTTTTTGAGATCAAAATTTCTACAAAAACCTTTTGAACATATGGAGCATGTGTACGGTTTAATATCACTGTGTGTATACATATGAAATTTTAAATTGTATATTTGATGAAATGCTTTGTGACAAATTGAACATTTATATTGTTTTATGGTTGAATGAGTCAATTTATGATTTTTATAGTTGCCTTTTTGATGAAAACCTTTGCCACAATATTCACATACCCATGGTTTAAAATTTTGATGTATTCTCATATGAGTATTTAATGTTGATGAACGATTAAATGCTTTTCCACAAATACGACAGGCATGAGGTTTCTCCGATGTATGAATTATTTTATGACGACATAACGTGGATGCTTGACGAAAACCTTTACCACAAACCTGAAATATGGAAACAAGCAAATAAGACTATATTTAACAATTGAATCTCTAATTTACCTTGCAGATGAATGGTCGAACACCAGTATGAACAGGCATATGTCGTGTTAAATTATAATGAGCACTGAATACCTACAAGAAAACAAAAAACAATTTATTAATAAAATCTTTTATTGATCTCACAATAGAAAATTATTCTGATCTTGAATTGGAGAAAACTGTTATAAATCTTTATGTTAGTTCAATAAATTGTACATTGTGATAAACTACCGTAGCTAAAAGGAAAACCTATTTCAATATTTCTCTTACCTTTCCACATTGTGTACATGGATACGTTTTTAGTTTATCATTTTCTTCACTATTTTCGACAAAACAATCTTTTTCCACCAAATGATCTTCCTCTCCATCACTTTCAATTTCAATTGGTTGATCACTAATGTCATCTTCATAATCCGTTGTCTCTTCTTCGTCTTCTTCTTCTCCGTATTTCATATTATCTGATTTGTCTGAACTTGATCTATTTGCAACAGACTCTGTACTAGTTGTTGTTGTACATGGTGATATTTGACCATTCAATCCTGTTGCTGTTGTTATTGCCGTATAAATGTTTTGTTGATTAATATTTGTTTTTTCAGAAGAGATAATTTGTGGTACACGTTGTTGAATTGATTCCCAATATTGATTCATTTTGCTGATAAAATTCGCAGATGAATATGCTGGATTTAATGACATTGTTAATTGTTCATGAAGATTCGATAATATGGAAGGATTTACATGCCAACATGGATGTTTTGACGAATTTTTATCTACGGCTGTATTCAAAAATGGAAATAAGGGAGATGCAATGAAAATATTGTTATTTGGTAGTGGTTGTTGTTGCAAAGTTTGTGGTAATGGAGGTGCTACACGTGTACGATGAATTTCGTGACTTATGCGAAGTGTAGCAGCTGATGTACCTGTCGTTGTAGTAGCAGCGGTGATGACAGAACTGGACGACTGAGGAACATCAATAGATCGTTTTAAATGACGTGAAGTAGTAGTAGTAGTTGTTGGTGTGTGTTTTGTTGCATGCAATATTTTATCGGTGTCGGAACCGATTAAACTTTTGATGGAAAATTTTAAATCCGATTTTGGATTTCTTGCTTTTGACATGATGCTCTATTTTATTCACAACAATTATCTAAATAAATAACATTTTCCTATAAAGGTACGAACAAAAAGATAGAAAAAAAAAATTGAAAAATTACTGAAAGATAGTTCTAATTATGACGTCTAATATTACCTCCAACATCTATTTCAGAGATTATTCGTGTTTATCGTTATTAGCAGGATATTGGTGGAATAGTGGATATGTTAAGCATGAACGAATAGTAAAACTAGCTCTCTATAACCTACTTTAAAATGAACAAGAATTACACCACAGAACGTAGAGTGCGTGTGTTGTTTGACTCAAATTGTCTTGGACAACTAAACTACTATTTCTAGTCTAATACGATAATTACCTGGAGTCTTTTATAAAATAAAGGCTGTCTTATACAATAAAAAAAAGAGACATATTATCAAAAAAAATTCTTTTCTTTGCTTGTCTTAGTGCTCTTTTTATTTTTAGAAGAAAGAAAAAAATTCTATTAGAGAAGTAAAAACCGCCTGTTAAGTGCTCCCTTGAATGCTAAATATACATATGTAAATATATAATATTCTTCTTTTCTTCAACAGACATTGTCTTTTTTTTTTTAAATCTCATCAAAAAAGATTGGATCTATCTACCTACGTTTTTTACTAAATTGTGTAATTATGATTGTATTTAGTTGATGATTTATTATTGTTTTTAATGAGATATATATGTTTCTGACATCATTTGAATTGTTCGTTTTTCCGCATGGAAAACAAGCAAGAAAAAAAGGACAAATCGAAATGAGAGAAGAACACAAAAAAAGAAAAGTGACGTATTAAGCTAAAAAAGAAATACATTGTATGTTTCTATCTGAAACGAATAAATCGACAAATAAAAAAAGAAATATATTTTCGTCACGACCAACAGGTTTAACTTTCCGAAATACGATGGGAACAGAAACCAATAGGAACATAACAGAATAGATTCATGTATTAGTCAGAAAAAAATTCAATAAGTCTTTGAATTGATATAATTGAAACTGTATATATAGAAAAAAGTCATGGTGTTGCTAGTGGAGTACGTGTGAAGTAAATAACATTTAACAATCAGAATAAATGTTTTCTCTTTGACAAGGCCTCGAGTATTTGTTACACATATATTTCTATATTGCAGATTTGAGGTGAATGAAAACAAGAACGGATAAAAGAAATAGAATAGATTTTTATTTAAGTACAGTATACGCCTCAATGGACTAAAGAACAATGTCGGTTAGGCTACTTCCTAAATGCGACTGAAATTTAAGCCAATTAGTATAAAAGGAGTCACAAATTGGAATAAAAAAAGTTACATTGATCTCATTTTTATTGTGTTTCTAAAAAAGCGATCACTTTTTAATTAACTGGTAATCAACAATCATAATTTGAAATATAGATATATATATAAATTGGTCGCTTTCTAGAAGTAAAATAGAGTACAATAAAAGTAGAAACATATATAATAAGAATTGATGATTATATATTTATTGATAACACAGCCATATTAATAAAGAATTTAGTCTTCGTCACTACTATCTCTGGCATCTTTTATAACGTCTATATACCGACGAGAAAGAGATTTAAAAAATTGCTTTTTCACCTTTTTGAGTTTTTGACCAAGTGAAGTTTGTATTCATAGTTTTAAATAAAGTATGACTGTCGTCTCCATGTTTCTATATTTATACTATCGATAAGACAGAACTTATGATCAAATTTCGACTAACCATGCTATAAAATATTCTTTTGCACGAAATAATCATTAGAATATGTTTTACTGATAATAAAATCAAAATTAATCCTTTTTTCTCTGGGAGCTGGTTCTTATTCTGACGCTCGTCCGTAAAGATAGACATTAGATTTTTAGTATAATTGAGTATTATCCATAAATATGGTTATGTCCCTAAAAAGATACTTTTTTTGCAACCTCACACTCAGTTTTTAATGTCCTGTCCGATGTTGTTTGATTTTACAAACGACTTTGTATCCCTTCGAGAAGCTTCGATAAATATATAGTGATGTTTCTACTTCTATTGTACTCTATTTTACTTCTTGAAGCGACCAATTTATATATATCTACAATTACGATTGTTGATTACCAGTTAATTAAAAAGTGATCACTTTTTGAAACCGCAGTAAAACTGAGACCAATGTAACTTTCCTCGTTCCAATTTGCGACGCCTTTTATACTAATTGGCTTAAATTTGGTCGCATTTAGAAAGCTATGGTCGGTTAGTGCTCAATGCCCTGTTCAGATTACTAAAATTTTCAGAGACGATTGTCTTACTCTAGTCAAGAACTATCTCAAAGTTGCTCCAGCTTCATTGAGATAAGCAAACTATACTATAATCATGATATGCATGTAAAACCAAACAAAAATTTTCGTTTCAATGCCTAACTGTTTTTTAATCAGACCACTTCAGGTCATGAAATGTCTAGTAAACTACAATTTCTGGGTCACTTGATATCGGTTTGAGTTTCGAAAACGTTTTGGACACCGATCAGCTAAACTATATCAGAATGCTTTTTGGGATAAATCTTATTTATTCAATAGAAAAAAAATTTCACTACAAATGCACTTTCGTTCATAATTCAAGTCGTCGGTGAGATGAGTGAAAAGTCGTACGAAACACAATTTTGACTTCAAAAATATGATTGAACGTGGTTGAAGCCATATGATGTAGTTGGAAGGACCAGATCCAAACAATAGTTCTTTTAAATTTCTTTTATAGTAGACCTTTTTTCTTCAAATTGGGACGCATTCAAATGTGGAACGTATCGAATCATTATTGGTTATTTCGACTTTTTTCCTTCGCTTAGCTCATATTCTCCACCTAACAGCATGATTCACTAGGCATTCGAATAACTATCTACTACTATCAAATCGATCAAATATAGAGTCATTACCTCATGTCTGTCGAAAAAGACTTATTTGCCTCAGGCTGAATGGCTAAAGTTTATCACTGATATATTTTCAATGGTCCCAAATAGATATCAAACACTGTTTGATATCTATTTGGCACCATTGAAAATCTATTTGAAATAGAAATGAAAAAGTGGTATTACGGACACAATATATCAAGTGTAACGAATCTTGTTTTAGTAGTTGTGCTTTCTTTAGCATCAGTTTACGTATTATAATCGAGCATTTTTGTGATAAAAATTTTCAAAAATTCGTAGTCGTTGTTGTTATCGCTCCTAAAATAGGTTAATGGTTTGATGGTCCGTCCTCGAAAATGTATATTGAATTATAACTAACGAATTATTTGTTTGAGTTATTGATAAATCCTTTCGATTCACCTAACTATTTTTTTGACAATCAACTGTTTTTAAAAGGTAAAGTAAGTGAATATATGTGGCAAGATGTAACTATCACCTCTTGACCCTGCCCGAGAATAACGATTCACAGAGGTGCATATAATCTAAGATGACACCAGCTAATCGAACCATTAAATTAAATACAGATGACTCATGATTGACTCTCATTTATAAACAGTACAGATTCATAATATAGAGCCGTAAATAATAGTCGAATATAGGAGGAAGGATAAAACAGGATTTCTGTCCTTGCCAATGCGAAATCCATAAAAGAAAGTTGTCTGAAGTCAAATGAAAAAACAAGAAGAATTTTTTCAATTTTTTGGAGAATGTACATCCTCTTCCATTATTTACGACCCTGTTGATATACTTTCAAACTTTAATGGAGCGTGTTTGACATTTCTAGCTCACTAGAACACGGAATATGTTCAAACAATTCATTATATCCGCATGATTGTAAAAGACTTTGAATGTCGAGTAAAAAGCATTTGATATCTATAAAAGATGCGGTGTCGTGCTCTTTTTTTCCATATAAAGTCATAAGACAATATTCAGTTCTTTACTAACGGGATTACTATTGCTTTTTATTCATTTGCTTAGTTGAGTCATATACAATATTAAAACTTTTAAATGATGGATGTTGTAATAATGTATAATAATTAGTTTTCTCTCTGAACTGTACATTTTTATCATACTCGTTGAGTGTATGTCTTGTATCGTGAATACTTCAACATTTTTTTGAGTTAATCATTAGAGAGAAGGAGAGAGAGAGAGAGAGAGAGAGAGAGAAAGAAGGAAAAACACAATACATACTCACAGGAGGTGTTTATTCATCATCAGACACCATAGGTAGTTTTGAAATTACAGAATATGTATGTACACTTATGAACAGTTCAAGGTTGTTGTTTTTCGTCGTTTTTTTGTGGATGGGAGTGATTTGTGCATCTTTTTCAGCAAATTTTGTTTTCAGTATAATCTATAATATTAACAATTAAGCAAACAAACAAGCATAATGATAATAATCATTATGGTGTTGACAAATTCCATAGAAGATTAATACACATGTCCAATGATATTTTAATAACTTGAAATTTGTACACAACTAGATCAAATTTTTTCAACACTTTGACAATTGACAGATTATAACAGAAACATTTCTGATTGTCTGCCATGATAGAATACATGATCTATATGGACAGAATGAACATTTTGAGAACATTGTTTTATTTTAAATTTAATTAGACACAACTGTTTTGGGAAGAAAAATTATGATGATTGTATTTTTTGAAAGTAGAAGGAAAAGTAAAAATAGAAGTTTTGATCTACGAGCAATCACTCTACCGAGTTTTCTGTTAATTCATTCTCATAAGCTCATTCTCTATGACCTACGAGTGGCATGTCCTGTTTGTGTAACATGGTGGAAAAAAAACAACAAACCATTTTCAAGTGTGTGAACGAACACTTATAGATGTCAAATATCAATTAACAAACTATAACACATTTTACTATCTCGTTAAAAAATATTTCTTCTCTCGGATGGATATGACGATCGTTCTATAGTTTGTTTGATGTGTTCGATAAGTGTCATCTTATTCAATTTTGTGTTTCATTCTGAAAACATCTTGTGTCATTGGTTAACCATTGATTTTTTTCTTCTCTATAACTAACTTTATTTCATTCAACATATAAACGACAGCAATCTAATTTGTGATGATTACAAGAATATTTAGTCAAGTTTTTCCTACAAAGACAACAAAAAAAAAAGTATTTCTTTCTTTTCTTCTTTTTTTCTCTTAAGTGCAGAGAACAAATTACAAGTGTGTATATATTTAATCTTTAAACCTATGATCGCTTTCCAACTGCCAACATAGATCACCTTGTCTTATCAGTTCTCTGTCGTCGGTATTCTCAAACACAAGAAACACAAAGGAATAATTTCACTTGATCTGGCAGCTGTTAAATTCAGCCTATCAATACAAACGCGTTTCTTCAATGCCGGCATATCATATTCTTTTCTACAGCCGAAAACATAGATACTTTATAAGGCAAAAAAAAAATGTCCAAAAGTGGATTCACACTGCTATGGTTATCGCGGACAAATTTTAGCAGATATTTTTTTCTTTAAAGTGTAATCAGAAGCGTAATCAAACAATAGCAGCGATAATCTTCGGTGACAGAGCACACGAACTGAAAAACTAGAATCAGAGTAAACTGGAATATTCAGACTTCAGAAAAGTTTAAATTAAATCTTTGGTTATTTTATGTGAAGGCGTTAATAGTAAGTTGATGAATACTTGATAGCCAAATGTATAAGTCGTTTTGTTACGAATCTATTATAGTGTTGTATCTTATTTATGATGTAGGTTACATTCTACAACACACCATCATATCTAAATTACATTATATTTTAGAAATGATATCGTCCGAAGACTGCTCGCTCAAACAAGGAATCGATCATAGGAACCAGGACGGTGAAATTTTTGTCTATTAAATGCCTATTAGCAGCCCACAAAATGGATCTTAAACGATCTTTTTTAGCTAGTTAACATCGTTTTTTGAACATTTTTCGGCATTACAACTGGGAACGTATTAATGCTTAAAGTGACATTTTATAAAAGCTAAGAAACAGGCTGAAAACAAGCATTTAACAGTGACTGTTTAAGGGCCATTTTTTCGTAATTATTGGCTGTTTATGGTTAGGATCCGACTGTTGATTATGAGTAATTTCTTTTTAACCATTACCATGAAATAAATAACTTTTCAAATGTTTGAATATTTTCGGTTGACTAAGTGTGATTGGTACCATCACGGGCACTATACATAGAACCAGTAGCTATTTCTTCAACACAGTTTCGATGATTTATGTAGTCGAGGAAGAACAAAACTCTACGTTTTCTATGAGAAACAACGTGAGGTATATAGTATCGAGATCAGCAAAACAAAAGGATGAATTAAACGGTAAATGTTAAATGTTGGTTTGTTTATCTAACAGTCATAAAACGGACACTAAAATACCATTTAATGATTTTTCAAATCTAAGCCTTACTAGCACACACGTAATTGCTTGTTTTTAGACGACCATTAAAGATGAAGAACAATAAATGGTGCCTGTTAACTGATCATTTTTTTGCAATTAAAAGCCTGTTGAAACCCTGTTGTTAGCCATTTCGTTAACAGGCCATTTATGTCCTATTAAATGTCAGTTGTTTTTGATCTGGGAATAAAAAGAGAACAAGGAAGACAAATAATTGGAAACAGATTTTGTAATATTCTCAAAAAGTTTCCGTGAGTATTATTATATGTGATCCCGGTAAAAATCTAGGCTCTGTATAATAACTGTGTATGATGCTTTGCGAAGATGTATTTTGAGCAAATTTTTAAAATTAAAAGATTATAAAATAATAACTCAATTTTTGCCATGTATTAGAGACATCTAGGTATCGTTCAATAGGTGTCGTCACATTTCAGCTAACTATTTTCAATTACAACGTTTTGGACTACATTCTAACACCTTTCACGCCCAAAAAACCATAGTCAAAAACGTGCCAGCGGCTTACACACAATCTGATTGAGATTGTCTTAATAATCGTCTTTTCATTTTTTTTCTGTTCAATTAGCCAAAAGTTTCCTTCTTCATAAAATAATTTGAAAGCGTTTAACAATCATGTTAATTGCTTCAAATCATATTATGGGTTGTTAAACCGTACATTTATTGAGCATTGATTTTATTAGTAACGATGTACCATGGCAGAAATTTATCGATGATTTTATTCTTTTTAAAAGGTTTTTGTCCATCGATTATTAATGAGTAAGTTTTTTCTTTCTATACACCGGCTATTTAACAAATGATTTCCCTTCAATTCACCAGGAACTTCTGAAAATCAGCAATATTCACATAAGAATACTAAACTATTTAGAACATATAGCAATACAATAAATTTATCATAAATTAATTCGAACATTAGGATGTCGATGTCTCTTCGATTCCTTTTATGAACACTTGAGGTACAAAAACGTAAAGAAACGCATCATACAATTTCATGCCAAAATATCTTTTGTCCAAATGGAGATATGCCTTTTGATTAATGATTGTATAATTAACACGGATTGATGTCGATTTCATCGATAATGCATTTCGTATAATAATACGACGACTAGAGCTAAAAAATAACGTCACATACATTATCAAAAAAAATGATTTGGTACAAATTATCATAAAACGTACAACGAACGTAGTACTATAATAAACGGACTAGAGCTCATTTTTGTTTTTAGGACAAGTTAGGAATTTTGACACTTACTCGCTGTTTATAAGTTGTATTTCTTTTTTATTTCTTCTCTTCGCTTTCTTCTTCCTTCTAATTCTTTCGGTGTCAAATGTTTTGGTATCATAATTGGTTCATTCACTTGTTGCACAGTTGTTAATGCTGGCATACCGGTATCATTCACTTGATCATCATCGTTTTTACCCATTTTAAAACTGAATTCAACAGTTTCAACGTTTTCAACTGGTTTTAACGGAGCTTGTTTTGATTTTTTTGATTTTGTTGATGAAAATGCTTGACGTACTTTAGAACCAAATTGTTTTTGTCTTTTTAACTCTTGTTCTTGTTGAATTTGTGTTAGTTCAATATTTGGTGTTCGTTTTTGAATTGAAAATGTACAATGTTGACCAAAAAAGAAACATGCTAACAGAATACCAAGTGCAATGGCTAATAACACTAGTATGAATATTCCTAGCCCCAAATACCATTCCATTTATCATACAGAACACACTTTTTTTTCAAAAGTTCAATCAATTTATGACCATAAATCCATTCGACCGTTTAATATTTTCGTTCTATTTACTATTCTGTCGAGTATGTCGTGCAAGTATAATTTGTCTGTACGTATGCACATACTATAACAAGATAAAAAAGAGAAAAATACGACTATAGATTACCGAATAAAAATGAATCACATTCACTATTACTAGTACATGATTGATTTTATTTTAGTAAGAGAGAACAGAGCAAACAGATTTGATAGAAGGCCAGGTGAATATAAAACATAAATATGTATCAATAGAAATATTCATATAGAAAAACATAAAATATTCTGCTGTATATACATGTCACATCACCATCAGTTATACACGCCATTGTAATATAAATATTAACATCATATATATGAAAATAAATTTACAAAAACTTAGTAATTCTCCCCTTAAACAAATGCAAAATATCGAATGATTATGAAAAACCATCCTTTATTTATTAAATATTTGCGTAAACCATGATGAAAGGTCAATATCAGTAATCATCTAACACCTGTTCATTAACATTAACATCTAGTATTGATGAACTGATCAAATTAATTCAATTTAAATGTTCTTACTACTAACACACTTTTTCGCAGTGTTGCCCAAATTTTACCTGCACTACAGGCTATGAAACAGATCGCTTTACTACTAACTTTGGTAATAAACCAAGAACACCATCCTAAATCATGAGAAACAAAAGTTGTTTCGTTGAAATGTAGTATAATTTAATTTGTTCTGTTGAATATATAGTGATTTATAGTATTTATTCTGATATATTCTGTTATATAAGCGAGGACAGGCTCTGTTTCAATTATGATAATACTGTTTGCCTGCTATGATGTTTAGTACTGATAGGTCAGATGTATGTGAACCATAAAACAGTACTTACTGATGATTACTAAGATCTTTCATAGAAACCATAATGAATAGACTTTGCGTCTATATAGTTTTATGACTAGTAGTTATAAATTGTCGAATCGAAATCAAATATTGAAAACATACATCATCAATACTCAAGGCAATAATTAACAATGATGTTAAACAGCAATATGCTGATATATCAGATTGTTTATCATCGATTACAATAATCAATGAGCAACAAAAAGAAATAAGTTAGTTCAACAAATTATTTAGAAACCGACGTAGTATGTCAGTGTACTATAAATCTTCTAGAACAATCATTAGAACAATTATGGAATGTATCGATTGCGATTTTGACTATTTTTCGAAATATTTTTTATTAAAATCTGTATTAGTTTCTAACGTACAAATGGTTCATAAAAATGTTTTATAAGAAGAAAACAGCGATAACATTATTCATCGAATTTGGATGTAAAGTATATATTGAGAAAAAAATTTAAGACTAATATCATCTTTTACCATCATAAAAAATTCGTTTTATTGAGACATTTCGTTATTCTATCTCACAACATTATCACTCGAACGATTGTACTTCAAACGAAACAGTTAGATATAAAAAATGAAAGAAAGAACAAGCATGCACAGAACAGAAAACCTTTCTCACTATATGTGAATAATATGTCTGTTGTGCAAATAAATTCAAAAGAGAACAAATTTTTGAAAACAAGTGTATTTTTTCTTTATATCATTGTGATGTCTATCAATAAACTCTCTTCGATAATTATTTTTTTATATCATTTGAATAACTGACTAAAATATTTGATGTTTAATTATCTATGCGACCCATCTCAAGACAACGTTTAGCGGTTCATAGTCCCTGTTCATGTAGCATCTTCCTGAATTCTCCTTTATGCTTCTCCATTCCATCTTGCTGATTGTTCTTGATAGAGATGACCACACTGGTAGCATTCATATTTGTATATCATTTTTCTGAAATGATAGTAGCTTAATACTTTGAGCTAAATACCGTCGAGATACGATTTAGAGATTTATATCTAACGATTGTAAGCGCAAGTTGTTTCAGTACTATTAAGTTAATAATCTATTGTATTTTGTTAGAATTGATGAATTTTTATCATAATACGACATTAAGATAGATACATTGTATGTGTACATAGGTGTAGATGTGATAGAAGTAAATTTTAATCTTGAAATATGATTAAACTTCGGTGCTCCTAGACGCAGGATTGCATAAAGCCTCTACAGTCGTGAAAGACGGAGATGCGATAAAGTTTTTAAACAAATTTGTTTGCATCTTTCCCTCGACATAACTGTTCTCATTGGCTTTTATACCAATTTGTCGCTCATTCTTCTTTTGATTGATAAAACTTTTATTTCACATGTTTTGAGTAGAATGCAACACTTTTTTGAACGAACGTCGTCAAAAAATTCACATTGAACAAGCAAGTTTGGATAACCAAATCTCTCTCATATACATATGAGTCATTTGCAACTTTATTGTACAATTGAGTTTTTGTCGTATTTTTAAAATTACTCCGGTTTCTGAAAACGGATTTCGAAATTCTTTTTTTTGTTTTATCGCTGTTTGTTTGCTTCATTACCACAGAAAATCTAACGAGGGAACCTCTCCAGGTGTTAAATCGCTTTTCGCTCGGGACCATTGCCACTCGATAGGTCCTAGTGAGCAGTGAAAAAGTCTATCTTGGTTTGGGTGCATGGGCCTCTGGGACTGAGATATTGAATTTTTAGTGAATTTTTCCTGCAGGACCCCAGTTTTCCAGCAAATTTATATTTTCGAATTTTGACCTGAAACTTTGCCCACAGGAAGACCTCAGCTAAAATAGCTTCCATAAAAAAGAACTTTTGAACAAAGTCTTTCTGAGATATGAATTTT